TCCAACTGTGTTTTCCCGTTTTCAGGGAACATATCTATTTCTTTTGAGTGATTGAGCGATTATTATTTAACGCCGCATCAACAATCGTCTAGCTATTCGCGTGGATTGTTCCCAAGAATTGCGGCTCACATTTTACCGTACCGTATAAAGGATTAAGAGGTTGTATATCAATGACAGCAAAAAGGTTTCTAAGACCAATAATACATTAGTGGAAGGATATGATTCGAGTAAACCTACTACTCACTCTGCAAAAGACAAGATTGGCTAACGTAGATAAACTCGTTCCAAATTTGATGGATAAGTCAAAATATATAGTCCTCTATAGAAATCTCCAATTATATCTATCATTAGGCATGAAACTAAAGAAAATACACAGAGTTTTTAAGTTTGTTCAAAGCCCTTGGGTAGAGCCCTATGTAAGACTGAGCAAAGATTTATGAAAGATGACTTCTAGCGATTTCGAACTATATAAGCTCATGAATAACTCAGTATTTGGTAAAACTATGGAGAATCTAAGAAAGCGTGATGATGTTAAATTGGTCAGATCTATTGAGGAAGAAAGACTTTGGAAACTTAAAGCTAGTCCAGCTTGTAACAGAAGTAAGATATTTGATAATGACTTAGCGGCATTACATATGCGGAAGAGTAAGTTCAATAGACGAGTGTACGCTGGTATGAGTATTCTTGACTTGTCAAAACACTTAATGTATGACTTTTGTTACAATTAACTTAAGAAGCAATACGGTGATAGATTCGAGGTGATTCTGGCCCAGTTGTTTAAGGCGCGGCGATTCGCTGTGCAGAGTTGTGTCCCTTGGACACGCCAAAAAACCTATGATTGTGGGTTCGAATCCCGGTTCGCTCCGATTGTGTTTCTAGGTTTGTCAGCACCATACCCGTGCTCGTGGGTTTCACCTAAGTGGTTAGCGTCTAAGACCTGCATCACTTGGGGCTTTCCTCCCACATTAAGCTGACACGCCACGATATTACTGGAATACTGTTAAAAGCGTCGTTAAACCGATCTCTCTCACTCACTCATTGCATAATATACATGCAATATCATTAGAAAAGGACTCGACAACGAGAATTTATTTTTCGTCTATTTTCCTTATTGGCAATAAGTTCAAGGTCAGCCATGTAAAGGAGGTGAGTAAGGGGTGACCAGCAATTCATTAAAAGGCTTGAGTAAAACAAATAGTCGCTTGGAGAGGTTAATACATTTAAGTCACTTCAAACTCAATTCGTGAGGTACAGAATCATTAGCTTTTCTTTAGTCTATCCAACGCATTGAGAGGTTACAGTGGTAGCTTTTAGCCTCTTCAAGGATCATTTGGAGGGCTTGCTATTTCGGGCTCCTTTCTGCTCCACGTAAATGATGTCATTGGAAGTATGATGACACAAGATTTGTAAGACACCCTGTAAATGTTTTGTTCTGTGTACTCAGGGGAGTAATAGAGTGGAAGTTTCTAGGGTCAGTCAAATCACCTTTCTTTGGTAGAAGTATTGTTTCATTTGCACAACCATGGCCTAACATCCCCTGTATACACAAGAGAACTTAATCAGTGAAGTAATGGTGTTTGGGCACATAGGAACAGTTTCCAAAACCAGTTTCGAGTACGCCGTATTAGATTTGGACTTTGTAATTACCTTTTTCAGGCAATCGGGTGTAATGAAACTCAAGAATGGCAACTTTATTTTGTCATGTACTTTTTAATTACCTTTTTCAGGCAATCGGGTGTAATGAAACACAAGAATGGCAACTTTATTTTGTCATGTACATTATTATTGTAATCCTCTACCCACGTTTCCTCGTGGTCACATTTGTTGGGTAAATACCACAACTGTTTCAAAAATATGTCACTGGAATTCATGGTTGTTCTTTTCTTATCACTGGCTTTGGTTGCAAAAAATGCTTTTTTGTTTCATGAAATTCTTTTTCTTTTTCCTTCTATTCAACCTTTAACTTGCGCTTTCAGAGAATAAGAATTTGATTCAGACTTATTGTCTTGTGAGTTGTTATTATTTTCCCCCAAATTGATCTGTGACGTATTGACATTGATTGCACCGAGGGACGTAATTTTAAACAAAGTTCTATCCAGGGTATATCTTTCCTTGTTTCATTTAGTTTTATTTGGACCTTTTCTTCTTTTGATGGTTTTGTTTATTTCCCTTTTGTGGTTCAATGTCTTTGGGAACTGTATGAAGTTTCTCCAGTTTTCGAGCATCAGCATACACGCATCAGTTAATGTCATGCATAGAACCTTAAGAAATAATGTTATTTAATTTATCAAGTTTATTCTATGGAAATGATTTAATTCATTTGTTTAATTGGTCTTCGTTCACAATCGGTAAATGACAGATTAAATTAGCATATGACATAAAAAAAAAATACAACGGATCATCAGAAAGATCATTGGCAGAAGAGGGGTTGGAATTGGGAGAAAACCTAAAATCTTCGAGGCCACTATCAGGAATTTCATTTTGTGAACCCATGTGCGGATCATCAGTGACAACTACATCAGGTAATAAAGTGAGAATAATGCAAATGTTCAATGAGTTTAAATCCAATTCTACATGTAACCATGGCGGCAATATTTTACTGACTTATGACCATTTTTTCAAAATATAAGGTAATTTGGTGTTTTTGTAGTCAGCAGGTATGATAAATTTGACTTGCTCCTAAACTCTCTTTCAATTCTGACTCTGTAAATTCAGAAACCACATAACCGGTGGAAGCTTGTTCCAAACCAATGATGCCAGATCTGGTTGATTTAGAGGGTTAAAATCTGAACCACACCAACAATAATAAAAAAACCTATTTGTGGCCATAACACATTTTCTTAAAAATAGCTGGAATATTTCTGAGTGTGGCTTTCAACAACAACAAAAGTTAATGTACATTGGAATAACTGCCTGGGGATTCACTGTGTCTATGTATCTTATCTCTTGTTCTACTTCCAATTAGTAACATTCTCTTGTCAGGCAAATCTGATGTGAACTGAAAAATATCTGTGTATACTGCACCGCAAGAGAAACACAACTTACAAAATTATAGTGTCAATACAATTTATTTTGCAGTGTTTGTAGTGATCTACAGGTAATTTCTGAGACACAAAAATCAAACGTGGAGGAAACATTTAAACCTTAGAGTGTTTTACACTTCATTGATGAAGACAGTCATGGTAACCAGTAATAGCAAATAGCGCTGACAGTAAGAATCTCGTCTGGCCTCCATTTACGTTGACGACAGAAGTATGCCACCTTAACATCAAATGAATCGATTCTCATGATATTAATCACTGGATTTCTGATATTTGCGTTAAACAGGAAACAAACAAACCACAGACAATCATCCAATCTTTGGCCAAGTCAAACTATTTCCGAAGTCTGAACTTACCCCCCTCCCTAAAATATCTGAAAACTGTCAAAAGAATCTGCTACATCGTTTAGATTCTCCTTAAAAAAAGAAACACAATATAGATACTTTTGGCCATAAAAAAATTAGTGGACATAGAGGTACAAAGTCTAGAGGTTTAATGTGTTATGGTGTCAGTGACAAATTTCCCTGATCAAAATGATCACAACAAGGACATGCAAACCATTTGTCGGGAAACACGTACGATGCAGAAAAACGCACCCCATGCATTAAAAAAGGGCCATGGAGCTGCACGTACTGCACGTGCAGCAGCACGATAAACGGTATTACAATGCAAGGTTTTTGATTGCCTGGCATCTGCATCAATCGAACAGTGACAGTTCAATATCATGCTAAGATTAACAGAAGTGCAAAGAAACAACGTCATATGCCGTTTACAGGCAGGGGAATCCCGATCAGGTGTAGCCAGGGTTTTCAATGTAGCTCCCAGCACCATCACAAGTCTATGGGATAGGTTTCAACAGCATGGATCAACACGTGATCGGCCAAGGTCGGGACGACCAAGAGTAACCAGCTCCGCCTAAGACCGCTACATCCGACTGCGCCACCTACGTGAAAGGATGACCAAAGCCACCTCAACCGCATCCCAAATACTCTGCAGAATCTCCGACCAGACCATATGAAACCATTTAAGAGCAGCAGGTCTACCAGCAAGATGTCCTGTTCAATGCGTTATTATTGAGTCGACAACATCGTCAACAATGACAATGCATTGGTGTCGTCAACACATGGTATGGGCTCAAGTGTGGAGAGATGTCTGGTTCAGCGACGAATCAAGTTTATCCTCTGACAAGGAAATGGAAGACGTCGGGACAATGTTACGCTGGAAACTGCCCACAGGAAGTGGATAGGTTTGGTCCATTCCAATGCAATCTTACGGCTCAATGAAATTCTCCTACCATACCTCCTCCTAATTGCATCCAACGGCAACGGTGTATTCCAGGAGGACAACACTCGACTGCATACAGCGCGGATAACAAGAGCCTGTTCACACAACAACTTTGATGTTCTCCCCTGGCCCTCCAGATCCCCGAATTTGAACCCTTTAGAGCACCTGTGGGATGAATTGGATAGACGGTTACGCCGACGTCAACCACAACCCCAGACGTTGCAGCAGTTGGTGTTTGCATTTCAGGGCCACTGGGCTACCATTCCCAAGGATGTGATTCACATACTCGTCTCACTAAAATCACCAAGTGTTCTCTCCACAACATTTTGGCTCAATACCTTGTACAGTTACTTGTATAAATATATTTTCCTACCTCACACAAATTTGACTTTATGTTTCTTTTTTGTGAAGCGTATATATTTTCAGGGAATAGGCCAGTATGTTGGTTGTAAGTCTCACTGGCAAGTTGATCCACAGTACCAGCTCTGTGTTTGAACATGGATGCAACTCAAGTACGACCAGGTTGTGGTGTAGATTACAGTGAGTGAAGATATCATGTTAACAAGTATGGGCAATCTTGAAGAAATTGAATGCCTCCATCGATCACACTGACCCATGGATACAGAGCAATCACACTATTACGGAAATATAGAATAACAATTCTGAACAAATATATATAAATGATTTTTTATTAGTTTTGATATACAGATTTTGTAACAAACGTAGCACAAGGACAAAACAATATACTTGCTTGGGTATATTATATCTCTTGAAAGCAAATCTATTAGAAGAATAAACGAATAAAGGTAAGATATATGTAGAGTACATGAGAATACTGTGAATTTGCTAAATGAAGTTAGATGTCTCTCCGTTGTTGAGTTAGTTTTCTGATGCATTCAATATGTACTACAGGTGTCATAGCTAGATATACCATATACTTGAGAAAATATTGATAATAACATAAATGTGAGCGCGAAATAGAATACACACATTCAGACTTTATTAACAAGAAACATATCTGTAAACTTTTACAAACAAAACCAGAAGCAGCCAAGTGTACCACTCGGGAACATGGTTCAGGTGAAAATAGAGAATTCCATGTACACCACGCTGCTCCTTACCTTAAAGAGAGAGTCATTACGTCACTTCCGGGTTTTGAAACATACGTATAACAGAGTAAGACATTCATATATTAAGTTTCATGTCTTTTATTACAATGATAAAGTTATATGTACTTTAATATGTAGGTTTAATTCCACCACTTTCTGTTCTGAAAACGTGTCATGCAAGAGGAGTTTAGATCACACCCAAAGCCTTTCCAAGTCAGTACCATTTCTGGGATTGATATGCAGCACATTTCCTATGCCTACAGTAGCTACGAACATATGTTTGACATATGGCCTTGTGAATGTGATCTTTCGTGTCAGTCACATGTATTTTATGAACATTTCCCTTGATACCACAATATGCAAACCAAATACATTATTCCTTAGTGGAATAAAATGTAACAATGACACTATTGTCGAAATAGTGTCAGTCAGAGAGTATGGTTTTACGCCGCTTTTAGCAATATTCCAGCAATATCACAGCAGGGGACACAAAAAATGGGCTTCATACATTGTACCCATGTCCGGAATCGAACCCGGGTCTTTGGCGTGACGAGCGAACACTTTAACCACTAGGCTACCAACCGCCCCGTCGAAATAAGTATGTCATTTATTTTCATGCGTAATTATCTAAATAATATCTTCATAACATCTGCAAGACTTAAGAACTGCTGCTGGAAAGGCTTGGTTCATACAAATGGCACATAATCCTTTTGAAACATCAAAGGAGGAATCATGACCATATTGGAGGTCTCTGAAGAGTTTTCCAATGACCTTTTTTCCAGAGATTGATGCTCGGGTGACCTTGACCCATTACAATGGTGAATGATACATTTTAAATTCCAAAAGACAACAAGAAGATTTAGTATATATAATATCCTGTATATGTTCTTGTATCTTGTAGCCCTATGTGTGGGCGACGGAGATTCTCTATATTTGCCAAAAACCTTAAAGCAGCCCAACATAATGAGGGCTGCCTGCATATTTTTGTTTCGTTTTCAACTGACAAATCAATGAAATGGATACATATCTTTAATTTAAATGCAAGGAAAAAAATGAATGCCATCAATAGACTTCTCTAAGTACACCATTCTATTGGTCCGAATGTCTTCCGTCTGCACTGTAGAAATCGTAGGCTTCATTATACTCTGGGTTTGTGTACTGTATGTATCCCTGGTGTGCTGCAAATGGCGACCTCATATAGTCACGGTGAGCGGATGATTCGTCAACAATCATGTGTTTGTCATTCCTGGCGCTGCCTCTAGAATGCCTGGGGTTAAGACAAAGAACACTCATACATCTTTGAACAACACCGAGAACAATGAGAGACGTTTGTGATATTATCACTGATATACAACTCATCTATTGTAAACGAGCCTTCATTTTTCCTATACATTATCTTAAATACTTTTTTTAACTGTGCTCTTATGCATTCTGTTTGAATTCTTGTCGAAGCTTTGCATTATATTTAATGCTGATATGTCTTTCCTATGAAAATTATGGCTGATTCGAAGACAAAGATTGTAAGCCTCAAATATCAAATATTTAATTGCTTTATCTACCATTACAACTACAACGTTATGGCGCCATGAAAACCTACTTGTGCCAAAGAAAGCCCCCGCCCAGGATGGTGACGAGCAGAACAAAGAGGCCAATGCAGACGCCGACGATGACCCAAGGCAGGTTTGACTCAAGAGCTGAAGGACAGAAAATAGCACAGATACTAAAGTTTCATGATACAACAGAGTGTTCACTTGTTTAATAGCACAGATACTATAGTTTCATGATACAACAGAGTGTTCACTCGTTCAATAGCACAGATACTATAGTTTCATGATACAACAGAGTGTTCACTCGTTCAATAGCACAGATACTATAGTTTAATGATATATCAGAGTGTTCACTTGTTTAATAGCACAGATACCATAGTTTCATGATATATCAGAGTGTTCACTTGTTTAATAGCACAGATGCCATAGTTTCATGATATATCAGAGTGTTCACTTAGGAGATAAATATTTTGTTTTGTAAGATTTGCGTGATGTTATGCTGAATGGATGTCTGAAGATTTCATTTGAATACGATGCAGTAATCTTACAAAACGAAATATTTATTGACATTGTGACATGAACATTAATCAAAATATATATTATGAGGAATGAATTTTCCGAGCGCATGACGCAACCAGGCTGTTATTAGCAATACGTCCCCTCGTGCTTACCTTCAACAAGATGCATGATATCGGGTGCAACGGAACTGATCACAGATTCCGAGGTACTCCGATAAAGATGTTTCATCTTACGAAAGGTGTGGTCACGCCCAATTCTATTACAAAAAAACCAACAAACAACAGGAATACCACAAATTCAATTCTTTATCACAGTTCCTCATCTTACTTGTAATTTGTAGTTATGCGTATCTATAAGATACAAATAATCAAAATCCGTGCTGTTTGGCCCCAATTTAAGATAGTGTCAACTCATCTGAAACTGAGGTGGTGAACAGAGATGTCAAAAAAGTGCGAGATTTAAGACATGCAGCTTAACTGGTCCTATGTTTAAATACGTTTGTTGGCCAATATGAGTCTTTGAGATCCCCCTGTTATTTTAGTGACCCTTGAGTTTGTCATTTCAATGAACACGGAACCATCTTCATCTGTGAATCCCCGCAAGGAAGATGAAGTTAATTCCCTTTGGTTTTCTTTACCACGACGAGCAAAACCGAGGTTGAATCACACAATACGAATCAAGGCATATCAAAACTTTTACGAATATTTTTTAAATCATTCTAGGGGATAGCAGCATGAAGTGTTGTCTGGTCAAGGCCATTGGTCAGTGGCATAAGCATAATAGTGCATGATATTGGCCATTAAAGAGCAAGGTAAGTGAAAACATTATTGTGATTTTGTTCCGAATAGCATTTGTCCTAGATATATTAAGTCAGAGAGAAAAAATATTACGATATTCGGCGTAATATTTAAATGTCAAAATGAAAATGCAGAATGCACACGTTCCTTAATTTGATTTCAATACTATTTGGAGGTGTGACCTTAAGCTACCAGCACAATGGTGCAGAGATGCGTGACAAATGTTTTCAATGGCTGTTGGCTGACTTGTGGCGCTTAGCAGCTTTACAGGCTTTGTCAGTAAGTGGTCAATCTATAAGTGTTGCTATTTCTGTCACTCCTACAAAAATAACATTACATACAATGCTAAGTCTGTGAAGAGACTTTTAGAACTTGACAATGTGAATATCTAAACTAACAATCAATGTATGTAACGAGCACAATGAACGTCCTTTTTGTGTACCATAAATGGTGACTTTCTACTTAACCAGCAGCTGGCCAAGGGTTTATCATCATCATGGGCGTTTAAGCACTATGCATCTGTACATTCAGCATTCGTTTACTTTAAAATATATAGATGATAAAAATAATGAGCTCTGTATAAAGTATTTGTTCAATTTCACATTTAATATTTCCACTAGATGTGAAACGGCATTGTGATAATTTTTCACAGTTCCTGGTAGGCAAGACGTGTCTTTACTCCCTCTCATTGGGCATGGTCTAGGTTTAGATACTTCCAGTCCATCATTTCTGGGATGGCTCGTAGGCCTATTTGAAATTTTAGATTCAGCAGGACATAAGGCTGATCTTCTTGCCCACCTTAAACAGAGGGCATCATCATTATTTTAACTTTAATTATGGCTTGTTTTTCTTATAATATGAGGGTAAATCTATAAAACACCCACCTTTCAAATGCATATAATGTGCTATATACTAATATAAAGTATAAATCCTATCCACAACCCAACTTGAACCTCTGTTAGTCCAGCACTTTAAAGGTTTTTTTTTAATCTGCTGAAGTGATGTATCTAATGATGAACTGAAAGAAATTGATTTGGTTATAAGTTTTTGGTTGCCCTTGAAATAAGGTTCGGTATATTCAACACTGTCATCTGGTGTATATTTATTTAATGGCATTTTAAATGTTAGCTTGTATTTTATACTATATAAATCATCTGACTCCTAATTAAGTTTGCTCGACTGATTCAGCATTTTTATTAACAATCAATTCAGCTTTTCTCCTTTGAGAATGACCACTCAGCCAACGGTTTCTTGCTTGAGCTTTGAGTTCTCTGATAGTCGGGGGTTTCAAGTCCAGTAAATAATCATTTCAGCTTCTCATTCGAAAATAACGTCTCTGACCACATTGTTTTGCCAAAGATAACAGCTCTCTGACAATAGTTATTATGCTGTATAACTTTATGCAAAGTCATCTCTAAATAATTTTTTTAATGTGTCAAAAAACAAATGACTCATCAAAAACATTTTAGTCTAAATTCTAATCCTACCCAGTCTATTTCTCTCATTGAGGTAGTCCTTCCTTTGATAAATAATCTGATTTTGTATTGTAACATCCCCGTGTGCTTTACATAAACATAATTATGACCTTTGACCCCAGTTCCGCAAACAGAGCATATATGGTTAATATGACCTTTTCTCATCGATATCACATGAATGCCACTATATTCACCTGTACAAGTATTGTTGCAAGTTGTGGATTTTCCCATCAGTAAGATATTAACCGGATTGTCCCCTTTGTCATCATGCTAAATATACACTTCCAGGAACATATGTGTAATTTGTGTGTCAAGCCTCCTGCAATGAATGTTATTGCTAGGCCTTTCTGACCCTCTGATGGTGTATAAAATTGAGATAGTTTTAGCTTGGGATCAATTGAATTGCTATCCATAAATAAGATAGTACTAAAGCATGTCAGTTTTCATATCACTAACAGTTTGAATTTGTGTGGGTTTTTCGTAGTCCATTGAGACTGGGTGGTTTCAAGTTGTTCTAAAGCTTTATCATGCCTTTCATATTTCTCTTCAATTTCTCTCATGTTCGATTCTTATAGTAGAGAATACAAAAACACTCCCTGAAAAAGCTAGGGCATTGCCAATAGCTCCACTAACCACCATTACAACCGATGCCATTATTATAGCATAAACATTAAAATGTTTAATTATTTCATTATGTCTTCTCGGATAAGCCTTTCCTTGATTAGAACATCTTTTGTTGCTATAGTTAGATCTACATCTAGGATAATCATACCCATATCATGACCATTAAAATCTACCATAGGTGCTGGTGATTTAGCTGAATGATACACTGTGTTTACCCACATTTTACCATCTGTGACTGCAGTAGTATTTTTCCGCCAAAGTATTACATGGGGATTTACCTCTAATTGAACCACATTCAATTTTTGAACTGTGTTCAGTAGAAGTGGTGTTTTTCCTATACCATTAGATTTGCCAGTCATTCGGCTGCTGTAACAGTAGCTCGTAAAGTCTTTTAAACGTTCACGTGGATGAACTTTGAACATCTCAGGATCCTTTATTACCCATTAGCTTGATAGGCATGTTTTATTTATGTTTATAGTTGAGCAAAGAATAATATGGGAGAAAAATTGTAATAATGACCTTGTAAAATATCGAGAATAAAAATTGTTTTATTATACCCCATTTGCCCACAGACGATAGTGCAGTGAGGATCTCTAGGTGAAGGGGCAGTCGGGTAGCCTAGTGGTTAAAGCGTTCGCTCGTCACGCCGAAGACCCGGGTTCGAGTCCCGACATGGGTACAATGTGTGAAGCCCATTTCTGGTGTCCCCCGCCGTGATATGGCTGGAATATTGCTAAAAGCGGCGTAAAATCATACTCACTCACTCATTCACTCTAGGTGAAAGATTGATAATAGATTGCTTGAATGAATCTTCAGTTTGTAGATTAAGTAAAGCATCTATAATGACATACAAAATTATGTTTACTTCAGCCTACAGTGACATCCTGACATTCTCTATTCTTCGCCCCTTGTAGTGTTGTCGGTCATCATCTGTGTTTCGCAAGTCGAGCCATAGAGCATTCTTTGAGGTAAGGAATTCGGACAGTGACACATCTGCAAGGGACAGGGAGTCTACGGATCCCAAAGTCTACGTTGGTGATTTACTTGTGTCCACATTGTAAAGACATTCTTATACTGAAATGACCTTTCCTTATGTCCACTATAAAAATGGATTATATTAATCTAGATTACCTAACAGATACTACTACAACAGCTGAAGGAGAGACTGATGAAACCAACTTCATGGGACAAGGAATAAATGTTAATGAGGAACTTTTACAATCAACTGTTAATGATTATTACAACACTTTAAAAGATGGTAAAAAATATGTTACTCCTATTGGTCCTGACTTTTCCAAGTTTACACTAGATAATAAAGGAATACTGCAACTGTGTGGCTCTCCAGATATTGAACTTATACATTTTCATACTTGGAAACCCCTAGCATTGTCTACGATAGCTAGGCGCTATGGTGGTATCAGGTCTTGTAGACTATGACAACCGACAAGCAAAACTTTCTGCAAAGTCCACTAAGGTTCTTCAAATAGTGGGGAGGTAACTTGGTGTAACAGCAGCTGCCATAGATGAAGATAATTTGGTCTTGAGGACATCTTGCCACCTATGATGATTTTATAGGTGCCACCCTTGGAGTACAGGTATAGATAATTACGAGGCCTTGACAATGCAATGCAAACAATGAGGGGATCACTCATCAATAATGTAGCCAAGCTAGAAGAGCGTGACAAGCAAATTAGCAAAACTAAACTTACTGAATGCCTAGTGTTTGTTTATCGGTAGCAACCACAGCTTTATTACTATAACCTACCACTTGGCGAGTCTTAGGTCCCGTGTTACTCAGCGACATGTACAGGCCTATTTAAGTACATGTTTTTTGTGCATCAAATGCTGTGGCTGCACCAAAGAAGCTCATGTTTAAGTTCTAATTGAGTCATCCATTCTTTCAACGCCAGGTCGAATAAAACCTTCTGATATATTTCAAAAGAATTTTTTCCAAGCATTTCTGGTTTCTTGTGGTTGCTCAACCTTTGGACAATGAAAGCATCACCAGCATTAGGTTCACATGATCATCTCTCCTCTCATTACACTCGATAGAGCAAAGTAAGATCAAAGCCAGCTACTTCACAGTGAAACACTGCTGACTTCTTTAAAAAAGCGTGTGCCACTGTAAGGAATGCCAAGGACATGGTTACCTGCATGCAGATGTCAATCTATATTTGGAGAAATAGAAAATTAACCGCAAATTTGTTCATATACCAGCTGATTGTTTGGATTATGATGCATTTCATGCTTGATTCTGTGGTAGTGGTGCACTTGGTCAGTGAATTCCCTGATATATCTCTGAATTTGAGTGTTGCGGCTCCACAGGCTCTACACGTTTGCTTGGGGATGCACCAGAAAATGTCCTCAATGTATAAAAGGATCTAAGGCTTAAATTGGATAAAAGACATGAACGTCAACATTGTAGCAATTTTGTGCAGCCGGAAAGAGAGCTTTACAAGCCTTGGGGGGATCCAGGTTGTAATTATAACTGGAAGAAACATTTCACTCACACAGTTACTCACATCGCCAGACAGAGCAAGTGTCACTGTGGTAGTATGTTCTTTGTGTGGTGTGTTCAACAGTTACTCACATCGCCAGACAGTCCAGGTGTCACTGGTGTAGTATGTTCTATGTGTGGTGTGTTCAACAGTTACTCACATCGCCGGACAGTGCAGGTGTCACAGGTGTAGTATGTTCTATGTGTGGTGTGTTCAACAGTTACCCACAACGCGGGACAGTGCAGGTGTCACAGGCGTAGTATGTTCTATGTGTGGTGTGTTCAACAGTTACCCACAACGCGGGACAGTGCAGGTGTCACCAGTGTGGTATGTTCTATGTGCGGTGTGTTCTATGTGTGGTGTGTTCTATGTGTGGTGTGTTCAACAGTTACTCACAACGCAGGACAGTGCAGGTGTCACCGGTGTAGTATGTTCTATGTGTGGTGTGTTCAACAGTTACTCACATCGCCAGAGAGTGCAGGTGTCAGCGGTGTGGTATGTTCTATTTGTGGTGTGTTCAACAGTTACTCACATCGCCAGACAGTGCAGGTGTCACCAGTGTAGTATGTTCTATTTGTGGTGTGTTCAACAGTTACTCACATCGCCAGAAAGTGCAGGTGTCACCAGTGTAGTATGTTCTATGTGTGGTGTGTTCAACAGTTACTCACATCGCCGGACAGTGCAGGTGTCACCGGTGTAGTATGTTCTATGTGTGGTGTGTTCAACAGTTACTCACATCGCCGGACAGTGCAGGTGTCACCGGTGTAGTATGTTCTTTGTGTGGTGTTTAACAGTTACTCACATCGCCGGACAGTGCAGGTGTCACCGGTGTAGTATGTTCTATGTGTGGTGTGTTCAACAGTTACTCACATCGCCAGACAGTGCAGGTGTCACCGGTGTAGTATGTTCTATTTATGGTGTGTTTCAACAGTTACTCACATCGCCGGACAATGCAGGTGTCACTGGTGTAGTATGTTCTATGTGCGGTGTGTTCTATGTGTGGTGTGTTCTATGTGTGGTGTGTTTAACAGTTACTCACATCGCCGGACAGAGCAGGTATCACCAGTGTAGTATTCACTGCAGGCGCAGCTCACTGTTCCATCTGTACTGTCCCTACAGGTTCCGCTGTTTTTACAATAACCCGTTTCTAGTTGACACTTGGCTGCAAAGACAAGAGGTTAACATATCAGCTACGTACATGGGCAGTGTGTACATAGGGAGACAGGTCATAATCGCCCCTTTGGTTTCGCCATGAACACCGTAAGTGAGGATTTTAGCCCAGTTGGTGTCCATCGTCAAACAAATGATATAAAATCGGTTTTGCATGATTTAACATAGTCCATATTCAGACATTTTCAATACTGACACAATGTCAATTCATTAATAGCACATATGATTATTTTTTTTGGCATGGAATCACAGATGTACTCACAAACACAATCTGAAACGTTGGTGCTCTTGGTCACGATGGTTGAACGCATACCAAGGCAGACTTTACAAGATGTCTTCCCTGTCTGGTCCTGGTACTGACCGATGTCACAGTCCTGGCAGGCTTCTGTCGACGTGTTGTGTCTTGTGCCGGCTGGGCAGGGCTCTGTAGTAACCAAAGAGGATCCGACTGACATTCATTAAAACTGGACACGTACTGGTGATCATGGATGACAAGTCGCTTTTATCAAGGTACTTTTTTCATAGGCGTGAAGTTGCCTTCAGCAACATGCTCATGGGTTGTTATCCATTATTGAGAAATGTATCTTGCCTTGATGTTTTACTACAAATGGATGACTTTCATGATTCTGTGCGAGGAACACCTAGAGTGTCTCATCCTTTTCTCAGTAGTCATGAAGTCCCAGCTACAACTAAATCAAAGTCATGCGAAAGGCTACACCTGAAGGTTAAGTTTAGAGGTAGAACATGCTCTTTTCCCAGTTCATCTGCAGGCCTGATACACAAACGGAAGAATACGTCGATCACTGTCACAATTATCAGTCAATAGATATAGTAGATGATGACTCACCACATTTCCCTAATTTCTTCACAAGGCCAGACCCACATGATATTGTTGGTGGAGTGAGTGAGTCGAATGTGATTCCGGCAGCAGTCTACAACTCAACATGTTTAGATCTACTACCAGAACAATGTGTCTAGATATACTACTGGAACAGTGGTCCAGATCTACTACCAGAACAGTGTGTCGATATCTACTACCAGAACAGTGTGTCCAAATCTACTACTGGAACAATGTGTGTAGATATACTACTGAAACAGTGGTTCAGATCTACTACCAGAACAGTGTGTCCAAATCTACTACTGGAACAGTGGTTCAGATCTACTACCAGAACAGTGTGTGTCTAGATATACTACTGGAACAGTGGTCTAGATCTACTACCAGAACAGCATGTCCAAATCTACTACTGGAACAGTGGTTCAGATATGTTACCAGAACAGTGTGTCTAGATATACTACTGGAACAGTGTCTTGATCTACAACTGGAACAATGTTTCCAGATCGACTTTAAGAACGGCGTTTTTAGATGTACTCACCAGTGCTGGGGTAACAGCAGCATTATCATATAGAGCCTGTACCAGCACAGATTCTGGACTTCTACTCACAGTGCTCTTCTTATTGGTAAGTTTCTCTCTGCCAATTGAATAGTGGTTATCAACAAGATATCAACACTGTTATGTTGTTATTGTAATTAGTGTCCGTGGCAGTAGATGTGGTAGTGGTAAAATGTCGAATGAAGTAGTTGCCAGATTGTTACAGAAGTGTGATTAAAGTTACCTCCATTGGAGTTTCTTCACAAAAGAAACATACTTGGTCGTTCGAGAAGTTTCGGGATCGTACAGTTTCTAGAAGGCTACCTTGCCTGTACCTGTATAAAAATGATACAAGGGCAATTCGAGGCCATGTAACGGCCTGACTTCTGTGTCCTATGTTGGCAAATTATATATACCTACACCACTTCGGTCTTTGCTCCCACATTAAACTGACACGCCGTGATATAACTGGAAAACTGTTAAAAGCGGGGTTAAACCCAACTCGCTCACTCACTCACTATATACATATGTATACAGTAAACTACGGTTATAACAAACACGCTTATAACGAACTTACGGATATAACGAACTTACTGTTTTGTTCCCGACTATTTGCTGTAGTTATGCTGTATATATGTTTGTAATGAACTACGGTTATAACGAAATAAAATTATAGTCCCCTTGAGTTCGTTATAACCGTACTTGACTGTATATACATATACATACATTCGTATATTTATACCCAGTGCGACTAGGATACCTATCTGAAAACACGAAATTCCCGCCAGCTTCAAACACTATTCCGGATTCAAGAATAGAGCATGGAGCTCTTTCAAGACATTTGACAGTGTCAAATTCTGGAAATATGTGACTGCATATATTGTAGAGCCTGTTATCTGCCACATTATGTTGCCTGCTGTGAATTGAAACACTGTGTTTGAATTTAATTGGATAATTATCCAATGATTACAGTATTATCATTTACTTATTTCATAATATGGTTCACCTCGCAACAATATGATAACAAAAGAATGTTACTGGTTATCGTTCCCAAAGTTACGGACAATATTTGTTGTTGTTGACTCAATATAAGGATGCAAGGAGTAGGCACTTACGGTAGATTTGACGCCGAGATTTGAGCAGTGACTGTTCCTCCTGTTTGTCTCTTACTGCGGGTCCCTCCACACGGAACGAGGATGATGACAACAATGTTGGCACAGGAACTGTCCTGGCAGAGGTCCGGGAACTCGTTGGCCCAGTTGAGAATTAAGACATCAATCTGGAGACGGATTGTGTTTTCTATAAAGTCCTTGTTGACACAGTCTGTTACATTGAATTTCATCTCCAACTTCACTGTCACCTGCGCTGGCGCGGGGGTAGTACCTGAAGCAAAACAAGGCAAACCTCTGAAGAGACACAATAGAGTGCCATTATGTAACACAGGTGGATCAAGTAGTGTACAACTATTTCAAAGATGAAGGATATTGTGTCTACTAGAACCATCAACAGTGGGATACAGTGCCTACTTCAAAAATGTAGGCTGCTGAGTCTACTGGAACCATCAACAGTAGGATACAGTGCCTACTTCAATAATGTCGGCTGCTGAGTCTACTGGAATCAACAACAGTAGGATACAGTTCCTACTCCAACAATATCGGCGGCTGAGTCTACTGGAACCAACAACAGTAGGATACAGTTCCTACTTCAACGATGTCGGCTGCTGAGTATACTGGAACCATCAACAGTAGGATACAGTGCCTACTCCAACAGTGTAGGCTGCTGAGACTACCAGAACCATCAACAGTAGGATACAGTGCCTACTTCAACAGTGTCGGCTGCTGTATCTACTGGAACCATCAACAGTAGGATGCAGTGCCTACTTCAATAATGTCGGCTGCTGAGTCTACTGGAACCATCAACAGTGGGATACAGTGCCTACTTCAATAATGTCGGCTGCTGAGTCTACTGGAACCATCAACAGTAGGATGCAGTTCCTACTTCAACAATGTAGACTGCTGTGTCTACTGGAACCATCAACAGTAGGATACAGTTCCTACTTCAACAATGTAGACTGCTGAGGCTACAAGAACCATTAACAGTGGGATACAGTGCCTACATTAACAGTGTAGGCTGCTGTCAACTGAAACTGAGGAGTGTAGTCTGCTACATGCTTTACATCACAAGGTCTGTATGGTTCTACGCCATCGATTACCTACACACCTGCATGCAGCACTCACTCACCTGGGACGTCACCTACACACTTAAATACAGTATTCACTCACCTGGGACGTCACCTACACACCTGCATGGAGCACTCACTCACCTGGGACGTCACTTACACACCTGCATGCAGCAATCACTCACCTGGGACGTCACCTACACACCTGCATACAACACTCACTTACCTGGAACGTCACCTAGACACCTGCATGCAGCACTCACCTGGGACGTCACCTACACACCTGCATACAACACTCACTTACCTGGAACGTCACCTAGACACCTGCATGCAGCACTCACCTGGGACGTCACCTACACACCTGCATACAACACTCACTTACCTGGAACGTCACCTAGACACCTGCATGCAGCACTCACCTGGGACGTCACCTACACACCTGCATACAACACTCACTTACCTGGAACGTCACCTAGACACCTGCATGCAGCACTCACCTGGGACGTCACCTACACACCTGCATACAACACTCACTTACCTGGAACGTCACCTAGACACCTGCATGCAGCACTCACCTGGGACGTCACCTACACACCTGCATACAACACTCACTTACCTGGAACGTCACCTAGACACCTGCATGCAGCACTCACCTGGGACGTCACCTACACACCTGCATACAACACTCACTTACCTGGAACGTCACCTAGACACCTGCATGCAGCACTCACCTGGGACGTCACCTACACACCTGCATACAACACTCACTCACCTGGAACGTCACCTACACACCTGCACGCAGCACTCACTTACCTGGGACGTCACCTACACACCTGCATACAACGCTCACTCACCTGGAACGTCACCTACACATCTGCATGTGCATACAACACTCACTCACCTGGGAAGTCTAAGCATGTCGTTGATCCTGTAGTTGCTGTAGTCTGACCAGAGGGGCAGAAGTAGCAGAAGTCGCTGACGCTGGGTTCCCGAATCTGACCGATGGGACACGGATCACAATTTTTAGTTCGTAGATTGTACTCCTCACCCTCACGGCAGTCAGCTGTGGACAACCAATTGTAATTACACAAGCTGCTCATCTCATATTTAGATTTATGTTGTAAATCTTGTTGTTTAAAAACACAAAGACCTTCACTTGTACAGTGTTTGATACCACGTAAATTGCATCACGATATCGTTGCAGGAGGTTGTTTTTCCTGACATTTAGAGGAGTGAAGAACGTGCGTTACAGTTATAAGCCACTTAAACAGTTTCATAGGGTACTTGAGACAACAGCAGAGTTAACTGTCATATCACAAGAACTCTCAGCTGTAACATGGATACATGCGTACACAGACGTATCCTCAAACATACCGATACATTGGGCTTCGGTCGTGGCGTTTGTGACAGAGAGTAATGTCGTTTTGCCGTCAACACACTTGATACAAGATGTCTTTCCTCTGGTCGGTTGGTAGTACCCCTTGCCGCACGCCTGACAACCCTTGCCCTCTTTCCTGTAGTTGCCTGGCTGACAGTCCACTGAAACAGAACCGACCACTCTCATTATGCCCACTGTCAAGTTGATACATGCTGCTAGTTTCCTGTCCATCGCATGGCAGTATGCTGTGCTGAATCAGGCAACAACAAGCACTTCCTTATTTATGCAAATTGTGTGAGAGGCTAGTGCTGCACGTAGGGGAGGTTCACATTATTACACTTTTCGCGAACACCTGGAGTCACCATTGGCTTTCATTAATCAATTCATAAAATTGTCATTGCTTTTGCCTTATAAGCCCAAAGGAATGTGTTTCGGCGAATAATTAAGAACTATTATTCTCTGGTGTTGCTGTAATACCATGAACTATTATAGTTGGAGCAGGAGGACACAATAGTTCAGGGCAAAACTATACTATATTACACTATACTTGGGGTGGAGAAAAGATATCAAATTTAGGAATAACGTTGTGTTGAGATGGTTTTAAAACGAAACATTTAATAAGCTGTGCCTTGAATTGAAAATGCATGAACAGGGCTAACGGACTCTTCCATCTAACTGGCAGTACTCTTATGTTAAAAGAAATATTTAAGTTTTAAACATAATACAATGCCACTAAAATGGATATTTTATTATTCATATAGGTCATATTTCATTATCCGTTCAATATGTGGTTATCCATAAACCCACGCAACAATACGTAGGATTTCTAAATTCAATTTTTTAATAATTTTTTTTTCATTTAAACAAGTGCATTGTGGGTAATGCAGACAAACGTTTGGCCGGTTTGATGTCGTTGGTTATTGTGAGTTGAGGTGTTTTCTGTTGTTCAAGTTGCAACTCTGTTTTAAACACAAATGCCAGGAGATTGCAGCAACTGCAAGTCTTGGAATAGTGTGCTTACTGAGCCTGTGGTGTGATGGTGTGGTGGAGAACAAAGTGTGGCAGTCATTAATACCAGACAACAGATTCATATTTACGGAACATTCAGATTAAATGAGTGAGTATCATATTCTGCTACTTTTAGCAATATTCCAGCAATATCAAAATTGGGGAAAGACGTGAACTTCACACATTGTAACCATGTGGGGAGTCGAACCCAGGGCTTGGGATTACGAGCGACCACGTTTCCCACTAGGCTGACCCCGCCCCGAATATATTCAGAAACATAATTAATGTAAACTATCATCTTCGCTGATTCTTTGTTCAACCTTTAGGTACTTAAATGTACTTAAATGAAAAAAAAGGTTTTTCTCTCCAAAAAGCATCCAAGTATCAACGAACATCAAAATCCGTTCAAAGAGAGATATATTGCTGGGTCTAGCAAATGTACCACCAAATCACTGTCTTAAAGATTAACCATAATCATATATAGAATCAAGGAAGGACTTTATATTCACAGACAGTATTTGAAACAAGTGGAATTAAAACCTTGTTGATTCTCAAAAACGCAAAGGATTTGCTTGACTTTTCACAAATTCAGAAAAGAACCAAGTTCAATTCTGTCAGGACTGATTTTCAACTTTGTACACTACCATCTAACATGACAAACTTATGTGACAACTTTATTTCCTTCTTTATGGGGCTTTTGTGACCAATCATGGTGACCATAAGGACAAAGTTACATATTTGTAACCGAAAGATTTGATTGTTTCGAATTACGATCTGAGTTTTAAGACGTCACAGGGAATGGAGGCAACTCCGAAGTTGGAAGGCTGGTTCGATGGGTCCTGTGTGTTTGGTTGCGGTAAAGTGGGCACATTGTAGGCATTTTGGGTCAGGAATTTTGTAAATATGATTATGTTAAGTGAGCAACATGTTAATCTATCCAACAAATGCATAATATAAACCTGACATTGCCAAATTCAACAATAGTGTGCAGTTATATCGAACCATGCTAACATGTCTAAACCACATGGGTTAGCCTGAAATGGTGTTACATGTTTTCGTTAGTTTTACCTGAGAAGCACTTCAATTGACTGTGGGTTAAATTATTATTATTATCAAAGGTAATTACATTCAACGTAAAGTTTCAGTATCTTGCATATTCAACATAATTTTTGAATATCGAAACATTTTATTTGTTTTAGCTTGAACCGACGACTAGATCAAGAATACAATGTACAAAACACTGTGGTTTAAACAAAATTGAAGATTAAGTGAAAAATCGAGTACAAGAAACAATGCCCTTTTGTTGTGCCTACACTATTTATCTTCAGAGGTTCAGGGCAATGTCATGTGAAGTGTACTGAGAAAACAAAAGTGAAATGTTAGACTTCCTCATTGAAAACATCTATGTAAGATTTGGGGGCAGTACCAGTTCCTGTCTCAAAGATGAACCATTATTCACATTACAATCGAGGAAGGACTTTCTTTACTTGAAGTTTTGCAATCTCAGGGAAAGAACCAAGTTCAATGATGTCAACAAAATGTGTTTTTGCCACCATCCCACACGACAAGGATATTGAGAAACTATATTCAAATGCAAATGACCAAAATCGATGCAATGTCCTATTTTGACTTGTACGATATGGTCCTTCAAACACTTAACTTTTGCATGTGTTTATGACGCGTGTCACCGTTCGGGCAGAATACGCTCACTTTGGTATCGTCACTTTATTTGATAATGATTCATAAACACATACTCTTGATGCAGCTGGAATCGATAAAGGGTTTGCTTTTAGATTCGATCATGAAGAGGTTTAGTCACTTTTATTTACTTATGATCGGATTATTTTTCTTATACTGTAAAACTAGAAGTCAAACCTCACAGCAGAGAAAAAATGAATAGCAGAGTGTATGTTGTTGCAGATGCCTTATGCCAATACCATATACTTGCATAGTAAAATTCATAATGATGCAAAAATTGGGTAAAAAGAGGGCACAAATTACCTTGAAAACATGTGTTTCCTTACACTTAAATGACTTTAGAAGAAAGAAAAACATAATCTGAACTGTCGAAACTGTTCTAACTCTATCCTGCTAATAAGGAGCTGTTTGGATAAATATGCAGCTGTATCTAAACTGTTGTGACTATATCCTGCAGCTGTATCACGACATGACCTTGGAGCCACTGAGTATTTCCAGCTGAATGTACCTAGGTCACAGGTGTCTTGTTGAGTAGCTCCAACGTCACGTGTTGTCATGCCGGTGGGGCACTTGAGACACTCCTGGGTGGTTCCTGTGTTGTTAGGCAAGAAGGTGCCCAGGGGACACGAGATACACGAGCGTGACGTCACATTGAGGTACGTTCCAGCCCCACAGGAATCTGGAAGGACATCAGATGGGGTTAGATATATAACGTGGACTCTTACATATCTGTTCACAGACTGGCCGAGATGGGAAAAGAATGATTTCAACCAGAGGTCATTTATGAGTCCGATAAACAAATGGAAGCAATGGTGCTTATGTTGAGTCCGCTTTGTTTGTCAGGATTAAAGAATGGTCTTTAGCATTGGCACAACAATTAATACTACCCAAGGTTTGCAGCACTTGTGTTTCGATACATACTTAGACAATCTGAGGCTGTACTTGATCCTGTGGACAGTGTGGTATATCCCGTGTCACATTTTGTACACTGCGTCTGCCCTGAGTTAGGCTGGTATTCCCCGACTGCACACTCCTGACAGGTGTTGGCCTCTGACCGGTACTTCCCCGCAGGACACACCTCTGAAATTACACGAACTTCCACTTGTCGATCATGTTTTTACAGGAAAGTCTTTGGAGAGTAGCATCACAGTGCATTTATAGGATGGTGGAGGTAGGTCAGAGGGAATCAGGGAACGGTACTACATATACTTGGTGAGGTTCTTATTGAAAAGGTCAGCTTATAATAAAACATAAAGTGCTTTTGCATTTTGTCTTTTCAGGGGTCGTCATGCATAACATGTTCAAGGGGGGGGGGGGGGGGCGCATCCAAAAATATGACAAGGATTACGGGAAGGTAAATATTTTCAGTACAAAAGTACATAAGTGCAACAAAACAACAGAAACTGAATGGTGCCCACTGTAACATATCACTTACTCAGATTACAGGCGCTCTGGTTAATGGAAGCTTCTGTTTGTGTAGTCTTGTCAGCATCACACTTGGTGCAGTTCTCCGTTCCAATACTGCCCTTGTAGTAACCTTTAGGACACGGCATGCACGTGTTTGTCTTATGGGCAAAGAATCCCTCCACACAGTTCACTGGAATATAAGGTGGACTGCCTGAACGACAGCTCTTATGCAATCTGTACATGAGGAATATATATTCTCAACAATTGTGACCCCATGGACCCAGCCATCTGACTGACGCCATCTTTATATGTGGTCTGGAGCAAGCCTGCACAGCTGCAACAAATTGATTCAGTTTGTGAGGCTCTTCAGGACGCTGGCGTTCATCAATGGAAGTTGAATAGAGTGTAAAACACGGAATCATGCAAAAGCAGTCTAAAACCATCTCACTAAAAATATCTGGATACCACAGTTTTGTGTGGACGGGCGTTATCATGTTGGGATTCAAAATGACTGCCAATCCTACAGGCAATGGGCCCCCGACTGGCCGATATTACCATAACGGACCCCTAAGAGTTGACCATTAAGATGAATGAAGATATATTGGTCGACACTAATGACTTCATATTGCCTGTCGCTATAATGTTTGTGGTGGGGTTCAGCAGTCATCTTGAGGTGCATCAATGAACAGCGACTCGTGAACATCCAGGAAGGATAGGTGGTCAGCAACCCATAGTTGTTGTAAGAGGCGACTAACGGGATCGGGTGGTCAGGCTCGCTGACTTTGTTGAGGTAGGGGTTGGGGAAATCAAACTATATTGCATCCCAAAAGGATGACGTCATTGAGCAAAACTATACTGAATTCGAATCCAATTGCAGTTTGTTCAGTCAGTGTTTGTGCTTGCTGATGATGTGAATCATTACCCGGGACTTTTACAGTGCTCATGACCGCCCACGATCATGACGCATTTTCACAATATTGGTTGCCTGTGCAAATGTCATAGTCTTGAAATCACAGTAACTTTTTGGGCTTGCCATCTGGCGCTACTGAATACTACTGCCATAAAAAAATACTTTCCATCATTTTCTTACGTAACAGGGATATGGATAAGTGACAAAAGGATGGAAGCAAACTTTCTGAAGGTTAATCATACAGTACTGGTGGGCACAGAAGTGACACAGTTGTCTGAGGATGGCGTTGGTGCCCTAGGAACTACCTCCCCCTGTGATCTTACTTATCTTTGGTAACATGGGACTTTCATTACTGACATAGTTTCTTTAAACTTGTCTAAATTTGATTATTATTCCCTGGGAATAGATGATGTGATGTGAACCATATCCCATGCTACAGGCTTATCCCAAAACATATTCAAACCACTGTGTCCGTGCCACAGAAGTCACACAACTGTCTGAGGCGGGCGCTGATGCCCTAGGGATTGTATCTGTCTCAAAACATGATCAGTCCTTGAAATGCGTCATATTCACATGTCCACCTGTTGCAAAATACTACAGTCAAACAGAACGATCGCTGTTTCACTTCCTCCGTCATGTTCATCTGAAGTCGATGCCATATCGCGGCCGTCGATTAACGTTGGTACTGTATTGCAATAGCGTGTATGACCTCCAGCTGCCTCAATGCATGCTGTGATACGCCGCCTCTTCGAAAACGTCAGTCTTCTGATGACGTGGACTGGAATCCGTTGCCACTCGTCGCTCAGGGCCTGCTGCAATTCTTGTCTGTTGACGGGAGGCTGATGGCGTGCTCTAATCTGTCAGACAAGATGGTCCCACAGATGTTCAAAAGGATTCATATCGGGTGAGTGGGAAGGCCAGGGCAAAACCTCAACGTTCTGCTGGTTTAGAAAGTTCCGCAGTCTTGCAGTATGGGCCTGGCATTGTCCTGTTGAAACAATGTCCCCTTCTGTTGGTTTTGTAAGAACGGAAGCAGAACTGGCTGCAACGCTTGGTCTCTGTACTGCACAGCGTTCAGGTTTCCCTGTATAATCACCAAATCAGTCTTCTGATCTCCACAAATACCGCCTCACACCATGACACCTCATCCGCCGAATGGATGGACCTCTCGAATACACGCCGGAGCCAAACGTTCCCCTCTGCATCGATAAACTCGTTCTCTGCCGTCATTTCGAAACAAGTTAAACCGACTTTCATCAGTAAACAACACTCGACGCCAATATCACACTTGCCAGCGTCGAACCTGCCTCGCCCATCGCAATCTCAGGCGTCGATGTTGAGCAGTCAGTACCATTCCTCGGAAAGGGCGACACGCTCGGATTCCAGCATCACGAAGTCGTCGTAGTACTGTACGTTGGATAATGGGATGTCCCAACGCTGTTGCTGCCGTCACCGTCATGACTCTGTATTGCAGGTGAATGAGCCCTATCTGACTGTCTTCCAGTGTTGTTGTCGCTCGGGATCGTACGGTTCTAGGCCTGTCCTGTGTCCTCCCTATCTGCCTGTACCGGTGAATATGCCTGGCTACTGTCAGTGGTGTACAACCAAACCTTCTGGCAATTTGGACCTGTGTTGCCCCCATATCGGCCATACCGATGGCTCTTGTGTGCTTTCATCCCGTGTGGTTATACACTGCAGACGAATGTATTTATACAGCTAACATGCACGTACAGTTTATGCCATAGGCCGTAAACCCGTTTCACCATTTTGTTGTCACCGCACGAACGCCGTCAAAGGTGGCGCGTTCGGGTGAGGTGTTGTTTGGTACCTGTTCCTGGGCAGTCATATTCACAATACCCACTTTCCACTAGTTATCGCTGTTTTTAGGAAAATTACAAATTGCCAACCTATACTTTCTTTTGCCGCTTAGTTCAGTTCAGGGCAAAACTATACTTTATTACACTATAAAAGATAGCTACGCAATAAATCGCAAAGAGCAATAAAGGACGAAGCGTGGTTTATTTCACGATAAAACATGATCCTATCGTGACGTTATTTCTGGAGACTCGAATATGCGCTCGCAACTTGATGACGTCATATATTTGGCGACGCTATTTTTGAGAGAGAAGTGTCTGGTGAGTTGTTCCTCAAAGTTGTAGCTGGGGTACGCAGATAAACGCAATGGCCGAACGATTTGAAAAGGTACAGATAATCGATGCGAGGATTGTGAGAATATGCGGAAAACACTAAACTTAACCCAGCTGTTCATATATAGATTTGTCCGACATTGCTTGTGGTTTATTCTCCCTGCAGTGTTTCATTGTACAATAAACAACATCAGCGAGTCGTTTATTTCTTTGAAACGTAGGGTGGAGCAAACTTCATTACTTTTCTAACATTCCGAATTTAAGATTAATCTGTGTCTTATTAGAGATCGGTTTTAAAAGAAACCTGTAATAAGCGGTGCCTTAAATTAAAAATCTATTTATAGGGCTCAGTGACGGAGTGTTCCACCTAATTGCCGGTACCCTTATGTTAAGATTGGTTGTTGGTTGGTTTGTTGTTTAAAGCCGCACTCAGCAATATTCCAGTTATGTGACGGCGGTGTGTAAATTATCGAGTCTGGACCAGACAATCCAGTGATTGATATCATGAGCAGCGATCCAAGCAATTGGGATCGATGGCATGCATCAACCAAGTCAGAGAGTCTGACCACCCGATCTCGTCAGTCGCCTCTTACGACAAGCAAAGTCGTCTATTACGGCAAGTACGTTAAGAGGCGAAAAGGCGTTTTCAACATTATAAAACGCAACTAAAATTGGTAGTTTATGGTCTAAGTCACATTTTATTAAACGTTCAGTGCGTGATTATTCATATCTTATGCAGCAATAGGAAGGATATGTGTTTTCATATCAAATTGCTTTAGATCAATCACGTGATTCGAAACATTCCATGGGTGCATTGTGGGACTAAGCTAACACATGTAAACATGGCCGGATGTCTGTGGCGCTGGCTATTGTGTGTAGTGTGTTTTCTGTCGTGCAAATTGCAACTTTGTTTTCACAAATAATGTTGGCAGACTTACGCATCAAAAAGCCATGAAATGCTGCGTTTGCCGAGTTGGTTGCACTGCCGTACCGACGGGAATTGACTGCCGCGATATGGTCTCGCTGTGGGATGAATGGCGGAGTGAAACAGCGGCGGTTTGTTTGACTGCAGCATGTTGCTACTAACCCTACACTGAGCAACAGGTGTACATGTTGTTAAGAAACTTCAAGAACTGCTCATGCCTCTGTCCATAGACAGCTATAATTCCTCGGACAATTGTGTGACTGCTGTGGGATGGACACAGTTGTTTGAATATGTTTGGGATAATCCCGCAGAGAGATGGTTGACGTCATCTTGTCATATTTGTTCCCGGGTAATAACATTCAATTATTAAACTATACTACTAAAAAAAAGAAGAAGGAAGAAACGATTCTTTCATATTACTATAGTTAATCTGTCATAATCTGAGATATTAACCATAGTAATATGAAAGAATCGGGTGTTCCTTAACTTCTTTTGAGTAGTATATTTAATGATAATTGATGTGAATGCGCCATCTTACTTGACGGTGATGAAAGAACGATGTTACCCAAGGATTCGCTAGAACGATGTTACTCAAGGATTCGTTAGACCACGAGAGAGGTAATTTGAACAGCACCATGACGTCAATCCATTTTGCCCAACTCAAAAAGTGCAATTCATCGTAGGATAAAGTACAGTCGGAAATTAAAGTCACAATATTTTAGCCATATCGTGACTATCAAGGGTTTAAGATAATAAATACATTTCGGCAATATAAAAAGCTGCCAATGAAGGAAAGTAAAACAACTAGATTTATCACAGAAAAAGATCTATAACTAGAATGTAATAATAAAAAGGATAGCACTATACATAACAATACATGATAAAAACGGGCTACAGTTCGCCAGCAACTGACGGTAAATCACCACAAAGCTAGGGGCCATGGGAACTGAGAGTACCTTTAATTTGCTACCTGAAAGGACCCTTGCAGGATTTAAATCATACCGGAGCATCTTTGAAACATACGTTTATCACAGCCTGCTGTTGTGCATACATACGTTTATCACAGCCTGCTGTAGTGCATACATACGTTTATCACAGTCTGCTGTAGTGCATACATACGTTTATCACAGCCTGCTGTAGTGCATACATACGTTTATCACAGTCTGCTGTAGTGCATACATACGTTTATCACAGTCTGCTGTAGTGCATACATACGTTTATCACAGCCTGCTGTAGTGCATACATACGTTTATCACAGCCTGCTGAGTCTGTGGCATTGGTGCCTGCAGTGGTGTAGTTCTTGGGACACGGCGTGCAGGCAGTGTTGCCCCTGGTGTCCTTGTAGAGCCCCTGGGGGCAGACAGTGCACGTCTTCGCAGCCGCGTCATAACCAACGCCTCTGTCACAGAACACTGAAACATGACGGTGCAGTTGTGTCAAAATTACCGTTAGGGTAGTACCCAATACATTATAGAATATCCTTCTTGTACACAGAATGTGTTTGTTGTTGTAAGACTGTTGGCATAATCAGCTTCTTTTTTTAATCTCCGGATTATCTAGTATCAATTGTCATATACTTACTGACATTACAGGATATTCTGTAACACTGACGTATCTCGGATCTCCTACTTACTGACATTGCAGTTGATTCTATTTGAATCTGACGTCACGCTGCCCAGACACTGCTCGCAACTGCCAAATCCGCCTCGGTCTTTGAAAGTGTCGTTGGGACAAGGAAAGCATTGCTTGCCCCGATCTTCTTTTCCCGGGGGACATGAAACTGTGAAATATGATTAACTAAGCCTCCGGAGACTATATTTCACAAATTGTAAGGAAAAAGGTTTTGAGTTTATGTCTCGGAAGATTTCAATGAGCATCATACGACTCAAGCGATGTTTGATCAGGGTTACAAAACTCAAGACCTTGGTAAGGCTTTCGTAAAGTGTTAAAGGAGACATGTAGAAGACATTTCCAAATCAGTGAACAAAGTGATGTCCGATGCAATTCACCTCATGTTCCTGTGTTTGACATGTCTTTGTGACAGGTTCCAGTGGGGCATGATACGCACACAATTTCGCAATCACCTGGGATCATCACAATTTGAAAGTGATTCATGAACACGTGTTTATAATTTGGTCAGAATCGTACAATGTACTCTATGTTATGATTTATGTCGCCTTCATTTTCCGTGACCTAGTCTGTACCATGGTTTTCAGTGGTTGTCACCAACTTGTACACTGACCTTGTCTGTAGCCTGTTTTACAGTGGATGTCACCTACTTATACACTGACGTGTTTGTACCCCGTTCTATAGTGGATGTCACCTACTTGTACACTGACGTGTTTGTACCCCGTTCTATAGTGGATGTCACCTCCTTGTCACTGACCTAGTCTGTACCATGATTTAAAGTGGATGTCACCTACTTGTACACTGACCTAGTCAGTACCCTGTTTTACAGTGGATGTCACCTACTTGTACACTGACCTAGTCTGTACCATGATTTAAAGTGGATGTTACCTACTTGTACACTGACCTAGTCAGTACCCTGTTTTACAGAGGATGTCACCTACTTGTACACTGACCTAGTCTGTACCTTGATTTAAAGTGGATCTCACCTACTTGTACACTGACCTAGTCAGTACCCTGTTTTACAGTGGATGTCACCTACTTGTACACTGACCTAGTCGGTACCCTGTTTTACAGTGGATCTCACCTACTTGTACACTGACCTAGTCGGTACCCTGTTTTACAGTGGATCTCACCTACTTGTACACTGGCATGTTTGTACCCCGTTCTGTAGTGGGTGTCATCTACTTGTCACTGACCTAGTCTTTACCATGATTTAAAGTGGATGTAACCTACTTTTACACGAAGCTGGTGGGTACCATGTTTCACAGTGGACGTCACCTACTCGTACACTGACCTGGTCTGTAGCATTTTTTACAGTGGGTTTCACCTACTTGTACAGTCTTTCTGTGATGTAGAAGCGATTGTTGATGTATTAAGTTCAGAGCCACAATCTTTGCAGCTGCTCTGTGCAGGAAGTGGCTGGAACTGCCCATATCCACATGCCTCACAGTTATTCCCTGATACAATTCTGTACCCTGGTGAACAGTTTCCTGGAAACAAATGTGAAAGCAATAGCCAAAGTCCAAAATATTTTACTTGAAACTACGTACAGTAGGTCACTCAATTTTATATTTTATAGAGTTCTCAATGCAAATTTACACAAATACGTCATCAAACACATGGAGAGCATTCTGAGGAAGGTAAGTGGCTATCAAACTCGCCCATATATAAATATCAAAGTTACTAACTCAGTCTGCATTGGCTGGAGTTATTTGCACCAGCTGTGGGGGTTGTGTAGTTGGCATCAGAACAGGCTTCACATGGCAAGAACCTCATCTGAGATGATCCATTGTTCCAGGTCCCTCTAGGACATGGCTCACATTGAGTGCCATTGACCTGCTGGCCCGCAGCACAGAATGCTGGTGAGATAAACATGTCATCATTGAGAATATTTATGCAAATTCGCATATTGATGTTCGGAGATGTCCTTTAAAGGGCAAGTAAAGTGAAGAAAATGATTGCGTTTTGTTGCAAATATCAATTGTCCCAGGTATATTAAGTCAATCCCAGAGAGAAACAAAATATCATAGTATTTTTAGAAACCAATTTCAATGTCGAATGGAAATCCAAACAAAACTATTTGGGGACGTGGCACAGTTTGCAACGGTGCAGGATGTGCATTAACAAATGTTTTCAATAGTGTGGATTGTGATCGCAGTTGTATCCTGCTCAACATGCAGTATCTCAATGAATTTGCAAAATTGGTGATGCCACCCTCAAGATGACATGTGGCGTCACCCAACTACTCAGAGACATTAGTATACTTGTGCTTCGTGAAAAACTCATCTTTGGTGTCAATAGTGGTTGGGCATCCTGTTTGGGAACATTGAATAAATGGAAGTTTGACGTCTAGTCTTAATCGTGAACTTGTATCCGATTTCACTCAGAATTGTGAATAAAGTGTAAATCAACCTGTGTATTTGCCACAGAGGAAATCTGTTTCTTGTCTGTAAATCCTTCTAGAGCGAAAATCATACTAAATGATTAACATGTTCACTCACTCACTGATATATATTTTAAACGATTCCACTCAGTACAGTGTATGTGAATAGAATTCACCAAATAGTTGTGTCGAGTGAGTGAGTGAGTTTGGTTTTACGCCGTTTTAGCTATATTCGAGCAACATCACGTCAGGGGACATCAGAAATAGGCTTCACATATTGTACCCATGCCAGGAATCGAACCGGTGTACTCTTATGTGAGATGCGCTCTTCATTCCCCTACTGTCTTACCCATCGCCACGCTCGGGTTAATTTGTGACCCAAAACATTGGTGTTGGACAATAGGCTTCGAAATTATATGTCTAGCAGAAACATTTATTGACTATGCATTTTCCATACCTCAGCTGTCAGCTTATGACACATATATTGCAAAAGCTCATAGGCTAGCTAAGGCTGGTAGCTTATCAGGCGGTGTAACTTGTATAGACCTTCGCTGCCAACAGATTGAGTTAGATATACACAATTTCGTATGCATTAAATTTGATAATTTCTCAACTCTTGGCAAAAACCTGTTATTATTTTGAATGTATGTTGCTCCTATCGGCTCAACATTCTATGTTGCAGCAGAAAAGGCCACCGCTATTGAAGTGGTTAACCAGTGGTTGATTGAGCATAGTGACTAAGACTGTGAGGTCATCATCTGTGGGGACCTGAATGCCCGTGTAGGCGGGGGAAACAACCCACCAGAGACCTGGCCTCAACAATGCAGCTTTTCCCGAAGACCCACCTTTTCCAGAAGAAAAGGGAAAGTCATGTGATAATTTTGTAACCGCTTTTGGTCGTAAGCTACTTGAACTGTGTTTCACTCATGATTTATATATCCTCAACGACAGGACAAAGAGGGTACTTTTACTTACATAGCAGATCAAGAATGTAGCGAGACCGATTATTTTATAGGTTCAGTTAATGTTCACAATTGTTGTCAATCCACGTTCGTGGAGTTGATTCGAAACATATGCCTGTATGTCCACATTTGGACATATTTCTCCCTAAAGTATCTACAAGTGATGATTATCTTTCGACCAGTACACACAGCTATAAATGGAACCCTCGTAAGCGTGATGTGTTCATAGGAAGTATAACAAATCTATGTCCATCTTTTAACGGGCTTATCGATCTTTCAACTTTTGATTTTAATCTTGCCCTCGAAAAATTTGTTAGTGTTGTTCTTAGTGCCGCTGAATGTATGGAGGTACCTTGTGTTACAAATTCACCACGAAATACGGGATTTTATAACATTGAATGCCGACGAGCAAAACGGGAAGCAAGGCGATACATGAGGAAATTCAGAGAGAAGATATCTAACAAAAATAAGTTAATCTTTTGTAAAATGAGAAACAAGTACATTTATAACGTGTTTGCAGGACAGCAAAATCAAACTATCAATTTATGACACGTAATAAACTAAAGCTATCTGTAGCTGATTCAACCACATTTTGGAAAGAGTTACGGAGTATATGAGGTCGTAGGGAAACAAAGAATAACATAAGTAAAAAGTGCTGGTTTGATCATTTTACAAAAGTATTTCAATGTACAGATGTATTACATGCTGAAGTCGACTTACAAACTTTGCTAATATAAGACGTAAACTACCCGAAACACAAGCAGGCTTTGGACGGGGATATTCTCCTGCTGATCACATATTCACGTTGAATGCAATTGTTAAAAAATGGATTTGTGGATTTAAAAAATGCGTTTGATTCAGTAAACAACCTTAAGCTATGGGAGTGTCTGCACGATGTAGGCTTGGGTTGGAAGATGATGAGAGCACTTAAGGGAATCTATGCTTCTGTGAAAGCGAGTGTGAGATGTAAGGATAACATTTATACAGAATATTTTGATTGTCCTAACTGAGTTAAACAAGGCTGCATATTAAGCTCTCTATTATTTTCCTTTTTTATCAATGAACTGTCAAATGGTGTTTCATCACCTGGGAAACACGGCGTACAATTATTTTGACTTGTTTGACATATTATTATTATTGTTTGCCGAAGATGTTACTCTTGTCTCAGAGTAACTGGTTTACAGTACAAACTTAATATTCTTGAAAAGTTTGCAGATTCACACGGATTAACGGTAGATTTAGATAAAACGAGTATTGTATTTAGACGATGAGGGTGGTTATCTGTTAATGAGAAATGGTTCTAGATGGCAAACATGTTTCAACCGCCAACTCCTAAAGATATCTTGGGTTTGTATTCTCATATACATCAAAGATGAACCAATTTGTTTCAGATCTAGCATCAAGGGGTAAACGAGCTTTAATGGAAATATTTCGCAATCTACGGAAGATTGGTTTTGTTGACACTTCCGTTTTCTTTAAAATATTCGATACTAAGATTCAACCTATTCTTTTATATGGTGTGGAAATATGGAGAGTAAACAGATTTGAAAAAATAGAACAGTATTATGGCTTGTAAGAAGTTGCTTAACGTTGGTTTGTGGAGAAGTACTATCAAGGCTTGTACTAGGTACATCCTGCATAAAGAACTTAAAAGTCTCCTGGAACCAGACAAATACCTTTCCATTATTGCTGAAACAAAATATTGAAATGTTATGATAAGGATTAGAGCCGGGCAACTAAGATTTAAGGTAAACGAAGGTAGATGGGCTGATAGTGATGTACGTCTACGGCTCTGCCCCATAATATGTGAAACAAGTATAGAAAATAAATATCATTTTACTTTAGAATGTGAATATTACAACGATATTAGACAACTGTACCTACAATTTTTTTTGCTAAAATCAAATATGCATAAATGTACAATGCTGCTGTCATCCTCATGTTACCAATCATTTTAAAACTATGTAAATACCTGTATTACAGCTATGAAAGAAGACGTAATTATGAAATGCTAGTAAATCTGTAAATTTGTACCCGACATTACCTTTTTTCATGTACCACACTATTTCAAATGTGTGTATTGTATATGGGCCAGTGGTTTTAGCACAAAGAAAAGACTTCAATACTTTACTACTGACAAGTTGGGAGACCCCTAATAAACTACCAGGCAGACTGGGCGCTGGCCCGATCGTTGATATTGTGATGGAGGTCAACACGTTTTGACCTCCACTAAAGGGATTCCCCTCAGTGGTGGTATTTTTTGTTTTGGGGGAACGATGTTTGCCTGTCATTCATATCGTCAGTTTTTCGGTATCTCTTTTTTCAAATTTATTTTTGGTAAACCATTTGTGATTATCCCCTAAAGTTTTAAATTTTGCTAAGTTGACTTTACCGTGATAATACATTGTTTGGTGTTTAGTCTCTACTTACGAAGACAATCAGAGGAAGAGTTACTCTTGGGCTGCTTGGTTCCGTTTGGAGAGAGGCAAGCATGGCACTGTGTTGTGCTACTAGGAAGTGTCTCTGGTTGGTAGGTATCTTTAGGACAATCTTCACATGCTGACAGGTTCCTTGTCAGTCTCTGCCCAGCAGTGCACACCTCTATATAACATATAAAAGAAAGAATGAAATCTTTGAAAATTTTATGTTCTTTCACAACGCTTGTTTATTGTGTGACCATTGTCACCGAACCCTGATGACGTGAATAGTATTCTTAATGATTGGATACCGTGGGCCAGACTCGAATAATGCCGACATCATAAGATGCCACTACTGCAGTGTAAATATAAACATTTCCTCATAACAATAATGCTTACTGATGCTACAATTTGTTTCATGTTCAGAGCCAACCCTGTCAGTCGTTAACCCATCACTGCAGTTCTTGCAGGTCGAGAAGGGTTTCTCTGTGCTGGAGCGGAAGGTCCCTCGCGGACACACGGTGCAAGTCTTGTTATCAGACGTTTTCTGTTCATAGCCATCAGGACAGAAAACTGGGGGACACATGAAGAGGAATGATTATGTCACAGAAATTAAGAATTACATTGACAATTACGTTTCTGTAACTGAAAAACATGACACACAAAATATTAGTAGAAGGTCATGGAATACAAGCAGTAAGTCATCTTTCAGTTATGACATGAAGATTACTGCAGTTCATTTTGATCATATATTTTGTCCATATCTTAGCACATGGGGTTTTCAGCAGACATTAATGTAGCCACTGGTGTTTGTCGACTGAGTGGTTTTCAAGAGGCTATCATCACTGTTTAAAGCAGACATTTTGTCTCCGAGGAGAGGAATAAAACAATGTTTAGGAATAACACATATTTTTCAAATCATCCAGCTTGTCCAATGAACAAATGTTTCTGTTTTGTATGATCGGAAGCAAAATGTTTTTTTCCCTGCAGGTCCTGGATCAGATAATATCCTGCCTACAGTAAGGTTACCAGTTATAGGTGTCTGGTAGTTATTGGAAATAAAATTAGTAACGTAACTCAGCTAAGATTCTTGCTTGTCTCTATTGCACTGAAGGGGAGAAATGGATAAACAACACATGCATCCCACACCACCTACATTTACAGTCAGTAGCATTTGTGGATTCTTCAGCTTCAGTTGTGTAGCCGTCCTCACACTTGATGCAATGTCTCTTCAACTGTGTCGGCTGGAACGTCCCTACAGGACACGTCGTGCACACGTTGCTGTCAATGATGTATCTGCCACGGGGACATTCAGCTGGCAAGCATGAATATATAGATAGGGAGGACATGGGTCACGTTCATTACATTTGTAAATAATCGAGAATATAAGCCATAGGTACTCGTTGGCATTTATAAGAAATAGATCACAAATGTAATCAAAAACATTGTTGAATTATGTCGGTACTCTGTCGATGCTGAACTCGATAATACGAAACAATGCATGTGAGTATAAGTGTAAGAAGATATATCTGATATCACCGGCTATGGATGAATTCAACTAACAGTTCTTCTTTTGAACATACTGGATCACTTTGTTTATTAAAACCCAACGACTGATTGTATGATGGATACCTTTAACTCTGAAACACTTTACAAATTTGTTGGATGGCAAACCACTGACCAACAAATAAACTGATAGGAATCAAAGCATTACAAGGATACAACTAGCCTAACATTAATGATGATATTGGATATATAACAATCAACACCATAAGCTGTATGACAAAAGGAAGTGTTCACTTGAAAATTGAATTTGATCAAACAATTGCAAACTTTGTCAATGAAACACTGCAAACTTCAGGCCTTGTTTGTTTTCATAGTAAGCCACCATCAAACGTGGGTGTGAAATTTTTTTTGATTATCGTATTTGATTGTGTACGTCCATGTGACAAGGGGGCACGGGTGGGCCCAGTCGTCGAAGGCGCCGCGATTCGCTGAGCAGACACATCTTGGACACACCAGAAACTTTAAACTGACGTCCAAAAGAAACTATACCAAGAAATAAATGACATCAATTCTGTTCGATTCGGAGAATGGCAATGAAATGCTATTTAAATAAGTCACCCAAATACAACAAACATTTTCCGGTGACTTAATGCCGTTGAAGGTGTGATTTACCTAAAAACTTGCATTTTGCCATAATGACATATATACAAGGAATGCACACGCTGAACTGGTATAGATACCACAACTAGGAACATTTGTGGCAGACAGGTCAGACATCAGTCAGTTCAAGGGGTGGAAGATCGTTTTGAGCCACGTCCATTCAAGACCGTCAATTGTGTGTTCTCACTGTCCATGTCCATCACGTGACGTGAATGCAAGAACCCTGATTTGACAGATTGAGATGAGCCAGGAGGGTACACCATTGGCAAATGCGGGATGGGGGATGATTTTTATTCTTTGTTGAGAGCAGGTTTTGTCTGTTTAGAGCTGATGGTCGGCAATCTGTCTCCAGATGTCAAGGTAAACGTGTAGTTCCGACATGTGCCCGGGAAGTTCAATTTTTTTTGTGGGGACTTAATCACTCGAGACAACCTTAATGCACAGAGGAATGGAGATGAATCTTTGCGACCGTTTTGTTGCCATTTCAAAACCATACATCAGCACTAAAAACTTTTGACTTTACCGTAAGACCCGTACAAATGTCCATTCCTCTTTTGTATTTCATTTTCCAAGCTTCATAAAAATCCAAACAAAGAGAAATGTTTTGCTGGGTCCAGCAAATGGACCACCGACTCAAAGACTATCTGCAATCTTTAATTCAATCAAGGCAGGGCTTTCTTTATATTCACAGAAAGTAATTCAGACAAGATGAATTGATACTTCTTTCATTTCTGTCCACAATTGTCAATTCTGTCAAAACATTTGACTTTTCAACTTTAATATGCCACGTTACAAACAATGAAACTCTTCATTCCTTGATCCATGGGACATTTGTAACTAAACGTAGTGTGACCACAAGTCTAGTTACATGTCTCTTTTCACAGGTTCAGGACAATTTGTCACAAATGATAACAAATGTCAGGAGAATTTTACTGAGAAAACAATATTTGAAATGCTTGACTTTCTCATTAATCACATATACTACTCAAAAGAAGTTAAGGATCACCTGATTCTTTCATATTACTATTGTCAATCTCTCATGTCATGACAGATTAACTTTACGATTATGAAAGAATCGGGTGATCGTTAAGTTCTTTTGAGTAGTATATATGTAAAATTTGGGGGTAAGACATTTAAGCAAGAAGTAGACATCCCCATGGGCACCACTTGTGCCCCTCTTCTTGCTGCTTTGTTTCTTTATGCATATGAAATGGAATATCTGCTGTCCATGGGGAGGACATGTCCACTATAAATCCAGTGTTTACTTTCTTTGCTTAGACTGTACCTATTGTTGGATTGATGTTTTGACAGTGACAATGTGGATTATCACAGTTTGACCCCTCTGTATATCTGTGGATCTTTGTTCCTCTAACAGTTTCGACTTCTTTGGAGTGTAATTGGTTTCACAACATGCCAGAACACCACTCCCATTAATGTCTCCATATATCCTTTGAACATACAATGTGTTTTGAATAGTTTTTTAAAACTATTGGTATAGTTTCTTTTGGACGCAAGTTTTGATATTATGCCTGAAAACTGTTTTTCGAAAACCTTTGTTTTTTGTCACATTTACATTCATCCCAGGTAATGTACAATATATCTCGAGTCCAACAATCTTTGTCTGTAAACTGCCAGACTGTCAGCAATTGAAGAAACACCATCAGCAAACATAAGAGCAAATACATTTTGAATAATAGGGGATAAGTAAATTCCATGCCAACCGAATTCCACCATCATACTAAATAACTGGTTCCTGAAGATAATACACAGCTTGGGGTTCAAAGTGCAACCTTGACGTGTTCCAATATTGCAGAGAAATAACTTCGAAGTCAATTTGCTGTTTACAGACAAGCTGACACATTATACACTGATGACAAATTATTAGAATAATTTCGATTTATTCCTACATTCTTAAGACATGACTTACAGTGTAAAATGCCTTTGTAAAGTACGAACATAGTTATTAAAATCTATTTTTTTTCTTGCATATCGAGGACATGCAAGATTTATGTCCTCACAGAAACCTCAGGAGTTTTTCTACATTTATAATGATTATGTGATATAATTAGTTGTTAAGTAAGCGCGGTCTGCAACCTACCAATGCATTATGTTTGTGAATTACGAAAAAAAACAGTTAATAAAAGTGGAGATGAATATTTCCCCACATGTTTCAAACATTTACGTAATAACTCATTCATTTATTCATCATTGTTAAACGCCTTTGTGGTTTCCAGTTGAAACAGCAATACTCCATGTTTTACGTAAACATTCCTGATATAAGGCTTAGACAAAAGCTCTTGACATACCTCAATACTCACTGCTTTACGTAAATACCCCCTGAACTATGGCAGCTTGATGACATCTTACAGGGGTTTCGGAAAATGTCATGTGTGACCCAGATTAGGTAGTGTCAAGTACATGACCAAAAAGTTTACATAATTTCAGTTCAAACCAGGGATAAAGTAAGTTTGGATTAGTGAGATTTGCTTGATAAATTTACATGGTATATTTTGGACCGTAAATTTGGTCAGGTTTTGACAGATCCCACTTTATATCCTTCATCATTTAGTTACATACTTATAGATAACATGGTGTCTAGATATTTCACTAACAAATATTCTACTCTAACACAACGTAATACTGACGTAAGCTACAGCCGGACGACGATGTTGTCTTGGTTCCTTCAGTGGTTTTTCCAGGCGGACATTTCGTACAGTTGTCTTGTAAATTGCGCGTCCTGTAGTAGCCTTGAGCACAATCCTTGCATGATCCATCATCCTGCAACACAGTGCCGGACGGACAGCCATCTGCAACGTGGAATATACATTTAGCAATACTTGGAAGTAAAAGACATGGTCCTGCAACTTGGTGCCAGGACGAAATCACTCTGCAACATGGAATACACATTGACCAATGCTTGGAAGTAAATGGCATCTCTTGCAACCTGGTGTCAGAAGGACATCACTCTGCAACATGGAATACACATTGACCAATGCTTGGAAGTAAATGGCATCTCCTGCAACTTGGTGCCAGGAGGACACCACTCTGCAAGTTGGAATATTATATTATCTATCCTCACATCAGAACAATAATCAGTTAAAAGTAAACCCATTCTCAGCCTTATGGTAATTGAAGTTCCCAAGTGGACTACCGCAAACTGTATTTCACTAGAAAAAAAGAGATATAATATGTAATTGTAATTAAACCTTATATCCAACCCTCCTGGCTACTATACTGAAACGCAAAAGAAACATCACCCCAAGTATCATTGCATGAAAAGTTGTCATTTAAATATCTGGGTAATTTTTGGTTAAGTTTCTACAATTTAACATTACCTTGTCTAGAAAAATGAAATTTGATGATAAAAAAATCAAAGCAGATGACAATATAAACCGATCGCACAAACGCATCACGGCAACGGCCATGATAACCCGATGCATGGACCATATACAGGCTCCAGCAACGGTACGAGACCACCAACACTATAGATGACCGATCATGTAGTGGAAGCCCAAGAGTCACGACCCGACGTCAGGATCGTCAGATTGTGCGATAGCGTCTTCAAGATTGCTTTGTTACTGCTGCAGAAATTGCTCGACAGACCGTGGGGCATCTTCCCGAGGCAAGAGAGTAAACTGACTTTAAAAGTCCAGTTTCCATCCTTGCCGAACTAGGCTGGAATTCCTGGGCTCGATCGTAACCCCACCAGTGGCTATTACGAGTTATGTCCCTTCTATACCTCTCCCATGGACCAATCAGATTCCACCTTGCATTTGCTTCAAACAAAACGGTGGCGCCCAGTCAAGACGATATGATCAATAATCAAGATCTATATTGTGATAAAACGAGTCTTACATCGTGAAGTGCATTAAATCACGTGAGCAGCTGGATTAAAAACATGAACAGATTTAGAAAATATCTGTTAACAACGAGTTAGTGGTTCACATGCTTTGCAAATCCTGCAGTCGACAGAAATCTGCATGACAGTTTACGAACCGGATTTCGATTTCGTTGCGCGATTTTGATTGGATTATGCATAGACTCGTTAGTCCTGCCAAAATGTAACTCCATAAAATCAGCCTAGTTCGGCAAGGGTGGAAACTGGACTTTTATCGTCAGTTAACTCTCTTGCCTCGGGAAGATGACCATCGGGACAAACCAGCGAAACCTTAGTGCGGACACCGTGCGTCGACGATTGACGAGCACACACCTCCACTGTTATAGGCTACACCGAGGACCCATTCTGACACCACGTCATCGCCGGGACCGTCTTCAGCACCAGCATTGGCGCCACCAGCAGTGGAGAAGAGTCCTCTTCTCAGACGAGAGACATTACTGTATTTTTTACAGCAGATGGCAGACCGAGAGTCTGGTAACACCGTGGGGTACGTTATTCGGATGCTTGTGTTGTTGAGAGAGACTCTTGGGTAGGTCCGAGCATCATGGTGTGGGGTGGAATTTGTCTTGCACAATGAGGTCGGCTATGTGGACTTCCAGAACATCGGTCCAGGGAGAGGCAATGGTGTCACAGCAGCTCGGCACATTTATCAAGTCTTGAGACCACACGTCATACCTCATTTGGCACGTCGCCGCAACAACGAGTTTCAGCATGATAACGCCTGTGCCCAAACTGCGAGAGCAACAAGAGACTTCCTCCAGCAGAATGGCAGTCCCGGTTTAATTTCCATTAGCACCTGCGGGACAACGTTCAAAGACGGCTGAATTACGTCCGACCAAGGCCGACAACTGTAGCTGAACTGCGTCAGGCGTTCCTCAGAGTGTGGGCTCATGTGCCTTTGGCCTTCATCAACCGCCTCATCCCTCCCATGTATCGATGTTGCATGGCAGTCATCAATGCAAATGGCGGACCCATGAGATACTGACTTGTGATGTCATGTTCTCAGAGACTAGTTTTGTGTTTCATTTTAAGAACATTTTACACTTTAATTTCAACCTTGATGATCAGTTTTGCCAAGTTTCATCTTTGAATATGTCTCAAAGTATGTTTACAGTGTTTGAACAAATGAGGTTTCTCATACATCTAGCCATGGTGACGTTTCTTTTGCGTTCAGTATATAATTGACTATAAACGACTCATAGCTACATATTTGATAGACATTGATCAACGTGATGAACACAGATCCTACATGTATTATAAAGTGACATTGCTTGACAAATATAGCTAGCTGGACGTTTTATTAATAGTTAACATAAGAATATTATTGTTTTGTTTGGTTGGATATGCACCATATTTCTTGGGTAAGTTATTCACCCACAGCTTCTTGTAACCAGAGTAGACTAACAGAAACAAACACAGCACAATCTCCTGTTTCGTGGGATATTAGCGTATCTTCCAGTTCCACATAGCTCAAGCAAAAAACAACAACGTCCAATCTGAGCAAGCGCCACTCTAAATTGTTTGATTGTCACACAGCTAAGATATCAAACGATACCTTGAATAGAGAATAAGATTAACTACCCTCTTCCAGAGGACTGTGCCAATCCTGTTCAAGACTGCATTTCAGGCATAAATTCTGACAAAATCGATTATGACTTATACACTGGTGTTCCCAAAGGTGAACAATACAGATTTACATTGTGAGACCCAATTACTTTTACCATAATTTAAAAGGTAATGAAATAACATTTTTCTGAGAAGTGACGATCGGACTTACTCAAAAACTTTATCCGGTTACCAATAACTCTTTTATTCATAACGTTATAAAGGATAACGTCGACATTCAACTCGAACCATGTTGTTTGACGTCTGACACCGAGAAAGCGCTTGCATGCCGATGTATATATTAATTCTATTTCATCATTCTGGTGTAGAACCCAGACTTCGGAACCATAGAGCAAAATTGGAACTATTGTCTTATCAAACATTTTAAAATTTTATTTATGCTGAAGAAGATGTAATTTTGACAATAAGTTTAAAATTGCAAACATTGTCTTTTTCCTTGTAAACTGGCATCAGAGAAATGACATGACCACAACAGGCTTCTAGAACAAGTGATGCTGAAATACTTGTCGGAAGATACACACTTGAACTTTAAGCCTTTACATAACCGAATCTGTATTTTTGCCAACCCTTCACCTTTCTAAAAAACACCTTAGTTTTATTCAAAGTGACGTCTAAATCATGATCCCTACAATACTTATAGAGACATCATTGCGCTTCTGAAGTCCAACTATGGTATCGGAGATTAGAATAATATTGCATGCAAGCAATAACAGAAATAACTGTGTAATATCAGGATGAAGTTGTATTCCTGGTCGAGAATTCTGTTCTACCTACCTGAGCAGGTAGTTCGTTAATTAAAATTGAAAATAGAATGGGGCTTAACACAAAACCCTGGACACCCTGCATATGTTGTAGCATATATTGAAATATTGATTAAGCTATTGATACAATTATGAGAATTTAGCTATAGCCAACGTTGTATTTGTTTTCGTTGTCGTTTAATTAACCTCACCTATCCTGAAGGTGTCGAGCCTGTACTAGATTGTACCAACGTCTAACGTAAAGATATACTGTGTTTAATATTAAACTGCAGCGATAACTAAAATCTGTGTTTCTGTGCTTCTTCTACACTTAAAAACAATAAACGTACAGGGCTCTGAGACACAGGTTGATTTCACATTAAACTGTACTCACTGAAACATTTAGCCTTATTGTCTGTTCCCTCAATTCTGGTTCTCTTGAGCAGAGGACATGGGTAGCAGAACGACTGCCCCTCCTTCTCCTGGTAGTAGTCACGTGGACATGGGTTACAGCTGCTGCCTTGGAAGTACTGACCAGCTGGACATTTGTCTGGAAATACAATTTGTCAGTTTGACCCGGAATAAACAGAATTAAAATAAAAGAACGGATGAAGTTTATTTCCCTTCAGCAAACAAACAACCTAAATTGCCAATTATTAATAATTTTTTGAACGTAATTGCACGTAATTCTTGGAACGTAATTGCACGAATTGCCTAAGACACAAGCAACCATTCAGATATGTAAGCAGGTGTTTGAATCTCAGTTGACCTGCATGATTGCAAGCCATGTAGTACAGATTCCTTTCCTTTGTAAGAGTTGCGTCTGAATCAATCGGAAGACACGTCACCGGCCATCAAGTGAATGAATGAGTGAGTGAGTTGGGTTTAACACCACTTTTAACAGTATTCCAGTTATATCACGGCGTGACAGCTTAATGTGGGAGGAAAGCCCGATGTGATGCAGGTCTCAGACATTTACCACCTCGTTGAAACCTACTAGTACGGGTATGGTGCTGACAAACCTCTGAAACAATCGGGGCGACCCGGAATTCGAAACAACAGTCATAGGTTTCTTGCATGCCCAAGGGACGCAACTCTGCACAGCGAATCACTATCAAATAGGGATGCTACGGAGTGCTCGTGAAAAGGTGAGCGTATCATGCCCCACCGGTGGCACCCGTCACAAATACATGCAAAGGCAAGTCAATTGCTGACCTAAACATACTTGGGAACACACAGTACAGGTAAGCATAGGGAAACGCATCAGACATTATTGTCAAATTTGGGACTAAGCTGGGTTTCATTTTGGTCCCCTAGTCAATTTAATTTCTTAGTTCATAAGTATAAACGCTAACCTTTCTGGTATACACCATTTTTGTCTGGCAAGGTATAAGCTTCGCCCCAAAAAGATCATGTTTCTCATTTTACCGCTCCCGTTATGCTCTTTTTGGTACTTTCCCCGCTAAGTGAGCCTGACCACCCTACCCCCTACTGCAAATATAAGTTAAATTTACATTCTTTCTGAAAACGCTAGCTAGCGTCCTTGCATCGTGTTGGTGTTGACTTTACACTTAACGTACTTACGCACACAGCTAGCAAGCATTCTTAAATCGTGTCTACGGGTGGTCTTGTCTTTACACTTAACATACTTACGCACACAGGTAGCTAGCGTCCTTTAATCGTGTCTACGGGAGGTCTTGTCTTTACACTTAACGTACTTATCCACACAGCCTCCAAGCATCCCTAAATCGTGTTTTCCGGTGGTCTTGTCTTTACACTTAACGTACTTATCGACACAGCTAGCCAGCGTCCTTTAATCGTGTCTTTAGGTGGTCTTGTCTTTACACTTAACGTACTTACCCACACAGCCAGCTAGCGTCCTTGAAATGTGTCGACGAGTGGTCTTGTCTTTACACTTAACATACTTACCCACACAGCTGGCCAGCGTCCTTGCACCGGGTCTGAGCGTGGTCTTTCCTCCACAGGATTTGCAGGAGGTCTGTGACGACATGTCTGAGTAGGTGCCTACTGGACACAGCACACACATGCCGAGAGTGGAGTTGAAGAAGGACCCAGGACCACAGGCAACTGGAAGTTACAACAGGTGGTCAGTTCATTCTCTACTTACGTGCAACAAGTAAATCAGTTTGTGAGTGAGTAATTATTCCTTGTCGCCGTATCAGCAGCCTGCAGCAATTCGCGGCGAGAAACTGTCTAATCTGACCTTATGTAAAGAAACATAATAAAAATGATGCTGAAAATCACTAAAACATCGGTCAAATGTCACATTGAAGGGTTAAAAAAGACTGTCCAGATAAAAATCTATATTTTATCACAGTTTGATTTCTTTTAAATATCCTAAATTCAAGTGGTTAGAAACTGTTCTAAAGTTTTAGATAGGGGATGAACATTATCATACATGCGTTGTCTGATAAGTGCAAAATAAACACATTCAAGCAAAATGTGCTTGATAGAATTTGTAAGGGAAAGAAAAAGGTGGATCCTCATCCTTCAATAAAAAATGAAGGTCTGTGATAATTGTGGCCAATGCAGTACCACCCTAACACAACTTCATCATGATGATATACCTAGACCAGAATGGGTGTGACCTCCAATCAGTGGCTTGATGGAGTGGAGTTTATTCATGGTGATATAGACCAGAAAGTGTTTGACCTCAAATCAGTGGCTTGATGGTAATGGATAACATTCATGGTGATATAGACCAGGAAGGGTGTGACCTCTAATCAGTGGCTTGGTGGCATGGATTACATTCATGGTGATATAAACCAGAATGGGTGTGACCTCCAATCAGTGGATTGATGGTAATGGTTTACATTCATGGTGATATACACCAGAATGGGTGTGACCTCTAATCAGTGGCTTGATGGTAATGGATTACATTCATGGTGATATAGACCAGAATGGGTGTGGTCTCCAATCAGTGGCTTGATGGTAATGGCTTACATTCATGGTGATATAAACCAGAATGGGTGTGACCTCCAATCAGTTGCTTGATGGTAATGGTTTACATTCATGGTGATATAGACCAGAATGGGTTTGACTTCTAATCAGTGGCTTGATGGTAATGGATTACATTCATGGTGATATAGACCAGAATGGGGTTGGCCTCCAATCAGTGGCTTGATGGTAATGGATTACATTCATGGTGATATAGACCAGCATGGGTGTGACCTCCAATCAGTGGCTTGATGGTAATGGTCTACATTCATGGTGATATAGACCAGAATGGGTGTGACCTCTAATCAGTGGCTTGATGGTAATGGATTACATTCATGGTGATATAGACCAGGAAGGGTGTGACCTCCAATCAGTGGCTTGGTGGCATGGATTACATTCATGGTGATCTAGACCAGAATGGGTGTGACCTCCAATCAGTGGATTGATGGTAATGGTTTACATTCATGGTGATATAGACCAGAATGGGTGTGACCTCTAATCAGTGGCTTGATAGTAATGGATTACATTCATGGTGATATAGACCAGGAAGGGTGTGGCCTCCAATCAGTGGCTTGATGGTAATGGTTTTCATTCATGGTGATCTAGACCAGAATGGGTGTGGCCTCCAATCAGTGGCTTGATGGTAATGGATTACATTCATGGTGATGGGTGTGACCTCCAATCAGTGGCTCAATGGTAATGGTTTACATTCATGGTGATATAGACCAGGAAGGGTGTGACCTCTAATCAGTGGCTTGATGGTAATGGATTTCATTCATGGTGATATAGACAGGTATGGGTGTGGCCTCCAATCAGTGGCTTGATAGTAATGGATTACATTCATGGTGATATAGACCAGAATGGGTGTGACCTCCAATCAGTGGATTGATGGTAATGGATTACATTCATGGTGATATAGACCAGAATGGGTGTGACCTCTAATCAGTGGCTTGATGGTAATGGATTACATTCATGGTGATATAGACCAGGAAGGGTGTGACCTCCAATCAGTGGCTTGATGGTAATGGATTACATTCATGGTGATATAGACCAGAATGGGTGTGACCTCCAATCAGTGGCTTGATGGTAACGGTTTACATTCATGGTGATATAGACCAGAATGGGTGTGACCTCCAATTAGTGGCTTGATGGTAATGGTTTACATTCATGGTGATCTAGACCAGGAAGGGTGTGACCTCCAATCAGTGGCTTGATGGTAATGGCTTTCATTCATGGTGATATAGACCAGGAAGGGTGTGACCTCCAATCAGTGGCTTGGTGGCATGGATTACATTCATGGTGATCTAGACCAGGAAGGGTGTGACCTCCAATCAGTGGCTTGATGGTAATGGATTACATTCATGGTGATATAGACCAGGAAGGGTGTGACCTCCAATCAGTGGCTTGGTGGCATGGATTACATTCATGGTGATCTAGACTAGAATGGGTTTGACCTCCAATCAGTGGCTTGATGGTAATGGTCTACATTCATGGTGATATAGACTAGAATGGGTGTGACCTCCAATCAGTGGCTTGATGGTAATGGATTACATTCATGGTGATATAGACTAGAATGGGTGTGACCTCCAATCAGTGGCTTGATGGTAATGGCTTTCATTCATGGTGATATTGACCAGAATGGGTGTGACCTCCAATTAGTGGCTTGATGGTAATGGATTACATTCATGGTGATATAGACTAGAATGGGTGTGACCTCCAATCAGTGGCTTGATGGTAATGGCTTTCATTCATGGTGATATAGACCAGGAAGGGTGTGACCTCCAATCAGTGGCTTGATGGCATGGATTACATTCATGGTGATCTAGACCAGGAAGGGTGTGACCTCCAATCAGTGGCTTGATGGCATGGTCTACATTCATGGTGATATAGACCAGGAAGGGTGTGACCTCCAATCAGTGGCTTGGTGGCATGGATTACATTCATGGTGATCTAGACTAGAATGGGTTTGACCTCTAATCAGTGGCTTGAAGGCATGCATTACATTCATTGTGATATAGACCAGGAAGGGTGTGACCTCCAATCAGTGGATTGAAGGCATGGATTACATTCATGGTGATATAGACCAGAAAGGGTGTGACCTCCAATCAGTGGCTTGATGGTAATGGTTTACATTCATGGTGATATAGACCAGGAAGGGTGTGACCTCCAATCAGTGGCTTGATGGCATGGATTACATTCATGGTGATGTAGACCAGGAAGGGTGTGACCTCCAATCAGTGGCTTGATGGCATGGATTACATTCATGGTGATCTAGACCAGAAAGGGTGTGACCTCCAATCAGTGGCTTGATGGTAATTGTTTACATTCATGGTGATATAGACCAGGAAGGGTGTGACCTCCAATCAGTTGCTTGATGGTAATGGTTTACATTCATGGTCATATAGACCAGAAAGTGTTTGACCTCTAATCAGTGGCTTGATGGTAATGGATTACATGCATGGTGATATAGACTAGAATGGGTGTGACCTCCAATCAGTGGCTTGATGGTAATGGTTTACATTCATGGTGATATAGACCAGGAAGGGTGTGACCTCTAATCAGTGGCTTGGTGGCATGGATTACATTCATGTTGATATAGACCAGGAAGGGTGTGACCTCCAATCAGTGGCTTGATGGCATGGATTACATTCATAGTGATATAGACCAGGAAGGGTGTGACCTCCAATCAGTGGCTTGATGGTAATGGTTTACATTCATGGTGATATACACCAGAATGGGTGTGACCTCCAATCAGTGGCTTGATGGTAATGGATTACATTCATGGTGATATAGACCAGGAAAGGTGTGACCTCCAATCAGTGGCTTGATGGTAATGGTTTACATTCATGGTGATATAGACCAGGAAGGGTGTGACCTCCAATCAGTGGCTTGATGGTAATGGTTTACATTCATGGTGATATAGACCAGGAAGGGTGTGACCTCCAATCAGTGGCTTGACGGTAATGGATTACATTCATGGTGATATAGACCAGGAAGGGTGTGACCTCCAATCAGTGGCTTGATGGTAATGGTTTACATTCATGGTGATATAGAACAGGAAGGGTGTGACCTCCAATCAGTGGCTTGATGGTAATGGTTTACATTCATGGTGATATAGACCAGAATGGGTGTGACCTCTAATCAGTGGCTTGATGGTAATGGATTACATTCATGGTGATATAGACCAGAAAGGGTGTGACCTCCAATCAGTGGCTTGATGGTAATGGTTTACATTCATGGTGATAAAGACCAGGAAGGGTGTGACCTCCAATCAGTGGCTTGATGGCATGGATTACATTCATGGTGATATAGACCAGAATGGGTGTGACCTCCAATCAGTGGCTTGATGGTAATGGATTACATTCATGGTGATATAGACCAGAATGGGGTTGGCCTCCAATCAGTGGCTTGATGGTAATGGATTACATTCATAGTGATATAGACCAGCATGGGTGTGACCTCTAATCAGTGGCTTGATGGTAATGGTTTACATTCATGGTGATATAGACCAGAATGGGTGTGACCTCTAATCAGTGGCTTGATGGTAATGGATTACATTCATGGTGATATAGACCAGAAAGGGTGTGACCTCCAATCAGTGGCTTGATGGTAATGGTTTACATTCATGGTGATAAAGACCAGGAAGGGTGTGACCTCCAATCAGTGGCTTGATGGCATGGATTACATTCATGGTGATATAAACCAGAATGGGTGTGACCTCCAATCAGTGGCTTGATGGTAATGGATTACATTCATGGTGATATAGACCAGGAAGGGTGTGACCTCCAATCAGTGGCTTGATGGTAATGGATTACATTCATGGTGATCTAGACCAGGAAGTGTGTGACCTCCAATCAGTGGCTTGATGGTAATGGATTACATTCATGGTGATATAAACCAGAATGGGTGTGACATCCAATCAGTGGCTTGATGGTAATGGATTACATTCATGGTGATATAGACCAGGAAGGGTGTGACCTCCAATCAGTGGCTTGATGGCATGGATTACATTCATGGTGATATAGACCAGGAAGGGTGTGACCTCCAATCAGTGGCTTGAAGGTATGGATTACTTCATAGTGATATAAACCAGAATGTGTGTGACCTTCATTCAGTGGCTTGATGGCATAGAGTCTATTCATGGTGATATAGACCAGACAGGGTGTGACCTCCAATCAGTGGCTTGAAGGCATGGATTACATTCATGGTGATATAGACCAGACAGGGTGTGACCTGCAATCAGTGGCTTGAAGGCATGGATTACATTCATTGTGATATAGTCCAGAATGGGTGTGACCTTCATTCAGTGGCTTGATGGCATAGAGTCTATTCATGGTGATATAGAATCAGTATCTTGTGATGGCTCTAGTATTGTTTCTGGTTGTGGTGCCTCAGTCTGTGTGGTTGATGAACGCTGAAATCTTGTGATATTTGAGTACTTTGATCCAAGGTTATCTGGACATCATTTACCCAAGATATCCCTGTTTGGCATAAAGTTGAAACTGATGTTTGTGTGTTCCTTGTTTGTTTGTTGTTTAACACCGCACTCCAGCTAGTCCAGCTATAGGACGGCGGTCTGTAAATAATCGAGTCTGGACCAGACAATCCAGTAACTGACATGAGCATAAATTGTTTGATAGGCATTACTTAGAAGTTGACGGAAGACAAGATAGACACAATTTTTATGGATAACAACTTCTTTAAAACTGTGAAAAGCTTTTCACAGTATTAAAGAAGTTGTTATCCATAAAAATTGTGTCTATCCTGACATGAGCATGGACCAAATTGGCAATTGGGAGACGATGACATGCATCAACCTAGTCCACAAGCCTGCCCAACCGATCCCGTTAGTCGCCTCTTACAACAAGCATATGCATAGGTTTCTGAAGGAAACAAAAAAAATTAATGTAGATTAAGTAACAGAAACCTGAGCAGGAGAACGAATTGCACCTGAATGTGTTAGACTAGTGGTAGGGGTTGATTGTACAGGAACTAATTTCTTTGTTTCAAAGTAGGAGATATCATTTGTGCATTTGATTTTAAGGATTTTGGTCTCATGTTCAAAATTCGGCAATGATTTAGATGATGCCAGATGCTCACCACTGCAGTTGGCGCACTTCATATCATTAGTGCATTCGGAGCTCTCATGAGCCTCGCTGCAGCATGAGTATGACCCTTGCTAGTGCAAGACCTCGCACCATGTCCAAAAGTTTGGCATTTATAACATTGGAGTGGATTTGGTGCATATATTTCAACACTGATGTTACAGTAACCAGTTTTAATGGATTTGGGAAGTGTCATGCCGTCATGTAAAACAGGAAGTTACTCCTTAGTCTACAAGTATCCAGTGTCTTGTATGCCGAGACAATAACCTGAGTGTTTACAAGCTGATGTAGACACTGCAGATTGATAGATTGCTGCCTCTTCACACATTCTACTAAAAGAGAACTGCTCTGGAGGCGAGTGACATTTTTAACATCTCCGTAGGCACCTTGGCTGCTCTTGGAGACAGCAAATGAACTACCATATGCAGTTTCAATAACCAAGAACCTGGGCCAAGAATCTTTTCCTGAAATATATACTTAACAGCAGAAGAAAAAGTGAGATATATTCTCTTATTTGATTTCGAAGAACCAGAGTGAGAGTTTTGAGCTATGGTATGAGAATAATTTTCAGCAACCTTGGTCCCCACCCTCCATCGAGTGTCAACAAAGACGATGTTGCAGTCGAAGCAAGACTGCAAAACCAGAGCTATAGGGATATTATACTCCTGAAATACGCACATAAAAAACTTAGAAATTAAAAAAGAAAACTGTCTGGCTGGTTCGGTCCATGACATGTTTCTAAAGAAACCCATATTTCAGAGGACTATATCACCAGATTGGCCCATGAGCTACGACCTTCAAGCACAGGACTCTAAGCAAAAATGAGTAAATGAGCGAGTTAATATTTAACGTCACATCTGCAGTATCTCAACCATATTGTGACAAGAACAAATTGAAAGATAAATACCTGTCACAAAGGACAGTAATCATAAGCATGACGTCACAGATTGAAACATAAAAACTAACCATTCCAAACGTCAAAACTTCTTAACAACATATATACATCAACATTACATTATAACTAAAGCCAGGCCATCGTACTGGGAACAATTGGGTCTTACAATATTTTAGCCTAGGCAAAAGTAATAATACAACAGTTTTGGGCATAACATGACTAGCCCATTCTACCCCCCGTCTCGGTGAAGAGGTGACGTAAGGGTTAGAGTGGTGTATTGGGCATAGGAACACTAATCCCGGAACCAGTGCCCTCAACCACCATTCCTCTACCTAAATTGGGGCGCAACCCTCTGAAAACCAGTTGCCCAATGTGGTCGCCTTTTACGACAATCAATGGGTGCTGAGGACACATTCTACCCTGGGTAACTATAAGGTGGGAGTAAGATCATTCTCCCCTACCAGATGCTGAGAATGGTACAGACATGCAATGCAGCTACTCACCACAGTTGTTTTTACCGACAGCTTCATCACAGGATGCCTTGAGGACAACGACCACTAGGTCCTTCTGTAGCACACTCTGACCGATGCTCTGAAAAAACACCACAATCATGTAGCACACTCTGACCGATGTTCTGAAAAAACACCACAATCATGTAGCACACTCTGACCGATGTTCTGAAAAAACACCACAGTCATGTAGCACACTCTGACCGATGTTCTGAAAAAACACCACAGTCATGTAGCACACTCTGATCGATGTTCTGAAAAACACCACAATCATGTAGCACACTCTGACCGATGTTCTGAAAAAACACCACAATCATGTAGCACACTCTGACCGATGTTCTGAAAAAACACCACAATCATGTAGCACACTCTGACCGATGTCCTGAAAAAACACCACAATCATGTAGCACACTCTGACCGATGTCCTGAAAAAACACCACAATCATGTAGCACACTCTGACCGATGTTCAGAAAAAACACCACAGTCATGTAGCACACTCTGACCGATGTTCTGAAAAAACACCACGGTCATGTAGCACACACTGACCGATGTTCTGAAAAACACAACAGTCATGTAGCACACTCTGACCGATGTTCTGAAAAAACACCACAATCATGTAGCACACTCTGACCGATGTTCTGAAAAACACAACAGTCATGTAGCACACTCTGACCGATGTTCTGAAAAAACACCACAATCATGTAGCACACTCTGACCGATGTCCTGAAAAAACACCACAATCATGTAGCACACTCTGACCGATGTTCTGAAAAAACACCACAATCATGTAGCACACTCTGACCGATGTTCTGAAAAACACAACAGTCATGTAGCACACTCTGACCGATGTTCTGAAAAACACAACAGCCATGTAGCACACTCTGACCGATGTTCTGAAAAACACAACAGTCATGTAGCACACTCTGACCGATGTTCTGAAAAACACAACAGTCATGTAGCACACTCTGACCGATGTTCTGAAAGACAACACAATCATGTAGCACACTCTGACCGATGTTCTGAAAAACACAACAGTCATGTAGCACACTCTGACCGATGTTCTGAAAGACAACACAATCATGTAGCACACTCTGACCGATGTTCTGAAAAAACACCACAATCATGTAGCACGCTCCGACCGATGTTCTGAAAAAACACCACAGTCATGTAGCACATTCTGACCGATGTTCTGAAAAAACACCACAGTCATGTAGCACACTCTGACCGATGTCCTGAAAAAACACCACAATTATGTAGCACACTCTGACCGATGTTCTGAAAAAACACCACAATCATGTAGCACACTCTGACCGATGTTCTGAAAAAACACCACAATCATGTAGCACACTCTGACCGATGTTCTGAAAAACACAACAGTCATGTAGCACACTCTGACCGATGTTCTGAAAAACACAACAGCCATGTAGCACACTCTGACCGATGTTCTGAAAAACACAACAGTCATGTAGCACACTCTGACCGATGTTCTGAAAAACACAACAGTCATGTAGCACACTCTGACCGATGTTCTGAAAGACAACACAATCATGTAGCACACTCTGACCGATGTTCTGAAAAACACAACAGTCATGTAGCACACTCTGACCGATGTTCTGAAAGACAACACAATCATGTAGCACACTCTGACCGATGTTCTGAAAAAACACCACAGTCATGTAGCACACTCTGACCGATGTTCTGAAAAAACACCACAGTCATGTAGCACACTCTGACCGATGTCCTGAAAAAACACCACAATCATGTAGCACACTCTGACCGATGTCCTGAAAAAACACCACAATCATGTAGCACACACTGACCGATGTTCTGAAAGACACCTCGGTCATGTAGCACACACTGACCAATGTTCTGAAAAAACACCACAATCATGTAGCACACTCTGACCGATGTCCTGAAAAAACACCACAATCATGTAGCACACTCTGACCGATGTCCTGAAAAAACACCACAATCATGTAGCACACTCTGACCGATGTCCTGAAAAAACACCACAATCATGTAGCACACACTGACCGATGTTCTGAAAGACACCACGGTCATGTAGCACACACTGACCAATGTTCTGAAAAAACACCACAATCATGTAGCACACTCTGACCGATGTTCTGAAAAAACACCACAATCATGTAGCACACTCTGACCGATGTCCTGAAAAAACACCACAATCATGTAGCACACTCTGACCGATGTCCTGAAAAAACACCACAATCATGTAGCACACACTGACCGATGTTCTGAAAGACACCACGGTCATGTAGCACACACTGACCAATGTTCTGAAAAAACACCACAATCATGTAGCACACTCTGACCGATGTTCTCAAAAAACACCACAATCATGTAGCACAATCTGACCGATGACCTATGAAAAACAACACAGTCATGTAGCAAACTCTGAGCGATGTCCTGAAAGACAACACGGTCATGTAGCACACACTGACCGATGTCCTGAAAGACACCACAGTCATGTAGCACACTCTGACCGATGTCCTGAAAGACAACCACAGTCATGTTGCACACTGACCGATGTCCTGAAAGACATCACAGTCATGTAGCACACACTGACTGATGATCTACGAAAAACAACACAGCAATGTAGCACACACTGACCGATGTCCTGAAAGACAACCACAGTCATGTAGCACACTGACTGATGTCCTGAAAGACACCACAGTCATGTAGCACACTGACTGATGTCCTGAAAGACCCAACAGTCATGTAGCACACTCTGACCGATGTCCTACAAAAAACACTTCATGTGCTGAACTGACCAATGCCCATAATGAAATGGATATTGCCCTGGATAACACATGTCATTTACAAATCGGGGCGGTCGGGTAGCCTAGTGGTTAAAGCGTTTGCTCGTCACGCTGAAGACCCGGGTTCGATTCCCGACATGGGTACAATGTGTTGGTTTGCCCATTTCTGGTGTCCCCCGCCGTGATATTGCTGGAATATTGTTAAAAAGCGGCGTAAAACCATACTCACTCACTCACTCACTCATTTACAAATCAGATCTGTTGAAGCATTTAGTATTATTCCACCATTGTGAATGGATGGCAGTGTACCTCAGGTTTGTCATTGTGGACATTCAATCGCATGTTAAATTTTATTTTAATGAAGGTCACCTCTATCCAGAGTTTTACTCACCTTTTCGCGAATACCTATTTGATAATGATTTCGTAAACACATGTTATATACTCGCAAATTGTACAATCAACTGCTTTGGGCAGGTATTTCTTATGAATATGGAAAGGATTTTGTCGCCTGTAATACTCACTGTGAAGGCCTCGTCACTCAAATCATTTCCTTCAATCGCTGTAATCTTGATGATCTCATCCGGCGACAGTGTGATGCTGTTATCTTGCATGGTTATCGTCGCTCTGTCAATAAGTGGGTACACTTGCAATAATAAAGACATACTCTCTCCTTTCTTGGTTATCTTATTTCTGTCAATAAAGGGGTACGCATTCAATAATAATGACCTGCTCTCTACTTGCTTATGTTTCTTATCTCTGTCAAGATGAAAAGAGTCCAATAAAGCAAACACTGTGTGACTGAAATAACGGTGGAGGCACGGTAACACGGTGGTGTTTCTTCGTCACATGAGCATATTGCAAACTTTAATGAACTAAATTCGTACAATTTCTCGCCATGCGTATAATACAGCTTACCCAAGTTTTGTCAACTCGACACTGACAACTATTTGTCTCTCCTTACAATGTCCTGAAGCTACAAGGTTTGTGCAGGCGTCAACACACAGCCCCGGCCACCGCACAGAGAGGGTATTCACAAACTTGCTCCTCAACTCTCTCAACAAGCCGTCTTTAGCGAAGTTGGAACATATTGATGCCATGTTGTAGATGAGGGTGAACTCCACCGAATATTTGAGGGGCGATTTCACTAAAAATAAATGCACAGGTATGACAACACCAGGTAGCAGCTTCACACAAAGGATCACAAGGTACGTGTCGGATAGGAAAACAAGCCACGTCTCGGATTAGAAACAGTTCACCTTTTGAGTCTGACCTGCTCTTCATTTGAGCCTCTGTTGATTGGCAAACTAATGTTAATTTGACAGAAACATGTTTGTGGTTTTGTGTAAAACAAGAGTCTTTCCCCCATTGTGTATTGTAGCTGAGTTCTATGTTATTATACAATACTGGATATTGTGTTGGTTAATAATCATGCACTCACACACCCAATACAGCTATGCATCAACCTACCTCCACAAGCAGGCGGTGTGTATATATCAAATGGACTCGTTAGATTATATGACCCAAGTTTGCCACAGACAAGAATATTTGGCAGTGGGACGGAAGGGGCTTGGTCAGCAGGACAGAAGTGACGAATAGCTTTTGCCCCACAAGGTGTGGTAGTCAGGAAGCCCTCTGTGCTACACGTGCTTGATCCTGGAATAAACAGACAGCAAACAATGCCACAAAGGTCAGTCAACTTCATGTTTAATATTGCTGTAAGAGATCTGACAAATACTAATATATTTACAAATTAAAAAAAAATAACTTGGAAAATTGACGTAAATTGATAAAATTAAGATATGGGTATGTCTTGCGTGTTAACTGCAGTCGATTTCAGAAAAAAACAACATAACAAACGAGACGTTGATAACTTACCTGTAATATACACCTTGAATCTGCAAAGTTCGGCGTTTCCTTCGGTGTCCATAGTGGCATAAACAACATCATACCTGCCTCGCATCATGAGTTCATCTAGAAGAGACAGATAAGCAACACAAGTCTTATGTCATACGTTCATCTAGAACAGACACATTAGCAACACAAGTCTTGAGTCATACGTTCATCTAGAAGAGACATGTTAGCAATACAACTCGTGAGTCATACGTTCATCTAGTTGACACATTAGCAACACAACCCTTGAGTCACACGTTCATCTAGAACAGACACATTAGCAACACAACCCTTGAGTCATACGTTCATCTAGAACAGACACATTAGCAACACAACCCTTGAGTCATACGTTAATCTAGAACAGACACATTAGCAACACAACCCTTGAGTCATACGTTCATCTAGAACAGACACATTAGCAACACAACCCTTGAGTCATACGTTCATCTAGAACAGACACATTAGCAACACAACCCTTGAGTCATACGTTCATCTTGAAGAGACACGTTAGCAACACCAGCCTTGAGTCATACGTTCATCTAGAACAGACACATTAGCAACACAAGTCTTGAGTCATACGTTCATCTAGAACAGACACATTAGCAACACAAGTCTTGAGTCATACGTTCATCTAGAAGAGACATGTTAGCAACACAACCCTTGAGTCATACGTTCATCTAGAAGAGACACATTAGCAACACAACCCTTGAGTCATACGTTCATCTAGAACAGACACATTAGCAACACAACCCTTGAGTCATACGTTCATCTAGAAGAGACACATTAGCAACACAACCCTTGAGTCATACGTTCATCTAGAACAGACACATTAGCAACACAACCCTTGAGTCATACGTTCATCTTGAAGAGACACGTTAGCAACACCAGCCTTGAGTCATACGTTCATCTAGAACAGACACAGTAGCAACACAAGTCTTGAGTCATACGTTCATCTAGAACAGACACATTAGCAACACAAGTCTTGAGTCATACGTTCATCTAGAAGAGACATGTTAGCAACACAACCCTTGAGTCATACGTTCATCTAGAAGAGACACAGTAGCAACACAACCCTTGAGTCATACGTTCATCTAGAAGAGACACATTAGCAACACAACCCTTGAGTCACACGTTCATCTAGAACAGACACATTAGCAACACCAGCCTTGAGTCATACGTTCATCTAGAACAGACACATTAGCAACACCAGCCTTGAGCCATACCTTCATCTAGAACAGACACATTAGCAACACAACCCTTGAGTCATACGTTCATCTAGAACAGACACATTAGCAACACAACACTTGAGTCATACATTCATCTTGAAGAGACACATTAGCAACACCAGCCTTGAGTCATACGTTCATCTAGAACAGACACATTAGCAACACAAGTCTTGAGTCATACGTTCATCTAGAACAGACACATTAGCAACACAAGTCTTGAGTCATACGTTCATCTAGAAGAGACATGTTAGCAACACAACCCTTGAGTCATACGTTCATCTAGAACAGACACATTAGCAACACAAGTCTTGAGTCATACGTTCATCTAGAAGAGACACATTAGCAACACAACCCTTGAGTCATACGTTCATCTAGAAGAGACACATTAGCAACACCAGCCTTGAGTCATACGTTCATCTAGAAGAGACACATTAGCAACACCAGCCTTGAGCCATACCTTCATCTTGAAGAGACACATTAGCAACACCAGCCTAGAGCCATACGTTCATCTAGAACAGACAGATTAGCAACACAACCCTTGAGTCATGCGTTCATCTAGAACAGACACATTAGCAACACAAGTCTTGAGTCATACGTTCATATAGAACAGACAGATTAGCAACACAACCCTTGAGTCATACGTTCATCTAGAAGAGACACAGTAGCAACACAACCCTTGAGTCATACGTTCATCTAGAAGAGACACATTAGCAACACAACCCTTGAGTCACACCTTCATCTAGAACAGACACATTAGCAACACCAGCCTTGAGTCATCATTCATCTAGAACAGACACATTAGCAACACCAGCCTTGAGCCATACCTTCATCTAGAACAGTCACATTAGCAACACAACCCTTGAGTCATACGTTCATCTAGAAGAGACACATAAGCAACACAACCCTTGAGTCATACGTTCATCTAGAAGAGACACATTAGCAACACAACCCTTGAGTCATACGTTCATCTAGTAGAGACACATTAGCAACACAACCCTTGAGTCATACGTTCATCTAGAACAGACACATTAGCAACACAAGTCTTGAGTCATACGTTCATCTAGAACAGACACATTAGCAACACAAGTCTTGAGTCATACGTTCATCTAGAAGAGACATGTTAGCAACACAACCCTTGAGTCATACGTTCATCTAGAAGAGACACATTAGCAACACAACCCTTGAGTCATACGTTCATCTAGAACAGACACATTAGCAACACAACACTTGAGTCATACATTCATCTTGAAGAGACACATTAGCAACACCAGCCTTGAGTCATACGTTCATCTAGAACAGACACATTAGCAACACAAGTCTTGAGTCATACGTTCATCTAGAACAGACACATTAGCAACACAAGTCTTGAGTCATACGTTCATCTAGAAGAGACATGTTAGCAACACAACCCTTGAGTCATACGTTCATCTAGAACAGACACATTAGCAACACAAGTCTTGAGTCATACGTTCATCTAGAAGAGACACATTAGCAACACAACCCTTGAGTCATACGTTCATCTAGAAGAGACACATTAGCAACACCAGCCTTGAGTCATACGTTCATCTAGAAGAGACACATTAGCAACACCAGCCTTGAGCCATACCTTCATCTTGAAGAGACACATTAGCAACACCAGCCTAGAGCCATACGTTCATCTAGAACAGACAGATTAGCAACACAACCCTTGAGTCATGCGTTCATCTAGAACAGACACATTAGCAACACAAGTCTTGAGTCATACGTTCATATAGAACAGACAGATTAGCAACACAACCCTTGAGTCATACGTTCATCTAGAAGAGACACAGTAGCAACACAACCCTTGAGTCATACGTTCATCTAGAAGAGACACATTAGCAACACAACCCTTGAGTCACACCTTCATCTAGAACAGACACATTAGCAACACCAGCCTTGAGTCATCATTCATCTAGAACAGACACATTAGCAACACCAGCCTTGAGCCATACCTTCATCTAGAACAGTCACATTAGCAACACAACCCTTGAGTCATACGTTCATCTAGAAGAGACACATAAGCAACACAACCCTTGAGTCATACGTTCATCTAGAAGAGACACATTAGCAACACAACCCTTGAGTCATACGTTCATCTAGTAGAGACACATTAGCAACACAACCCTTGAGTCATACGTTCATCTAGAACAGACAGATTAGCAACACAACCCTTGAGTCATACGTTCATCTAGAAGAGACACATTAGCAACACAACCCTTGAGTCATACGTTCATCTAGAACAGACACATTAGCAACACAACCCTTGAGTCATACGTTCATCTGGTTAACACATTAGCAACACAACACTTGAGTCACTTGTTTGATAGGCATTACTTAGAAGTTGACGGATGACAAGATAGACACAATTTTTATGGATAACAACTTCTTTAATACTGTAAATAGCGACGTTTCGGTATAGATCCTTATACCGTTGTCGAGCAAGACTGAATGAGGGACATAGTGCAGAATATATATAGCAAGTGGAGGATTAACAGTAGAGGATTAACAGTAACAACAACCCTGCTAAGAGCCATTGGCAGGAACACATCTAAAACGCAAGAGGCTAAAGGTGTAGTCTACAAAATTGACTTCAATCTTACGTAGGTGAAACATCCCGCCCAATCAACACCAGAACCAAAGAGCATAAAACCTCCACCATCAAATCCGACAGCAAATCAGCCATCTCGGACCATATCATCAACTGTCCCAATCACATCATCAACTGGGACAACGTCCAAATCCTCGCCAACAACCTCCATGATTTCACCAAAAGAAAACTAACAGAAGCAGTCCACATTCGCCGCCACAAGCCATCAATCAACAGAGATCAAGGCTATTTCATCCCACCCGCCTACTATGAACTCATCAAACAATAATCACCTGTTTATTGGCTTCATGCCCCATTGGCTTCTAGCTATGTGTTTTCTGTCCATCATGTTCTGATAACATCATCCCTTTGTTGTCACACCTACCCATGTTATCCCACTCATGTATGCCCTTGTTGTTACTGTTAATCCTCTACTGTTAATCCTCCACTTGCTATATATATTCTGCACTATGTCCCTCATTCAGTCTTGCTCGACAACGGTATAAGGATCTATACCGAAACGTCGCTTTTTACAGTATCAAAGAAGTTGTTATCCATAAAAATTGTGTCAACCCTTGAGTCATACGTTCATCTAGAATAATATCATACGTATCCCTCTTCACATATTCACCTTGAGATATCAACAATACCCAACTCCTAAGTCGAGATATCACAGACACATGCACAATATTCTCGTCACGAATTATGAACTCACCATGTACATACACCCCTATACCCCAACATAACCCCCTTAAAACAAGTTCAAACTTTTCATGTATCTCGTGAAACTACACTTATTACTATTTTAACAGTTTTACCAACCAATTGTGGATTAAGCCGACTTTTATATGTGAACACCTTTTTCTAAACAGCTAATGCGTTTTAACACTTCCGTATTGACACCTAAACTCACACAACTAATTAAAAGCCACAGTCGAATCATATGCCACGTTCATCGTGTACTCCCTGACCAATGTCCTTTTGTCAGAGTTGCTGTATGATTGAAAGCCTGGATTGTACGTGTGTGAACATGTTAAGAATAAAGTACCCATTATTTGCGACCACCGCGACCTGTTGTGTGAGTACGCCAGAGCTGGTACACATGTAAGTATATATGTAATGTTTTTGTGGCTCTTCTTTTGGCTGTGGCAGCATATGTAATGCGCTATCGTGTCACTTGACTTTCTGGGACATCATTCGATTCTGTAGTTTGTTTACGTACTGCCGTCGCTTGGCAGGAATACTGCTGTCAGGCAACAAACAGAGGTACATTTTTACACAAATTGTGTGAGTGGCAGGTGCTACCTGTAGATACGTAGGACATGATTACCATACTTACACCTGATGTCATCACTGATTTTCCGTGATCCATTTTGAATCTTTTTCGGCGGATAATTCAGTCTGTTTAAATCGCTGGTGTTGATGTTCTATGTTTGTCATTGTCTGAAATAACGTAACTGTCATACCTACCACACGGATATAGGACTCCCCTTAAATGTGTTATTCACCTGTGAATGTGCTTGATACTGTGGCGTTACCGTCTGTAGAAGGCGCTCTGTAGACGGCAATGGCCTCCACGACACGGGCGCTTACGTTATACACAATGTCATTGGCTGGACAGTTATATAGATTGGGCTTCTTCTTGTCTGTGGGAAAGGACACACAACACCATCCGTTTAAAATGTCACAACCTACAGACGTCAAGACGATCTCATGATTTAAAAAAGATGAAAAAAATAATTCCCAGAAATAATTCCCGAGACAAAATGTACATGTAGGGACAAGGAGGTTTAGTTTTAATCTTTCAATATAAAATGCTCTGATACCGAACGTATACTTTAGTATAAACTGTTAATGGAACATCAGTAGTATCTCCTTGCGTTCTATTCGTCCTTTAACTTGTAAGTCTATTTTCAGATATTTTGTTACCTGGCTGTCCAGCGCAATTTTCCGCCATGACACGTCCCGACTCGCACAGTGTAACACCGGGACCTGCCTTGCTTGGGGAGTACGTTCTACTTCCTCCCGCCATCTTGTAGAGGTTCCAGCCAAGGGCAAGGTCACCAGTAGGTTGGTAATTCAAGTTCCCCAAAACACTGGACACATCACTGTGGGTTAGGATGCTTCTCCACACAGTAAGGCGGGAGATGTAACCTTTGAAGTTGGGGTCGAACCAGACAATCTTCAGGCTGAAATATATCATGTTGTATATGCACTTCGTAGGACAATTTAGGTGGTGTGACATTGTGCCTCGGCAATTGTGCATGATGTTTGGAAATACATAATACAGGAGGAATTACAGGAGGGAAAAGTCATGTTAGTTTTAAATCGAGCTATGTGTGTATGAAGTATCCGGAGACAGGTACCAGATAAGATTTATTCATGTAGCATTCAACTCTTCTGTTAAAGATAGAACTTGAGCTATGTCTTATCAAGGAGTATCACTATACCGACTCTGATCAAAATCGGTCAATAATAGTCACAGATATATCCCGGAAACCAGACCCCAACCAATTGTCAACTCAGTATATGGTCAAACAATGATAGACCAGTATCTCTTATCATCCTGAAAAAAACATATAACAGCGGAAGTCGAAACGGACAGAGGACGCTGATACTCGAGCCATATATTATTTCCAGCTCGACAATGCTTTCTGAGGTACTTCATGGTGGAGTGATGTCAAAACGCTGTTTCAATTACCAGGGATTTGACAGGGATTTGGTATTACATTTGCTGGACCAAGAAAAGGTTAGCAAGAACGGGAGCATACTTGGTGCCCATGGGAAGCTACTTCTTGTGTAAATGTCTTACCCCCTAATGAGGAAGTCTAGCATCATAACTTAAATCATAATTTATAATAACATTTTCTACAACCTCATGCTTAAGTGTCTTCAGTTGGTTAATTGACACACCATGACTATTGTTACATTTTTATATTTTTAAAGAGAATACACGTTGATGTGTATGCCACTTACCAAATTAATTAAAAAAAAGGAACATATTCTTAATGGGTTGTGTGTCATTGTTTACATTTCACTGATGTGACGACCAATTTCGAGTCTCGTAACAGCTAAAATATTGTTTTCCTTCACTAAAAGTAACAAAGGACGTTATTCTCGTGACATATACATTTCAAGAGATTTGGTGGTGGTAGTGCGGTGATTGGGCAGCCATCTTCTACACTAGTAGAACAGACCTGGTGCAAGTTTTGGTGAACTTAATGGCACAACGTTGCTCAAAGTTACACAGATGAGATTCTTCGGCCACACGTCCTTTCCAATAAGCAACAAGCGAATGTAATGTTTCAACAAGACAACGCCCGACCTCACACGGCATGACTGACAACAACCTTTCTCAGGATTCAAAACATTCAGGTCCTGTCATGGCCCTCCAGATCTCTAGATTAATACCCAAATCGAACATTTATTGGATGCACTGGATCAATGACTGCGAGCACATCAGCAACAACCACAGAACCTCCGACAGTTGACACAAGCACGGCAGGCAGAGTGGGTAAACATTCCCCAGGTCACTCGGTATCTGACTTACTTCCATGGGATGACGATGCTATTCAGTTTTGGACTCTAATGGTGGCCATACAAGATACTGAGAACAGATGACCTTTACGTTGAACATCTTCTATTCCATGTGTGCCTTATGGAAGATTGGTCAATGACAATTATGTATGTTATTTTGTAAAAATCGATTATCATCTGTTGATTATTTATATGATATATAAAATATTCTCTAAAACTCACTTTTTCGATTTTTTCTTGCAGAGTATTTTTAGCCATGTTTTGAGAATCTATATTTTTCTGAACGTTTGAGATAGACATGGATATATTATCAAGCCTAGTTTTACTTTGAAATTTTCTGTCTTTCCAGTTTTTTTTGGAAGCAATAATATTTGAAATATTTCCACACCTAGGTAAATTTTTTCCCCTTTCCAGATAAATTCAAATCGTATTTTAAAAAAATATAAGTTATTACTTTTTCTGGAGGGCCTTGAACTGAAGGAAAACAGATGATTAAGCTTTGACAATAATAACGATTTCAGTATCACATTTCTCCTCACAGGTGTTAGAATTCTGTTAGACCATTGGTTCCTTCTTCTGATATCTTTTTTTTATCCAATCCATATTAATCCGTTTTTTTCTGAATTAATGTTAACCCAATAGAGGGATTTTTGCAGTACCGTCCAATGTCATCGTCGTATCATCTGCAAACTGTGTCAATATATGTTCACCATTTGCTATTGTAATACCTTTTATATTCTCTTTGTAACATTCAATAAAAATGTATGGCGGGAGAGGATCTCCCTTGCGGCGGCTGCTTGTAATTGGAAAGAAGTAACTTGTAAATCTATTCACTAAAACAGAAGATTTCTGTCATCACAAAGGCTCTGTCAATGGAATTGAAAGCTTTTCCCCAGTCAATAAGGAGGAACAGTCCGTGTATTTGATATGTTTCTGTGTAATCCATAATGTCATATCTCTCAGGCTACTTCCCCTAAATATCTTCCTGGGACAAAGCGTTTATAAGGTTTTCATTTATATTAAGTGGTGAAATTTTTTAAACCATTTGGGCCTGGGCGTTTTTCAATTTTCCTTTTCTTTAAGGATATAAGCATTTCTTCATATAAAGAATTCCCTTTCCAAAGTAGATGAAACAACATCTCCCGCAAAAATTGATCATTTATTGCGTATAGATTATCTGATTTTGGATTACTTTCATATTTTAGTTTATTGTCGTTATCACAAGTTATATATATGCATGATCACGAAGACGTGAATTGTTGAACGGCAAAAAACCTTTACCTTCTTGTATACCAGATAGGTTTTGTACTGTGGAGTATGTTTGTTTCGATCATCAGAATTCATAAGGTTAACACATACATTGTAGAGTTTGACGGATTTCCAAGAGATATCTGAACTTTTTCTTACTTGCAGATCAATGTCAAATCTCTTTTCGACTATTTTCATTTGTATATTGAATTTCTTTCGAAGTTCATAGTTTTTGCCGGCCAACGTCCCTCTGATTTTCTTTAAATTCACTGGGAAAAGTCTGAACGGTTCGACAAAGAAATGTCCCTTTCCTGCAGCTGGTTTCCAAGACACTTTGTCAGTCAAACAGTGTGAACAATTTAATCACAGTCGGTTTCGATTTCTTGGCAGTGTAGGAGTTTGTTGAATGTTGCTGAAGGCGGTGGATAACGGCAAACTTCAAGTCATTGGCACCTGGGATATTTTCCCGGGTCTTCCGTGTTTATTATTCCATAACGAAGCAGGTCTGTTATTCTCGTGTAGATTTCTTCCTTTGATATGTTGTTCTTATATTCTGTGGTCACTGCCTCGTGATCTGCACAAACTTTATGTATTTCTGTTTCCGTTAATGCTTTTTGCAATGAAACGTTTCATAAATTTGTCCGTTCTTTTATGAAGAGAAGATATTACTTCGTGGATATTGTGTGTAATGTCTATTGTTGCGAGCGAATGCATATGCCTTCTTAATCTCTGAAAATATGTCCGGGTCAGCTGTCATGGCGGGCGACCTATTTCCATGTCCGAATACTGACGTCTAAATGGTCCTTATCATGTCAATTTCTGTAATCTGTAAAATATCGTCTATATTTAATCTGACCATTGTACATAAGATCCCTTCATACCGGAAGTCCATGCATCTGCTGGAAACAGATATTGAAATATGTGTGTTCACTATAGACATGTACATAGCTTACCTGCTGCTGTCTGTGAGATTGACGTTAATATCTCCTGATGTGACTTTTATGTCGTTAACAAACACTTCGATGGACCCATTTCTTTTCCACGTGGCTGCCACGTGATCCCATTGATCCTTGACTGTCTCCAGATCTGCTTTGTCTAGCGTCTTATTGACCACTTGGCCAGCAGCAGAAAACCGGACACGGTCATGGAACAGCTCGAAAAACTTTTCACTGCCGTCACTGCAAGAGAGTTTTCATAAACGCAGCATTACTTACGCGCACATGTTAAAGTGAGACTCCAGAAGACCACAAAGGAGACGAGTTTGAAGTTATCATGACGTTGGCGCAACTCAGGAATTCAGATGAGATTCTGCAGTAGTCATTCCATACAACATGAGGATGTTACACTGACCATGAATCCCCAATAATGTATGCGAGCTGACGTGTGTGGCTTGTACCCGGTAGTAATGCTTGATGTTGTCATACTACACAAATGTACTCTTTCATTTGTAATTGCAGGAAATCCCATGTGTATTCTGAGCACAACGACGAGAATTTGAACGACTTACAGGTTAGATATTACGACCGATCTGCCGGAGTTGAGGTAGCCAATCCAGAACATGATGGACAGGTCGCCTGATAGCTGGAACGGGCTGTACGACTCGACGATGGAAGCGAAACCGTTGTCAAGGTACAGGTCAAAGTCAGGAGATGTGTCTGTTACGTAATATAGAATTTGCAGACGTCAAACAGAACCTTGTAGCTGTTCAAGATACAATATTGATCCAACACATACTAAACATCTAAAGATATTCATGGAAAATAAATTAGGAACAGATTGTATTTTGTTGTTGTCTCTCTTGCCCATCCCTACCTTTACATGTTGATCCAGACACAATCTTGGGCGGCGGACACAGGCAGAACGTCTTGCGTCCCTCCTTTACGCAGGTAGTACCAGATGGACACTTGCCACTGCAAATATTGTCACTAGTCTCGCAATTATCACCGCTGAATCCTGGATAAAAAACGTGTGAGTTGAGGACAAGCCACAACACCTTTTTGACAGATTTGCTCCCGTCAATAGGGACTTAGGTATGGGCCTGACAATGGGATTTTATCGGAAATATATGCCCCGAAAATTATATTATGAAACTAATTTTTAGACAGCATGCAAAAAACACATCGTTGCAAGGCGGTTTTCTTAAAACAAATTCAGGTCCATAGGTTTAAATATAAAAAAAAAATGTGACTTGTGTAGCTGAAGAAATATCTTATCTCGACAAAATCCCACCTCCCCCAAACCTCCCCTCCCCATCCACTACCACCCTAGAATAAACCAGGAGTGTCTAGGAGTAAGTAGGTTTTGATTTTAGATCTGGAAAAACGGTTCAGTGGCATGTTAACATATCTCAAGTGACGAAGATGTCAGTGATCTTTGGATTGCATCCTTCCAGATTTACTGTAGTCAAGATTAAAGTTTTTATTAAGAGGGGCTTGGGTGTAGAAGTATAAAGGTGCTGCCTGATGTGTAGAGACACGTTGTCCCACCTTTGAGGATTTAGAAGTAGAAGAGTGGAAATGAGAGTCAAGTGCTCAGAAACCCACCTTCTGGGCAGGCACAACTGTGCCCCATTGGCTCGACGAGAGAACAGTTGCCACTATTGCTACAGACATTGTGGGAACAACCATCCTTGATCAGCTCACAGGACACCCCACTGTATACTAGAAGACAGAAATACGAGGGCTTGTCAAAACGTTCTAATCCTAACAAACACAAGCAACAATTGTGCAAGTGGTTTTTTTTATATTTTACTTTTCAACATAATCTCCCTGCTTTGCAATACATTTCTCATATCGATATTGAAGCTTTTCAATTACAAATACCACCAGACACTGGGGTAATATCGATTACAGATACCACAATACACTGTGGTAATATCGACTACAGATACCACCAGACACTGGGGTAATATCGACTACTGATACCACAAGACACTGGAGTAATATCGACTACAGATACCACAATACACTGAGGTAATATTGACTACGGATACTAGAAGGCACTGGGGTAATATCGACTACAGATACTCGAAGACACTGGGGTAATATCGACTACAGATGCCACCAGACAATGAGGTAATATCGACTACTGATACCACCAGACACTGGGGTAATATCGACTACAGATACCACAATACACTGAGGTAATATTGACTACGGATACTAGAAGGCACTGGGGTAATATCGACTACAGATGCCACCAGACAATGAGGTAATATTGACTACAGATACTCGAAGACACTTGGGTAATATCGACTACAGATGCCACCAGACAATGAGGTAATATCGACTACTGATACCACCAGACACTTGGGTAATATCGACTACAGATACCACAATACACTGAGGTAATATCGACTACTGATACTGCCAGACACTCGAGTAATATCGACTACAGATACCACCAGAAAATGAGGTAATATCGACTACTGATACCACCAGACACTGGGGTAATATCGACTACAGATACCACAATACACTGAGGTAATATCGACTACTGATACCACCAGACACTGGAGTAATATCGACTACAGATACCACAATACACTGAGGTAATATCGACTACAGATACTAGAAGGTACTGGGGTAATATCGACTACAGATGCCACCAGACAATGAGGTAATATCGACTACAGATACTAGAAGACACTGGGGTAATATCGACTACAGATGCCACCAGACAATGAGGTAATATCGACTACAGATACTAGAAGACACTGAGGTAATATCGACTACAGATACCACCAGACAATGAGGTAATATCGACTACTGATACCACCAGACACTGAGGTAATATCGACTACAGATACTAGAAGACACTGAGGTCATATCGACTACAGATACTAGAAGACACTGAGGTAATATCGACTACAGATACTAGAAGACACTGAGGTAATATTGACTACAGATACTAGAAGACACTGAGGTAATATCGACTACAGATGCCACAAGACAATGAGGTAATATCGACTCCAGTCACCAGACATGTACACTGAGGTAATATCGACTATAGCCACCGGACACTGGGGTAATATCGACAGCAGATGCATCCAGACACTTACGTGATTGACAGTCGCATGTTGCAGACCCGCCCGACTGCTGACATGTACCCTGGGTGGTACACGGCTTGACCAGATTACACACCTTCGGGGACGATTCACACATACGTCCCTGGGTCCCCTTCTGGCAGCTGAAGTCAGTGAATTGCATGTTTGTATGAACGTCCAGGAAAACTATGGTCTTTTGTTTCATGTGTAGAAACCACCATCTGATGTTTAATATGGACAGGTGAGTTCTCGACAAGATTGTATATTGACGACATTCATTTATATTGCTCGAAGATATTTTCCCAAACGAACTGTTTCAAACCAATGCTTTCTGTTAATCTGCTATGGTCGACGATTACTATTCAGTACCATGCCTTTGAATACTAAACTATACTTTAAACTATACCATCACCAGCCTTCATATTCAACATATCAGTTCTTGATCATCTTCTTCTTTGTTACTTCATTCTCTGTTCTGGTATTTGCTTTTTTGAACATCAAATGAAGACATTTTGTTTCATTATTATATTTTTATTATTTATTGCTGTTAGTGTATTTCCTAATGTAATGAAGTTATAACGTATCGCTTCCGTGTCGTAGTTTCTATTTAATAACAAAATATGCAGACTCTGTTAACGTATGTAATTACAAAAGTCTCTCGTAGATATCCAGCACAGATCCTATTCAATCCGTTCTTAACCTAAACGTTCAAACAAATTCATATTTGTGTTATGACGAAGATCAACTTGACCACCATTACTGCGCCATCACACACCTGCAGAAGTAGTCCTCAAACACAGGGTAGCAGGTGGCATCATTCTGACACGAGATGCCGGTACACGTGTTGCTAATATTCTGGCAGTTCTTGCCCTCCCAGCCAGGTGTACAGTTACACGAGTAGTCAGCCAGTTGGTCGACACAGGTGCCACCATGCATACAGGGCAGGGAGTCGCACTCGTTGAGCAGCTCCTGGGGAATTATTACACTCACAGTTTTATCAGAAATAGAGCTATTGTGTAATAAAGACATTATTCAGTATTCGTTAACCTCAATCAGTAGGTGTTGCATTTGGTAGGACGTAGAAATACAGATAAATAACAGAAACACACAGAGAAGCAAAAACATCACACGGGATTATTATACAGAATACTGGAAGCAGTCTACAGGCAAAAAATGTTATGACACAGGTGTGATAGGATAGTGTGATGTGTACAACACGGGTGTGATAGGATAGTGTGATGTGTACAACACGGGTGTGATAGGATAGTGTGATGTGTACAACACGGGTGTGACAGGATAGTGTGATGTGTACAACACGGGTGTTATAGGAAAGTATGATGTGTGCAACATGGGTGTCATAGGATAGTATGATGTGTACAACACGGGTGTGATAGGATAGTATGATGTGTACAACACGGGTGTGATAGGATAGTGTGATGTGTACAACACGGGTGTGACAGGATAGTGTGATGTGTAAAACACGGGTGTGGTAGGATAGAATGATGTGTACAACACGGGTGTGATAGGATAGTGTGATGTGTACAACACGGGTGTGATAGGATAGTGTGATGTGTACAACACGGGTGTGACAGGATAGTGTGATGTGTACAACATGGGGGTGATATGATAGTGTGATGTGTACAAAACGGGTGTGACAGGATAGTGTGATGTGTACAACACGGGTGTGACAGGATAGTGTGATGTGTACAACATGGGGGTGATATGATAGTGTGATGTGTACAAAACGGGTGTGACAGGATAGTGTGATGTGTACAACACGGGTGTGACAGGATAGTGTCATATGTACAACATGGGTGTGATATGATAGTGTGATGTGTACAACACGGGTGTGATATGATAGTGTGATGTGTACAACACGGGTGTGACAGGATAGTGTGATGTGTACAACACGGGTGTGATAGGATAGTGTGATGTGTACAGTGGTAGACGGCCGTGATCGAGTTAAGGTCAGTACTTACTGTACAGTTTTTACCGGTGTATCCAGCCTCACACTCACACCTGTAGTCCTGGTTCAGATCCACACAGCGATCTGTCCGCTCTTGGTCACATTGATCTGTGCAGTCCACGATGTCAGACTCGCACGTAGCACCTAACAAACAATTGAACAATTGATATATATATATATATATAATCCATCTTTCTGCTAATGCTTGCGTAGCGTCTTGTGCTTTGAGGTACGCATCAGACTTGTGTTACAATGTTCTGGTTTACTGAAATACTGTCCAACCAGCGTCACACTGGCAGGAGAACGGGGTCAGTTTACCTGTCCAACCAGCGTCACACTGACAGGAGAACGTGGTCAGTTTACCTGTCGAGCCAGCGTTACACTGGCAGGAGAACGTGGTCAGTTTACCTGTCCAACCAGCGTCACCCTGACAGGAGAACGTGGTCAGTTTACCTGTCCAGCCAGCATCACACTGACAGGAGAACGGGGTCAGTTTACCTGTCCAGCCAGCGTCACCCTGACATGAGAACGTGGTCAGTTTACCTGTCGAGCCAGCATCACACTGACAGGAGAACGGGGTCAGTTTACCTGTCCAACCAGCGTCACCCTGACAGGAGAACGTGGTCAGTTTACCTGTCCAGCCAGCATCACACTGACAGGAGAACGGGGTCAGTTTACCTGTCCAGCCAGCGTCACCCTGACATGAGAACGTGGTCAGTTTACCTGTCCAGCCAGCATCACACTGACAGGAGAACGGGGTCAGTTTACCTGTCCAACCAGCGTCACCCTGACAGGAGAACGTGGTCAGTTTACCTGTCCAACCAGCGTCACACTGAAAGAAGAACGTGGTCAGTTTACCTGTCCAGCCAGCATTACACTGATATGAGAACGTGGTCAGTTTACCTGTCCAGCCAGCGTCACACAGGCAGAACGTGGTCAGTTTACCTGTCCAGCCAACATCACACTGACAGGATGACGTGGTCAGTTTACCTGTCCAGCCAGCGTCACACTGACAGAAGAACGTGGTCTGTTTACCTGTCCAGCCAACATCACACTGACAGGATGACGTGGTCAGTTTACCTGTCCAGCCAGCGTCACACTGGCAGGAGAAAGTGGTCAGTTTACCTGTCCAGCCAGCGTCACACTGACAGGAGAACGTGGTCAGTTTGTCCGTACAGGTTCCATGCACACACGGGCTGCTGGCACAGTCGTCGATGTCGTGCTGACACAGTGATCCCTCGTAGCCGGACTTGCACACGCAGCGGTAGCCGTCTGACAGACTCTCACATCGTTCAGTGTTGTTGGTGGTGCAGGGGGATGAGGAACAGAAGTTGATCCCGGCACACTCGTCATTGTCATCTGGAGAAACAGTTGTTCAGTGTTAGACATTCCCTGTATTAGTTAATTAACGTTGAAAAAGAGATATGTGACATACAGTAGTGTGAGGCAGTGTGATGCCATTGAGAATGAATTATGTCACTGAACAATATTGCAGCCAAATCACTGCAACCACAATACCTGATTTTCCGGTCTGTTCGGACCGAAATAAGGACCATGGATCAAGCATGAGGTTGAATGTTCCATCTTTGACACTTTTATGTAGAACACATAAAGTATATGTTGGGTTTGTAGATTTCAAAAAGGCATTTGAGTCAGTTGACCGTATAATGTTATGGTCATGTCCTAGACAAAATGGATTAAATGGGAAAATGTCTCAATGTTACGAGTTGTTTATGGTAGGGTCCGTGCATGCATACGCTGTAATGGAGAATTTAGTGAATATTTGACTGCCCCAAAGGTTGTGTCTTAAACCCATTATTGTTTTCGTTCTGTATTAATGAGTTATCTTTGTAAACATGCAGATATTGTGAACATGGCCTTCAGTTATATATTGATATACTAGAAATAAGAATGCTTTTGTTTGCAGACGATATTACACTCGTGACAAATACCATAGCTGATCTCCAGAATCAGTTAAACATTTTGGAAAGCTATTCTGATGAATGGAAGTTCAATGTTTATCTGGACAAAACTAATATTGTTGTATTTTAGAGAGGTGGTCGTGTATTGAAAGGTGCAAAATGGACATACAAAAGTGTTTCTCTTAATTAATCAAATGAGTATAAATACCTTGGAGTTAATTATAGTCATACATTAAATTTGAAAGAAATATATTTCAAATTCAGTTGTACGAGCGTAAATGGTAGAACAGTACTGCTTTGGTTGCGATCAAAATTATTAAAATTGGAACCTGAGACACCTACGCTTTATTTTTAACTTTTTGATTCATAAATTCTACCATTGCTTTTATATGGTTCTAAAGTATGGAATTCCAGAGGTTTGAGTCCACTGGAAACATACATTTATTAGCATGTAATTTCATTTTCTTAAAGTCGGTCTACCGACCCCTAAAAATATGGTATATGGCGAATGCGGTAGGTTTCCTCTATATATAATCTCTAATGTCCACTGTATAAGGTGTTGGTTTCGATAATAAGTGGGTGAACAACGATCACGAAGAAAGTCATATAATAATATGTTTTGGTTAAATGATATATTTGTCTTATGATAGCAGTAGATCATCAGTTATTATTATTACGTTAACTTAGATTGACAGCCCCTTAAGTTCATTATTGCTGTTTTCTTAGAACAGATTTGTGTTATAAACATGATGTAAGATTATTATCAGGTTGTAAGGACATTTGTATTCGTCAGAAGCTTATGCTGATAGCATAATTTGTTTTGGGTAAACAGTACCTGACTGCCATGTGCGTTTAACGCATGCGCAGACTGTTTGTATAAAATCATTGAGAAACTATTTGTTCATCTCATCTGTCCCATTTCGTTTGCTTCAGGTGAGGAATCAATGCATACATGCACATTCCCCTTGTCCCTCCAAATACATACAACATGTTGTGTGTTTTATGTATGTATCAACACACAGTAAGTCTGGAATTTAAGTTTTAGAAGTCAGCAGGCCCGTCATCGGAAAAATGTCTGTTCGTTGCCTCCATAGTTGTCAGTCGAAGATGGATGTTTCCGAAAATATTGTCATATCATGCTATTTTATACTTACAATGAAGGATAAATAGTTCTTTGATAGTTTCCACTTTTAAAACAATATCGTTTTTGCCTTAGTAAAATGTAATTTTGTCAGAATGGTATTTAAGCGTGCAACGCAAGTGTTGTATAGTGGTTGTATATAGGCAGTAACGTCCCTCTCCTGTCGGCCACAGCGGAACTAAACAGACGCGACGTCCCGTTCAGTGAGACTTGATCAATGGCTACTACTGAGCGTAGAATCCCTACAATTTAACCCTAACTATGGTACAAGTTGTTTGATCAGGATATTCTTGTAGATTACTGTTTTTGCATTGTGAAGTGAATTAGAAAGTTTTCCCACGTTGTATCTACATTTATGAAAGTATTCTTTAGTCCAATGTTGACAACTATGTTTGTGCAGTAGTCTCTTTGTAAATACATGTATAAGGGTTACAGCATTGTTACAGAATATAATTGTGAGGTAATAATAATCATTGCACAGGAATAACAGTTGCAACTGTTATTCCTGTAATGAGTCATTTAGTTCACTAATTGTGGTATTAATAATACATGAACATGTCTATCACTGACCTTTGAACTCAGTGTATATGGGCCGGAGACCTTTTTTGCAAATAAATATCTTCTTCTTCAAACAACATACAATCACCAATGTCACCCACTAAACCTGACGGCATCATATCAAAAAGGTTCTACCGATTTGGGACATTATAGAATACTCGGAAGGGGGGATATAAAGGCGGAAGTTACCTCTCACAAAGGGGCTCTCGCAGATGCAGTCAGCGGTGACGTTGTCGTAATTGCTGATACAGATACCGTTGCTGCAGCGCCCTGCTGTACACAAGATCGCCTCATTCTGACAGTGGTCGTCTTCGAAGCCGGTTTTGCACGAGCAGGAGTAGGAGTTGGAGCCATCGACACACCTGCCGCCGTACAGACAACCATCCGGGTTCTCCTTACACTCATCTGTGGGGACACAGAGCGACAAGTGATAATCAATGACGATACCAAATTTTATATCAAAAATCGATGGTCTTCACAGAGCCGGATAACACAATATGTAGATGCATATCAAGACAAAAACTTCACTTTCATTGGTGACAATCCATCAACGTGTTACTACAGTTAACACCCTATATACATGTAACTACACTGTCTACACACGACTTACCCACGTCAGTCTCGCAGTTAACACCCTATATACATGTAACTACACTGTCTACACACGACTTACCCACGACAGTCTCACAGTTAAGACCCTAGTATATACATGTAACTACACTGTCCACACACGACTTACCCACGTCAGTCTCACAGTTAACACCCTATATACATGTAACTACACTGTCTACACACGACTTACCCACGTCAGTCTCACAGTTAACACCCTATATACATGTTACTACAATGTCTACACACGACTTACCCACGGCAGTCTCACAGTTATCACCCTATATACATGTAACTACACTGTCTAGACACGACTTACTTACGGCAGTCTCACAGTTAACACCCTATATACAGGTAACTACACTGTCTACACACGACTTACCCACAGCAGTCTCACAGTTAACACCCTATATACATGTAACTACACTGTCTACACACGACTTACCCACGTCAGTCTCACAGTTAACACCCTATATACAGGTAACTACACTGTCTAGACACGACTTACCCACAGCAGTCTCACAGTTAACACCCTATCTACATGTTACTACAATGTCTACACACGACTTACCCACGTCAGTCTCACAGTTAACACCCTATATACAGGTAACTACACTGTCTACACACGACTTACCCACAGCAGTCTCACAGTTAACACCCTATATACATGTAACTACACTGTCTACACATGACTTACCCACAGCAGTCTCACAGTTAACACCCTATCTACATGTTACTACAATGTCTACACACGACTTACGCACAGCAGTCTCACAGTTAACACCCTATATACATGTAACTACACTGTCTACACACGACTTACGCACAGCAGTCTCACAGTTAACACCCTATATACATGTAACTACAATGTCTACACACGACTTACGCACAGCAGTCTCACAGTTAACATCCTATATACATGTAACTACACTGTCTACACACGACTTACCCACAGCAGTCTCACAGTTAACATCCTATATACATGAAACTACACTGTCTACACACGACGTACCCAGGGTAGTCTCACAGTTAAGACCCTATATACATGTAACTACACTGTCTACACACGACTTACCCACGTCAGTCTCACAGTTAACACCCTATATACATGTAACTACACTGTCTACACACGACTTACCCACGTCAGTCTCACAGTTAACACCCTATATACATGTAACTACAATGTCTACACACGACTTACCCACGTCAGTCTCACAGTTAACACCCTATATACAGGTAACTACACTGTCTACACACGACTTACCCACGTCAGTCCCACAGTTAACACCCTATATACATGTTACTACACTGTCTACACACGACTTACCCACGTCAGTCTCACAGTTAACACCCTATATACATGTAACTACACTGTCTACACACGGCTTACCCACGTCAGTCTCACAGTTAACACCCTATATACAGGTAACTACACTGTCTACACACGACTTACCCACAGCAGTCTCACAGTTAACACCCTATCTACATGTTACTACAATGTCTACACACGACTTACCCACGTCAGTCTCGCAGTTAACACCCTATATACATGTAACTGCACTGTCCACACACGACTTACCCACGCTAGTGTCACAGGTAACACCCTATATACATGTAACTACACTGTCTACACACGACTTACCCACGTCAGTCTCACAGTTAACACCCTATATACATGTTACTACACTGTCTACACACGACTTACCCACGTCAGTCTCACAGTTAACACCCTATATACATGTAACTACACTGTCTACACATGACTTACCCACAGCAGTCTCACAGTTAACACCCTATCTACATGTTACTACAATGTCTACACACGACTTACGCACAGCAGTCTCACAGTTAACACCCTATATACATGTAACTACACTGTCTACACACGACTTACGCACGGCAGTCTCACAGTTAACACCCTATATACATGTAACTACAATGTCTACACACTACTTACCCACAGCAGTCTCACAGTTAACATCCTATATACATGTAACTACACTGTCTACACACGACTTACCCACAGCAGTCTCACAGTTAACATCCTATATACATGAAACTACACTGTCTACACACGACGTACCCAGGGTAGTCTCACAGTTAACACCCTATATACATGTAACTACATTGTCTACACACGACTTACCCACGTCAGTCTCACAGTTAACACCCTATATACAGGTAACTACACTGTCTAGACACGACTTACCCACGTCAGTCTCACAGTTAACACCCTATATACAGGTAACTACACTGTCTAGACACGACTTACCCACGTCAGTCTCACAGTTTACATCCTATATACAGGTAACTACACTGTCTAGACACGACTTACCCACAGCAGTCTCACAGTTAACACCCTATATACAGGTAACTACACTGTCTAGACACGACTTACCCACGTCAGTTTCACAGTTAACACCCTATATACAGGTAACTACACTGTCTACACACGACTTACCCACGTCAGTCTCACAGTTAACACCCTATATACATGTAACTACACTGTCTACACACGACCTACCCACGTCAGTCTCACAGTTAACACCCTATATACATGTAACTACACTGTCTACACACGACCTACCCACGTCAGTCTCACAGTTAACACCCTATATACATGTAACTACATTGTCTACACACGACTTACCCACGTCAGTCTCATAGTTAACACCCTTTATACATGTAACTACACTGCCTACATACGACTTACCCACGTCAGTCTCACAATTAACCCCTGTGAAGCCAGGACGACAGGTGCACTGATACCGAACATCCCCCCATGGATTACAGGTGCCGCCGTTCTTGCAGGGGTCCTCACTGCAGGAGTTGTTCTTACTTTCACAACTAAAAGGAGAATAATAACCACATGTCACAACACTTTAGCCAAAAAGCTGTGCGATTGTCATATCAATCAGCTCTCCTATCAGTTCCTTCACAAGGACCCTTTTTAGGTTCCCTCTTCAGTTCCCCCTTCAGTTCTTCCATCAGTTCCCCAATCAGTTCCCCCTTCAGTTCATCTTCAGTTCCACATTAATTCACCAATCAGTTCCCTCATCGGTTACCCCTTCAGTTCCCTCATCAGTTCCCTCATCGGTTCCCCCTTCTGTCCCCCATCAGTTCCCTCATCGGTTCCCCCTTCTGTCCCCCATCACTTCCCCCTTCTGTCCCCCATCAGTTCCCCCTTCTGTCCACCCATCACTTCCCCCTTTAGTTTCCCCATCACTTCCCCCTCCAGTTCCTCCATGAGTTTCCTCATCGGTTCCCCCTTCTGTCCCCCATCAGTTCCCCCATCAGTTACCTCATTAGTTCCCTCATCGGTTCCCCCTTCTGTCCCCCATCAGTTCCCCCATCAGTTCCCTCATCGGTTCCCCCTTCTGTACCCCATCACTTCCCCCTTTAGTTTCCCCATCACTTCCCCCTCCAGTTCCTCCATGAGTTTCCCCATCGGTTCCCCCTTCTGTCCCCCATCACTTCCCCCTTTAGTTTCCCCATCACTTCCCCCTCCAGTTCCTCCATGAATTTCCTCATCGGACCCCCCTTCTGTCCCCCATCAGTTCCCTCATCAGTTCCCCCATCGGTTCCCCCTTCTGTCCCCCATCACTTCCCCCTTCAGTTTCCCCATTACTTCCCCCATCAGTTCCCTCATCGGTTCCCCCTTCTGTCCCCATCACTTCCCCCTTCACTTTCCCCATTACTTCCCCCTTCAGTTCCCTCATCGGTTCCCCCTTCTGTCCCCCATCACTTCCCCCTTCAGTTTCCCCATTACTCCCCCCTCCAGTTCCTCCATGAGATCCCTCATCGGTTCCCCCTTCTGTCCCCCATCACTTCCGCCTTCTGTCCCCCATCAGTTCCCTCATCGGTTCCCCCTTCTGTCCCCCATCACTTCCCCCTTCAGTTCCCTCATCAGTTCCCCCATCGGTTCACCCTTCTGTCCCCCATCACTTCCCCCTTCTGTCCCCCATGAGTTCCCTCATCGGTTGCCCCTTCTGTCCCCCAATCAGTTCCCCCATCAGTTCCCTCATCAGTTCCCCCATCAGTTCCCTCATCGGTTCCCCCTTCTGTCCCCCATCACTTCCCCCATCAGTTCCCTCATCAGTTCCCCGATCAGTTCCCTCATCGGTTCCCCCTTCTGTCCACCCATCACTTCCCCCTTCAGTTTCCCCATTACTTCCCCCTCCAGTTCCTCCATGAGTTCCCTCATCGGTTCCCCCTTCTGTCCCCCATCACTTCCCCCTTCTGTCCCCCATCAGTTCCCTCATCAGTTCCCTCATCGGTTCCCCCTTCTGTCCCCCATCACTTCCCCCTTCTGTCCCCCATCACTTCCCCCATCAGTTCCCTCATCAGTTCCCCGATCAGTTCCCTCATCGGTTCCCCCTTCTGTCCACCCATCACTTCCCCCTTCAGTTTCCCCATTACTTCCCCCTCCAGTTCCTCCATGAGTTCCCTCATCGGTTCCCCCTTCTGTCCCCCATCACTTCCCCCTTCTGTCCCCCATCACTTCCCCCTTCTGTCCCCCATCAGTTCCCTCATCAGTTCCCTCATCGGTTCCCCCTTCTGTCCCCCATCACTTCCCCCTTCTGTCCCCCATCAGTTCCCTCATCGGTTCCCCCTTCTGTCCCCCATCACTTCCCCCTCCAGTTCCCTCATCGGTTCCCCCTTTTGTCCCCCATCACTTCCCCCTTCAGTTTCCCCATTACTTCCCCCTCCAGTTCCTCCATGAGTTTCCTCATCGGTTCCCCCTTCTGTCCCCCATCACTTCCCCCATCAGTTCCCTCATCAGTTCCCCAAACAGTTCCCTCATCGGTTCCCCCTTCTGTCCCCCATCACTTCCTCCTCCAGTTCCTCAATGAGTTCCCTGATCGGTTCCCCCTTCTGTCCCCCATCAGTTCCCCCTTCAGTTCCCCCATCAGTTCCCTCATCAGTTCCCTCATCGGTTCCCCCTTCTGTCCCCCATCACTTCCCCCTCCAGTTCCTCCATGAGTTCCCTCATCGGTTCCCCCTTCTGTCCCCCATCACTTCCCCCTTCTGTCCCCCATCAGTTCCCCCTTCTGTCCCCCATCACTTCCCCCTTCAGTTTCCCCATTACTTCCCCCTCCAGTTCCTCCATGAGTTTCCTCATCGGTTCCCCCTTCTGTCCCCCATCACTTCCCCCTTCTGTCCCCCATCAGTTCCCTCATCAGTTCCCTGATCGGTTCCCCCTTCTGTCCCCCATCACTTCCCCCTTCTGTCCCCCATCAGTTCCCTCATCAGTTCCCTCATCGGTTCCCCCTTCTGTCCCCCATCACTTCCCCCTCCAGTTCCTCAATGAGTTCCCTCATCGGTTCCCCCTTCTGTCCCCCATCACTTCCCCCTTCAGTTTCCCCATTACTTCCCCCTCCAGTTCCTCCATGAGTTCCATCATCGGTTCCCCCTTCTGTCCCCCATCACTTCCCCCTTCTGTCCTCCATCAGTTCCCCCTTCTGTCCCCCATCACTTCCCCTTTCAGTTTCCCCATTACTTCCCCCTCCAGTTCCTCCATGAGCTCCCTCATTGTTCCCCCTTCTGTCCCTCATCACTTCCCCCTTCTGTCCCCCATCAGTTCCCCCATCAGTTCCCTCATCAGTTCCCTCATCTGTTCCCCCTTTTGTCCCCCATCACTTCCCCCTTCAGTTTCCCCATTACTTCCCCCCAGTTCCCCCATCAGTTCCCTCATCAGTTCCCTCATCGATTCCCCCTTCTGTCCCCCATCACTTCCCCCTCCAGTTCCTCAATGAGTTCCCTCATTGGTTCCCCCTTCTGTCCCTCATCACTTCCCCCTTCTGTCCCCCATCAGTTCCCCCATCAGTTCCCTCATCAGTTCCCTCATCTGTTCCCCCTTTTGTCCCCCATCACTTCCCCCTTCAGTTTCCCCATTACTTCCCCCTCCAGTTCCCCCATCAGTTTCCTCATCAGTTCCCTCATCGATTCCCCCTTCTGTCCCCCATCACTTCCCCCTCCAGTTCCTCAATGAGTTCCCTCATTGGTTCCCCCTTCTGTCCCTCATCACTTCCCCCTCCAGTTCCTCAATGAGCTCCCTCATTGGTTCCCCCTTCTGTCCCTCATCACTTCCCCCTCCAGTTCCTCAATGAGTTCCCTCATTGGTTCCCCCTTCTGTCCCTCATCACTTCCCCCTCCAGTTCCTCAATGAGTTCCCTCATTGGTTCCCCCTTCTGTCCCTCATCACTTCCCCCTCCAGTTCCTCAATGAGCTCCCTCATTGGTTCCCCCTTCTGTCCCCCATCACTTCCCCCTCCAGTTCCTCAATGAGCTCCCTCATTGGTTCCCCCTTCTGTCCCTCATCACTTCCCCCTTCTGTCCCCCATCAGTTCCCCCATCAGTTCCTTCATCAGTTCCCTCATCGGTTCCCTCTTCTGTCCCCCATCACTTCCCCCTTCTGTCCCCCATCAGTTCCCCCATCAGTTCCCTCATCAGTTCCCTCATCGGTTCCCCCTTCTGTCCCCCATCACTTCCCCCTCAGTTCCTCAATGAGTTCCCTCATCGGTTCCCCCTTCTGTCCCCCATCACTCCCCCCTTCAGTTTCCCCATTACTTCCCCCTCCAGTTCCTCCATGAGCTCCCTCATCGGTTCCCCCTTCTGTCCCCCATAACTTCCCCCTTCTGTCCCCCATCAGTTCCCCCTTCTGTCTCCCATCACTTCCCCCTTCAGTTTCCCCATTACTTCCCCCTCCAGTTCCTCCATGAGCTCCCTCATCGGTTCCCCCTTCTGTCCCCCATCACTTCCCCCTTCTGTCCCCCATCAGTTCCCTCATCGGTTCCCCCTTCTGTCCCTCATCACTTCCCCCTTCTGTCCCCCATCAGTTCCCCCATCAGTTCCCTCATCAGTTCCCTCATCGATTCCCCTTCAGTTTCCCCATTACTTCCCCCTCCAGTTCCTCCATGAGTTTCCTCATCGGTTCCGCCTTCTGTCCCCCATCACTTCCCCTTCAGTTTCCCCATTACTTCCCCCTCCAGTTCCCCCATCAGTTCCCTCATCAGTTCCCCCATCAGTTCCCTCATCGGTTCCCCCTTCAGTTTCCCCATCACTTCCCCCTCCAGTTCCTCCATGAGTTCCCTCATCGGTTCCCCCTTGTGTACCCCATCACTTCAGTTTTTTCATCAGTTCCCCTATCAGTTCCCCCTTCTGTCCCTAATCACTTCCACTTCAGTTCCCATTCAAGTTTTCCCATCAGTCACCTAATCAGCCCCCTCATCATTTCTCCATTCAGTACCCCCATCACTTCCCCCTTCAGTTCCCATTTCAGTTTTCCGTCAGTCCCCTCATCAGTCCCTTTATCAGATCCCTCATCAACTCCCCCATCAGTCCCCTTTCAGTTCCCCTATCAGTCCCCCTCAGTTCCCTCATCTGTCCCCTCATCAGTACCCCCCCACCCCCAATCAGTCTCCCATTCATCTCCCCCATCAGTTCCCCAATCAGATCCCTCATCAGTCCACTCATCAGTTCCCCCTTCAGTTCCCCCATCTGTCCCCAATTACTTCCCCTTAAGTACCCCATCACGTCCCATTCAGTTTTCCCATCAGTTCCCCTATCAGTCCCCCCTTCTGTCCCCCATCACTCCCCATTCAGTCCCCCTTAACGCCCCCCTTCAGTTTCCCCATCAGTTCCCCCTTCTGTCCCCCATCACTCCCCATTCAGTCCCCCTTAACGCCCCCCTTCAGTTTCCCCATCAGTCACATATCAGTCCCCCATCACTTCCCCATCAGTTCCCTAAATATTTTCCCTTTCTGTCCCCCATCACTTCCTCCATCAGTTCCTTAATAAGTTCTCCCCTCAGTTCCCCTATCAGTTCCTTCATCAGTTCCCTCGTCAGTTCACCCATTCAATCCCCCCATCTCTTCCCCAACCAGTTCCATCATCAGCTCCCATATCAGTTTTCCATCAGTTCCACAATCAATTCCCCTTCAGTCCCCCATCAGTTCCCCCTTCAGTTCGACATGAGTCCCCTCATCAGTTCCCCCTTCATTTTCCCCTTCAGTTCCACATCAGTCACCCATGAGTCCCCTCATCAGTTCCCCCTTCAGTCCCCCATAACTTCCCCCTTCAGTTCCCCCAACAGTCACCTATCTGTCCCCCATCACTTCCACCTTCTGTACCCCATCACTTCCCCCTTCAGTTCCCTAATAATTGTCCCATTCTGTCCCCCATAACTTCCTCCATCAGTTCCCCCATCAGTTCCATCTTCAGTTCCCCGACATTACTTGCCTCATCACTTCCCCCATCTGTTCCCTAATCGGTCCCTACTTCAGGTCCCACATCAGTCCTTCCTTCAGTCCCATCATCAGTCCCATCTTCAGTTCCCGCATCAGTCTCCCATCAGTTCCCAATCAGTTCCCAAATCAGTTCCTCCATCAACTCCCCCATTAGTTCCCTCATCGGTCCCCACTTCAGTTCCCCAATCTCTTCCTCCATCAGTTCCCCAATCAGCTCCCCCAATCAGTTCCCCCATCAGTTCCTTCATCAGTTCACCCCTTCAATCCCCCCATCTCTTCCCCAACCAGTTCCCTCATCAGTTCCAATATCAGTTCTCCTTCAGTTCCTCAATCAATTCCCCTTCAGTCCCCCATCAGTTCCACATCAGTCCCCTCATCAGTTCCCCCATAACTTCCCCCTTCAGTTCCCAAATCATTTTCCCCTTCTGTCCCCCATCACTTCCTCAATCAGTTCCTTAATCAGTTCTCCCCTCAGTTCTCCATCAGTATCCCATCAGCTCCCTCATCAGTCCCCTCAGTCCCCCCATCAGTTCCTTCATCAGTCCCCTCAGTTCTCCCCTCAGTTCCCATATTATTTCTCCTTCAGTTCCTCAATCAATTCCCCTTCACTTCACCCTTCAGTTCCACATCAGGCCCCCATCAGTTCCACAATCAGTTCCCATCATTAGTTCCCCACTTCAGTACCCCAATCTCTTTCCCAACCTGTTCCCACATCAGTTCTGCTTCAGTTCCCCAAACAATTTCCCTTCATTTTCCTCTTCAGTTTCTCCTTTAGCCCCCCCCCCCCCCCCCCCCCTTCCACCCATCGGTTCCCTCATCAGTCCCCTCATCAGTCCACCCATCGGTTCCCTCATCAGTCCCCTCATCAGTCCGCCCATCGGTTCCCTCTTCAGTTCCCTCTTCATTCCTGCTCATCAGCCCCCTCATCGGTCCCCTCATCAGTCCCCTCATTGGTTCTCTCGTCAGTACCCCCCTTCAGTCCCGCTCATCAGTCCCCTCATTGGTTCCCTCATCAGTCCCCTCATCCGTTCCCTCGTCAGTCCCCTCATCAGTCCCCTCATTGGTTCTCTCGTCAGTACCCCCCTTCAGTCCCGCTCATCAGTCCCCTTATCGGTCCCCTCATCAGTCCCCTCATTGGTTCTCTCGTCAGTACCCCCCTTCAGTCCCGCTCATCAGTCCCCTCATTGGTTTCCTCATCAGTCCCCTCATCGTTTCCCACGTCAGTCCCCTCGTCAGTTCCCTCATCAGTCCCCTCATCGGTTCCACCCTTCATTCCCCCAATCACAACCCCCCCTCCCCCTCCAGTTCCCCAACAGTCCTCTCTTCAGTCTGCCCATCACTTTCCCCATCAGTTCCCCCTTAGTTACCCATTAGCTCCCCAATCAGCTTGTCCTTTCTTCCAAATTTAGAAATTAAATCCAGTGTGGGGGATATCGTTTATTAACCAGATTGCCATGATACTGTGGCAGATACATATTTTGAATATTTCTTGCGTTGTACCTTTTAAGTATAATTCATGTACATAATTAAATGCAGTTTTAGTCATCTAATTATATTGCTCAGCCTACTTTAAACACTAAACTATCAGTAGCAGCACTCTTTCTAAGCATGTTTACTGCATTGTTTGTTTGTGAATGTCACGATCACACCCTGTGCACTAATACAATAGCCTCAGCCCTCTCCCTACTCAAGCCTTTTGTCTACTGAGCCATGCTGTATACTGGACACAGAAGAAGGGCTGTGATCACTCAACATATACCTTTCCAAGGATAAAGATATATACTAGTATATATTCATCACTATTTATCACGTGTTATTCACGGGGATCATTTTGGGGAAACTTACATCAAATTCCGAGGTTAAGATTTTATTATTTGATTGAGGATTTTATTCATTGAATGGTATTTGCAATATCTGAGATATTGTCTGTATTGGACATATGTGTGTTCAGACACGAATACACGGAATGTGGATTCGTGATTATTATTTAGTTAAACAACCAAATACGTATCCTCAATTAATGAAAGCATGTATAAACATAAATGAATAAATGAAAGCATGAATGCATGTGGCATTTTATAGTATTGCTCTGTCATGTTCAGCTACTTGTTTACATGTTTATAGGATAGAAAGTATTTGTTCTTCTTGGCATATCTGCATGTACTGTATATATTATTATTTCCTCTGCAGACGAGTTTTGCACTTGTGTGATATCAACCCAGGCCCACACACCTGGCAGGTTTACATGTCGTTTACATGTCGTATATGTAAAAATAACTGTGTATACAGTATCTAGTGTGTGCATTTGATTATATATCGAGACAAGAATATTTTTGGAATGAATTTGTACATAAATACATTCTAGCCAGTGCATTTACAACAATGATGTGTACTGTACCTCAGTGTATCAGCATGCGTGTGAATTGTATGTGTCTATCTGTGTTTATGATACGCGTATATTGATTTATATGTGTTATATTGAAAACCTGATTGTTTCCGGGTAGTTTTTTAATCACATTAATAATATCTGCAAATAAATATCGGCCATCGAATACAGTAACGTCTGTGGTCTGTGCGCGTCGGACGCAGTCCTGTTACAATATATGTGATAGATGTACAGCTAATTTTATGTAGATTTCTCTATTGTGACACGCTGCTCCGTTCAGTAAACCAACAACTGGTGGTTATTACTGTAACTCATTAAAACAGAAACTGTGTTACAAGAGACCTACTGTGGTTGTGTGTACTGGCCGCCAGAGGGACACACACATTCGTATGTACCATTCAGATCCCGGCACACGCTGTCGTCACGGCAGTCATTGGTTGAACAGTCATTCCTCAGGTCCGTCTGGCAGTAAGTACCATTGTAGTCTGTGACAAACGTGTAGGCACAATGAAACCACTCCTATAATATCTACAATCAGAGTCATTTATTATTACCTGTTCTGATACCACTTCAATTAATTCCCATAATCATATGGTCTCTTTGTAAAAAGTCACTATAATTGTATTGTTTCGAGACACCTGCACAAGTGTTAGACATGATCAAAGTGGACAGTGTACATACGAGGGCTGGCTGAAAAGTTCAAAGCGTAACTGTGAAAGACCCGTACCAAGTCGATGGTTTTCATTTATTTCTCCACATAGTCCCCTTCCAGGTTTACACACTTTTGCCAGCGATGCTGCAAGGCCTGGATGCCGGTCAAGAAGAAATTTTCTTCAGACACCCTAAAAAAGTAATTCACAGCGGAAATTACGTCATCATTACTAGGAAAATGGCGACCGGCTGGTTCCTTTTTTATTTTGGGAAACAGGTCGAAGTCTGACGGGGCCAAATCGGGTGAATAAGGGGGATGGTCAATGAGTTCGAAGCCACAATCATGGATCGATGACATGGCAACCACCGATTTGTGAACAGGAGCATTGTCTTGGTGGAACAGGACTCTTTTAGTGAGCAATCCCCGTCGCTTAGCTTTGATAGCTTCATGTAACTTTCTCAGTAGGTCAGCATAATATCCTCCATTGATATTCTGGCCTTTTTCAATCAGCAGAATACCCTTGGAATCCCAAAAGACTGAAGCCATCACCTTTCCAGCAGAAGGAACCGACTTGGCTTTTTGGGGGCCTGGTGATTCCGGATGCTGCCATTGTTTAGACTGAATTTTTGTTTGTGGTTGAAAGTGATGAATCCTGGTCTCATCCATGGTTATAAATCGGGCCAAAAAATCCTTGGGATCTGCTTCAAAACGGCATAAATTGTCATGGGACGTCAGGAATCTGAAAAGTTTCTGATCCGCTGTCAAGAGCTTTGGCACCCATCTTGCAGAAACTTTTATCATTCCCAACTCGTTGGTGATAATGCGCTCAACCCTCTCATGAGAGATGCCCACAACACTTGCAATATGTCGAATGGTCAATCGTCGATCAACCATTACCATGTCATGCACCCGGGTAATGTTTTCCGGAATGGTTGCTGTTGAAGGCCTTCCTGGACGCGGGTCATCGTCAAGGCTCTCTCTGCCACGCTTGAATTCCGCAGCCCACTTCTTTACAGTGGAAAAGGAAGGGGCATCATCCCCTAAAGTGGAGACCATGTCAGCATGTATCTGTGTTGGAGTTAGCCCTTTCAGTTGCAGGTACTTGATGACTGCCCTATAGCCAGTTTTGTCCATTTCGGGTGATTTCAATGGGTAGGTTCACAAGATAGTCTGGTACAAAGACAATAATAACACTACAGTTGCAGTTCTTATGTCTATGATTCATAAAATGATTGTACTTGTTGGTGGCAAAAGTTTGCCGATTGAGATATCCCACTTAGGCTTAGAACTTTTCAGCCAGCCCTCGTACATAGACTTGTTAGATACATACATGGCTTTCTTTCGCATTGCTTTTCATAGTATGACTCAGTTGCACCCGTTGTAGTTTTCATTCCAGCCTGTTCTTCATTGAGTAAAACACACAAGTCTCTGTCCGTGTAAAACCCCGTGGCAACACAGGCTGAGTTACTTATACATTCAGCCCTGCAGGCAGCAACAGTAGTGTCGGACAATAATCCGATGTTGTCAAGGCCAGGGTTATACTTTACTGGGTTCTCTACCATCTCGCATTCCGTGGCTTAAACACATAAGTGTCATTATACAGTTGTATATATATATATATAGCTGTGAAGTTAACATGCACCTCCATCTGTATTACCGTTGTAAAAAAACATGTGTATTTTTGTGTTTGGTTCAGTGTTATATCATGTCACACGGTTGAAGTCGTGGTGTTGCAGAAAAGGTCTTACTGACCATGCCATTTAAACACTGGTGGAATAACCATTGTTACATTGTCCGTTGAATGTGGTACGTGGTATGTGGTATGGTCCATCGTCCATGACTTGTAGCATGGTAAATGCCCTGAGCTCTGATTTCTCAGACACAAACACGAGACTCCGTGGACGTCAGCATTCAGGTATTGTTTGAAAACCTGTGGCCATGTGTCGCCTGTAAAGACCCAGTCCAAACAATAAAACACTGACTTATACATATTATACTTCAAAATAATTCTACATACCAGCAGTACATTCGCAGTCGAATCCCCCAAGTTGGGGTTTACAGGTGGCACCATTCAGACAGGGGTCAGATCTGCAGTAGTCGATCTCAGACTCGCACCTGTCCCCGGTATAGCCTGGAAATACAGAGCGAGAAACAATTACTTTTTTTTGGTTAACAACGTTTTTATGTATTCACGTTCTTTAAACTTCTAAAATGCCTATCAAAGACGTCAAGGACAGGACTGTGATATTTACATAGGAGAGGTTCTGAGTCAGGGTCAAGGTCAAGTTTGATTAATCGATATGGCGTTTGGAAGAGCGTCATATTTAGTAAATGAAGGATATGTTTCTTGTACTTGATAACAATCAAGCAGTCGTATTTATGTGTTTAGAAATATTGTTTCATAGAGACGAGTGCCACATATAATATTACGTAATTAATTTTGATAAATTTTGGACTGTACATTTCAACTATTTGATTGACAAATGTGTCAGGGTACAGTGTATCGGTGCAACACATATTGTCCAGGGACTAATATTGCAGGGAATAGTGTTACAGTGCCACACATATTGTCCAGGGACAAATATTGCAGGGAATTGTGTTTCAGTGCCACATATATTGTCCAGGGACTAATATTGCAGGGAATAGTGTTTCAGTGCCACATATATTGTCCAGGGACTAACATTGCAGGAAACAGTGTTGTAGTGCCAAATATATTGCCCAGGAACTAATATTGCAGGGAATAGTGTTTCCGTGCCACATAAATTGTCCAGGGACTAATATTGCAGGAAACAGTGTTTCAGTGCCACATACAATGTCCAGGGACTAATATTGTGGGTTACATTGTCTCAGTGCCACATATATTGTCCAGGGACTAATATTACAGGGAATAGTGTTTCAGTGCCACATATATTGTCCAGGGACTAACATTGCAGGAAACAGTGTTGTAGTGCCAAATATATTGCCCAGGAACTAATATTGCAGGGAATAGTGTTTCCGTGCCACATAAATTGTCCAGGGACTAATATTGCAGGAAACAGTGTTTCAGTGCCACATACAATGTCCAGGGACTAATATTGTGGGTTACATTGTCTCAGTGCCACATATATTGTCCAGGGACTAATATTACAGGGAATAGTGTTTCAGTGCCACACATATTGTCCAGGGACTAATATTGCAGGGAATAGTGTTTCAGTGCCACACATATTGTCTAGGGACTAATATTGCAGGGAATTGTGTTTCAGTGCCACATATATTGTCCAGGGACTAATATTGCAGGGAATAGTGTTTCAGTGCCACATATATTGTCCAGGGACTAACATTGCAGGAAACAGTGTTGTAGTGCCACATACATTGCCCAGGAACTAATATTGCAGGGAATAGTGTTCCGGTGCCACATATATTGTCCAGGGACTAACATTGCAGGAAACAGTGTTGTAGTGCCACATACATTGCCCAGGAACTAATATTGCAGGGAATAGTGTTTCAGTGCCACATATATTGTCCAGGGACTAATATTGCAGGAAACAGTGTTTCAGTGCCACATACAATGTCCAGGGACTAATATTGTGGGTTACATTGTCTCAGTGCCACATATATTGTCCAGGGACTAATATTACAGGGAATAGTGTTTCAGTGCCACACATATTGTCCAGGGACTAATATTGCAGGGATAGTGTTTCAGTGCCACATATATTGTCCAGGGACTAATATTGCAGGGACTAATATTGCAGGGAATAGTGTTTCCGTGCCACATATATTGTCCAGGGACTAATATTGAAGGAAACAGTGTTTTAGTGCCGCATACATTGTCCAGGAACTAATATTGCAGGGAATAGTGTTTCAGTGCCACATAAATTGTCCAGGGACTAATATTGCAGGGAATAGTGTTTCAGTGCCACACATAATGTCCGGGGCTGAATGTGCCAGGGACCAGCGGTTTGATGCCATGCATATTGTCCAGAGACTATTGATGCAGGGTACAGTGTCTGAATGATTCATATTTTGTCCAGGGACTAATAGGTGAACAGATGAAATGTAAGTATTGCAGATCGTTATTGAAGAACAGCGTGCCTATATACATTTGGTTCAAAGTGTAAATACCTTCTCGCATAGATCTGAAGCAGATTTTTACGATTGTTATGTGCATTACACTTTGTTATTGGCAGTGGTAATCGTAAGTTGCAAAAAATGAACGAAACGCTCTTAAAATGTCATGTGCTATTTTTTCTCTAGATTTTGTAAATTACTGTTAAGTCTCTATGTTGTTGTTGTTGTTGCTGTTGTTGACACTGAGAGTGACTACCTTGTCCTTGAAAACCCGCTAGGGATAACAGTTTCTGGAGGAGTTGCTGTACTTAAGGCGATTTGTGGCCTTCTTGACATGCGTCCTATCTACTTGTGGACGGAATATCTATGTGAAACCACTAACTGCCTGCCGACTTCCAACACATGGACCACGTGCCATTTTTGACAGTGTCTTAATTCGTGACATTCGTGAGTGCACTGCTATTTAATTAAGGACCTATTATCTATTACTATTGCCAGTGTTTGATCCTTGATAATTTGTCGTGCACACCTGCATCATCACTATTTGATAATGATTCATAAACATATGAATCTTGCAATTGACTCCACCTGTAGCTGAGATTTCATATGAACATGGAAAGCGGTTAGTCGCTTCTATGAAAAAGGAAATATCACCTTGTTTATAGCTACACACGATTCTATGGCAGATATAATAGAACACACATGCATACGACCTGGTTTATAGCTGCACACGATTCTATGGCAGATATAATAGAACACACATACATACGACCTGGTGTATAGCTGCACACGATTCTATGGCAATATAATAGAACACACATACATACGACCTGGTGTATAGCTGCACACGATTCTATGGCAGATATAATAGAACACGCATACATACGACCTGGTTTATAGCTGCACACGATTCTATGGCAGATATAATAGAACACACATACATACGACCTGGTTCATAGCTGCACACGATTCTATAGCAGATATAATAGAACACACATACATACGACCTGGTGTATAGCTGCACACGATTCTATGGCAGATATAATAGAACACACATACATACGACCTGGTGTATAGCTGCACACGATTCTATGGCAATATAATAGAACACACATACATACGACCTGGTGTATAGCTGCACACGATTCTATGGCAGATATAATAGAACACACATACATACGACCTGGTTTATAGCTGCACACGATTCTATGGCAGATATAATAGAACACACATACATACGACCTGGTTCATAGCTGCACACGATTCTATGGCAGATATAATAGAACACACATACATACGACCTGGTGTATAGCTGCACACGATTCTATGGCAGATATAATAGAACACACATACATACGACCTGGTGTATAGCTGCACACGATTCTATGGCAATATAATAGAACACACATACATACGACCTGGTGTATAGCTGCACACGATTCTATGGCAGATATAATAGAACACACATACATACGACCTGGTTTATAGCTGCACACGATTCTATGGCAGATATAATAGAACACACATACATACGACCTGGTTCATAGCTGCACACGATTCTATGGCATATATAATAGAACACACATACATACGACCTCGTGTATAGCTGCACACGATTCTATGGTAGATAGTAGAACACACATGCATACGACCTGGTTTATAGCTACACATAATTTTATGGCAAATATAATAGAACACACATGCATACAACCTATTTTATAGCTACACGCGATTCAATGGCAGATAATAGAACACACTGGAGCATCATCTCGTTTATTGTTACACACAATTCTGTGGCAGATAATAGGACACACAGGAGCATCACCTCGTTTATAGCTACACACAATTCTGTGGCAGATAATAGAACACACAGGAGCATCACCTCGTTTATAGCTACACACAATTCTGTGGCAGATAATAGAACACACAGGAGCATCACCTCGTTTATAGCTACACACAATTTATGTGGCAGGTAATAGAACACACAGGAGCATCAACTCGTTTATAGCTACACACAAATTGTGGCAGATAATAGAACACACAGGAACATCACCTCATTTACTGCTACACACTATTTTGTGGCAGATAGTAGGACACACGGGAGCGTCACCTCGTTTATAGCTACACACGATTTGTGGCAGATAATAGAACACACTGGAGCATCACCTCGTTTATAGCTACACGCGATTCAATGGCAGATAATAGGACACACAGGAGCATCACCTCGTTTACTGCTACACGCGATTCTATGGCAGATAATAGAACACACTGGAGCATCACCTCGTGTATAGCTACACACGATTCAATGGCAGATAATAGGACACACAGGAACATCACCTCGTTTACTGCTACACACGATTCTATGACAGATAATAGGACACACATACATACGACCTGGTGTATAGCTGCACACGATTCTATGGCAGATATAATAGAACACACATGCATACGACCTCGTGTATAGCTGCACACGATTCTATGGCAGATAGTAGAACACACATGCATACGACCTGGTTTATAGCTACACACAATTTTATGGCAAATATAATAGAACACACATGCATACGACCTATTTTATAGCTACACGCGAGTCTTTGGCAGATAATAGAACACACTGGAGCATCATCTCGTTTATTGTTACACACAATTCTGTGGCAGATAGTAGAACACACAGGTGCATCACCTCGTTTATAGCTACACACGATTCTATGGCAGAAAATAGAACACACAGGTGTATCACTTCCCTCGTTTATAGCTACACACGATTCTATGGCAGATAATAGAACACACAGGTGCATCACCTCACTCGTTTATAGCTACACACGATTCTATGGCAGATAATAGGACACACAGGTGCATCACCTCGTTTATAGCTACACACAATCCTATGGCAGATAATAGAACACACAGGAGCATCACCTCGTTTATAGCTACACAGAATTCTGTGGCAGATAATAGAACACACAGGAGCATCACCTCGTTTATAGTTACACACAATTTATGTGGCAGGTAATAGAACACACAGGAGCATCACCTCGTTTATAGCTACACACAATTCTGTGGCAGAAAATAGAACACACAGGAGCATCACCTCGTTTATAGTTACACACTATTCTGTGGCAGATAGTAGGACACACGGGAGCATCACCTCGTTTATAGCTACACACGATTTGTGGCAGATAATAGGACACACTGGAGCATCACCTCGTTTACTGCTACACGCGATTCTATGGCAGATAATAGAACACACAGGAGCATCACCTCGTTTATAGCTACACGCGATTCAATGGCAGATAATAGGACACACAAGAGCATCACCTCATTTAGTGCAACACACGATTCTATGACAGATAATAGGACACACAGGAGCATCACCTCGTTTATAGCTACACACAATTATGTGGCAGATATAAGGACACACAGGTGCATCACCTCGTTTATAGCTACACACAATTCTATGGCAGATAATAGGACACACAGGAGCATCACCTCGTTTATAGCTACAACACAATTCTATGGCTAATAATAGAACACACAGGTGCATCACCTCGTTTATAGCTACACACAATTCTGTGGCAGATAATAGGACACACAGGTGCATCACCTCGTTTATAGGTACACACATTTCTATGGCAGATAGTAGGACACACTGGAGCATCACCTCGTTTATAGCTACACACATTTCTATGGCAGATATAGAACACACAGGAACATCACCTGGCTTATAGCTACACACATTTCTGTGGCAGATAATAGGACACACAGGAACATCACCTCATTTACTGCTACACACGATTCTATGACAGATAATAGGACACACAGGTGCAGCACCTCCCTCGTTTATAGCTACACACAATTCTGTGGCAGATAATAGGACACACAGGAGCATCACCTCGTTTATAGGTACACACATTTCTATGGCAGATAGTAGGACACACTGGAGCATCACCTCGTTTATAGCTACACACATTTCTATGGCAGATAAAGAACACACAGGAACATCACCTGGCTTATAGCTACACACATTTCTGTGGCAGATAATAGGACACACAGGAACATCACCTCATTTACTGCTACACACGATTCTATGGCAGATAATAGGACACACAGGTGCATCACCTCGTTTATAGCTACACACAATTCTATGGCTTATAATAGAACACTCGGGTGCATCACCTCGTTTATAGCTACACACGATTCTATGGCAGATAATAGGACACACAGGTGCATCACCTCCCTCGTTTATAGCTACACACAATTCTATGGCAGATAATAGAATACACAGGTGTATCACTTCCCTCGTTTATAGCTACACACTATTCTATGGCAGATCATAGAACACACAGGTGCATCACCTCCCTCGTTTATAGCTACACACGATTCTATGGCAGATAATAGGACACACAGGTGCATCACCTCGTTTATAGCTACACACAATTCTATGGCAGATAATAGAACACTCGGGTGCATCACCTCGTTTATAGCAACACAAAATTCTATGGCAGATAATGGGACACACAGGTGCATCACCTCGTTTATACCTACACACATTTCTATGGCAGATATAGAACACACAGGAGCATCACCTCGTTTATAGCTACAACACAATTCTATGGCTAATAATAGAACACACAGGTGCATCACCTCGTTTATAGCTACACACAATTCTGTGGCAGATAATAGGACACACAGGTGCATCACCTCGTTTATAGCTACACACATTTCTATGGCAGATAGTAGGACACACTGGAGCATCACCTCGTTTATAGCTACACACATTTCTATGGCAGATATAGAACACACAGGAGCATCACCTGGCTTATAGCTACACACAATTCTGTGGCAGATAATAGGACACACAGGAACATCACCTCATTTGCTGCTACACACGATTCTATGACAGATAATAGGACACACATAGATACGACCTGGTGTATAGCTGCACACGATTCTATGGCAGATATAATAGAACACACATGCATACGACCTCGTGTATAGCTGCACACGATTCTGTGGCAAATATAATAGAACACACATGCATACGACCTATTCTATAGCTACACGCGAGTCTATGTCAGATAATAGAACACACTGGAGCATCATCTCGTTTATTGTTACACACAATTCTGTGGCAGATAGTAGGACACACAGGTGCATCACCTCGTTTATAGCTACACACGATTCTATGGCAGATATAATAGAACACACATACATACGACCTGGTGTATAGCTGCACACGATTCTATGGCAGATATAATAGAACACACATACATACGACCTGGTGTATAGCTGCACACGATTCTATGGCAGATATAATAGAACACACATGCATACGACCTCGTGTATAGCTGCACACGATTCTATGGCAGATAGTAGAACACACATGCATACGACCTGGTTTATAGCTACACACAATTTTATGGCAAATATAATAGAACACACATGCATACGACCTATTTTATAGCTACACGCGAGTCTATGTCAGATAATAGAACACACTGGAGCATCATCTCGTTTATTGTTACACACAATTCTGTGGCAGATAGTAGGACACACAGGTGCATCACCTCGTTTATAGCTACACACGATTCTATGGCAGATAATAGAACACACAGGTGTATCACTTCCCTCGTTTATAGCTACACACGATTCTATGGCAGATAATAGAACACACAGGTGCATCACCTCCCTCGTTTATAGCTACACACGATTCTATGGCAGATAATAGGACACACAGGTGCATCCCCTCGTTTATAGCTACACACAAATTCTATGGCAGATAATAGAACACACAGGAGCATCACCTCGTTTATAGCTACACACAATTCTGTGGCAGATAATAGGACACACAGGAGCATCACCTCGTTTATAGCTACACACAATTTATGTGGCAGAAAATAGAACACACAGGAGCATCACCTCGTTTATAGTTACACACTATTCTGTGGCAGATAGTAGGACACACGGGAGCCTCACCTCGTTTATAGCTACACGCGATTCAATGGCAGATAATAGGACACACAGGAGCATCATCTCATTTACTGCTACACGCGATTCTATGGCAGATAATAGAACACACAGGAGCATCACCTCGTTTATAGCTACACGCGATTCAATGGCAGATAATAGGACACACAGGAGCATCACCTCATTTACTGCTACACACGATTCTATGACAGATAATAGGACACACAGGAGCATCACCTCGTTTATAGCTACACACAATTCTGTGGCAGATAATAGGACACACAGGTGCATCACCTCGTTTATAGCTACACACAATTCTATGGCAGATAATAGGACACACAGGAGCATCACCTCGTTTATAGCTACACACAATTCTATGGCAGATAATAGAACACACAGGTGTATCACTCCCCTCCTTTTTTAGCTACACACTATTCTATGGCAGATAATAGAACACACAGGTGTATCACTTCCCTCGTTTATAGGAACACAAAATTCTATGGCAGATAATAGGACACACAGGTGCATCACCTCGTTTATACCTACACACATTTCTATGGCTAATAATAGAACACACAGGTGCATCACCTCGTTTATAGCAACACGCAATTCTGTGGCAGATAATAGGACACACAGGTGCATCACCTCGTTTATAGTTACACACATTTCTATGGCAGATAGTAGAACACACTGGAGCATCACCTCGTTTATAGCTACACACATTTCTATGGCAGATATAGAACACACAGGAGCATCACCTGGCTTATAGCTACACACAATTCTGTGGCAGATAATAGGACACACAGGTGCATCACCTCGTTTATAGGTACACACAATTTTATGGCAAATATAAAAGGACACACAGGAGCATCACCTCGTTTATAGCTATACACAATTCTGTGGCAGATAATAGAACACACAGGAGCATCACCTCGTTTATAGCTACACACAATTCTGTGGCAGATAATAGAACACACAGGCGCATCACCTCGTTTATAGCTACACACAATTTATGTGGCAGGTAATAGAACACACAGGAGCATCACCTCGTTTATAGCTACAAACAATTCTGTGGCAGAAAATAGAACACACAGGAGCATCACCTCGTTTATAGTTACACACTATTCTGTGGCAGATAGTAGGACACACGGGAGCGTCACCTCGTTTATAGCTACACACGATTTGTGGCAGATAATAGAACACACTGGAGCATCACCTCGTTTATAGCTACACGCGATTCAATGGCAGATAATAGGACACACAGGAGCATCACCTCATTTACTGCTACACACGATTCTATGACAGATAATAGGACACACAGGAGTATCACCTCGTTTATAGCTACACGCGTTTCAATGGCAGATAATAGGACACACAGGAGCATCACCTCATTTACTGCTACACACGATTCTATGACAGATAATAGGACACACAGGAGTATCACCTCGTTTATAGCTACACGCGATTCAATGGCAGATAATAGGACACACAGGAGCATCACCTCATTTACTGCTACACGCGTTTCTATGGCAGATAATAGGACACACAGGAGCATCACCTCGTTTATAGCTACAGGCGATTCAATGGCAGATAATAGGACACACAGGAGCATCACCTCATTTACTGCTACACGCGTTTCTATGGCAGATAATAGGACACACAGGAGCATCACCTCGTTTATAGCTACACGCGATTCAATGGCAGATAATAGGACACACAGGAGCATCACCTCATTTACTGCTACACGCGTTTCTATGGCAGATAATAGGACACACAGGAGCATCACCTCGTTTATAGCTACACGCGATTCAATGGCAGATAATAGGACACACAGGAGCATCACCTCATTTACTGCTACACGCGTTTCTATGGCAGATAATAGAACACACAGGTGTAACTTACCTTTTTTACAGGTGCACACCAGTCGATGGTAGATGAAGGAACACGTCGAAGAGCCATTGCCCGAGCAGGTATCATTACATATCGTTGTGTCTATACGAGCATATATGGACAACAGTAACAGTGAATGAATGATCAGATATAATCACATGTGGGTTGAGGATTTCATAGATAAAACTATACAGTAAACTACGGTTAAAACGAACACGCTTATGACGAGCTGACCGATATAACGAATTTACATTTTAGTCCCGGTCATTTGTTGTACATATGCTGTATAAAGGCTTATAACGAACTACTGTTATAACGAACTAAAATTAGTGGTCCCTTTGAGTTCGTTATAACCGTAGTTTACTGTATATAATTAAAATATATTTTGTATAGTCATGTAGAACTATAAGTATTTGTATAACTATAACTATATGTATGTTTGTATAAAGATATATTCTTCAATATTAACAGATACTTACCGACATGCAAAAGATCGAGTGATGGTCATGGATGGATAAGCAAAAGGAAGGACAAAGTGTACATAGCAATTAACAGAACATTTTGGCAGTTAGTCCCTCTTTCTGTTCGTGCAGTGAAACAATACGTAAAACAAATCATCAGCATATAACAAGATAAAACGTATTCTAGTATACGTGAAGGCGTTGCTCGGTCAGTCGATAGGAATGACTTAGACATTTGAAACAGCCGCGCGCTAACCTGTCCTCTATTCGTGAACGTTAGTGCAGGGGTGGAGACGATCTACTGGTGAATGGATGTCGGGCAGAGCTTGTGTCAGTACATCTTGAGCTTTATAAGATCAACCTTAAGCACCTGGGTCCAAATCAGTAAAGATATAATTGCTAAAATAATTCAATTTGAGAAGTTGAAATCGTCTTTACCACATTTCAGTAGATTTTATTTATTGACGGAAATAGTAGGGAACTATTTCCACGATGCTCATTTTCACTGAAAATATTGACACGATAACATATATACTTAAAGGCAATAGTCTCACCGGTTGTGTTTTCTTTATTTCAGGAAAATTCATGAAACACATAATCTTTCATATAGGATATTGGACCCAATTTACCAAGTTTGGTTTGGCTCTTGCAATGCAGTCGTTTCTTTAGTTTAGGGTTCTCCTTGGTGAGAAGACGTCCTTTGGTTCCTGTAGACAATTTGGTTTGGTCTTTTCGAGTTACACCCTTGGTCAATTAAAAAAAGCGCCATTGTTTATGAATAGAAGACAGGTTAGTGCAGGTGTTTTAAACGTTTAAACGAGAGTCATTTCTCTCGACTGGCCAAGCAAACATATTTTGTCTTTGCACTAAAACAAGGGACCCGTCCATTAACCAATACTGGTGGATTAGTATATCGTGGTCGTCGATCTTATTAACAATGGCTTATATAGTCCATCATTATCCAAAAAAGAAACAAACATAAGTCGAACTGCCATTAAGATCAGTTCGGGAATTGTCTTACTTCCAGGTTTACACTTGCTTGAATTCGTTGAGCCTGTTTGTTCTGTGATCTGGTCTGTGTTGCACTCCTTGCAGTGATCATGTGCCGTGGAGTCTTGGTAGAAATGGAGAGGACACGATGTACATGGGAAGTACCCGTTCACTGAATACTGACCAATAGGACATGGGGCTGAAACAGAGAGAGGACACTATGGAGTCTCACATGGAATACTGACCAATAAGACATGGTGCTGAAACAGAGAGAGGACACTATGGAGTCACACATGGGATACTAACAAATAGGACATGGGGCTGAAACAGAAAGAGAACACTATTTAGTCTCTCATGGAATACTGACCAATCAGACATGGTGCTGAAACAGAGAGGTAACACTATTAAGTCTCTCATGGAATACTGACCAATAGGACATGGTGCTGAAACAGAAAGATAACACTATTGAGTCTCACTTGGAATACTGACCAATATGGCATGGTGCTGAAAGAGAGAGAGAACGTAATGGTGCTTAGACAAACATGGTATATTGACCAAATATGACGTGTGTGTGTGTGTGTGTGTGTGGGGGGGGGGTAGCTCCATGGAATACCGACAATGAGGGTATAATGCTGAACAGACTGATACTATAAATACACAATGCCATTTAGAAAGTGGTCAAATGTAACTAATTTTATATTTGGGATAACACTTTCTTAGTAAAGTACAGATTCTAGTACTTTTTTGGGTTGAGTCCCGTCCGGGATTCGAACCCACACCTGCCAGGGTGAGGCACCTAATCGCCAGCACACAAAGTCAGCGATCTAACCCACTCAGCCACCGAGGCTTCCACAAAATGAAAGTCCGTTAAAATTCAATCCAGAGGTTAACTATACATTCTTTTAACTTACCGAAGAATGCAAGTTTAATGTCGTATTAATATCTTGTTTCTATCTTCAGGTCTATCCCCCATCTCACGTTCTCAGAAATTAGAATTGGTAATAATTTGGTAACTTTCTGATTGTCAGTCGACATCACTACTCAGTGATTGCTGTTATTTAAAAAAAATAGGTAGAAATCTTTACCTCAACCGTTCACTTTATCAGATGCATAATTTAAACAGAACAATAAGCCATGAACATTTGACACACAAAAGTGCTGGAAAGGGCAGTTCAGTTCAGTTCAGTTCAGTTAATATTAGAGATAAACATTTTTAGCGGGCCCTCCACCTCTGTAAACACCACCAATCTTCGTTCCTTACTAAAGTGAGTGAATGAGTGAGTGAAAATGTACCTATATTCTCAGCCGTATAACATTCCAGAACATGAGAGCCAGAGGTAAAGTTGGTCATAATCGGGACATATTTATAACAGCCAATGTAGCCCAATCGCTCAGTTGAGTTGGCTAATGAGAGCCATCTACAGTTCAGGGAGTCCATGCAAATCAACACAGAACATGTGGAACACTTTGTAGTCACCTCTACATGCGGAGATGTTCGTGGATCCCTCCACATAAAGAGTTGAGCGATCATCTGGGCAAGGCTCACAGTGGGAAGAGTTCACCCAGTAATGGTTGACAGGGCACTTGTCGCATGGTTGTTGTCCTGTTGAAGACCGAAACCCAGGTCGACACATACCTGAAACAATACAGTTACATCACTTGAACACACATTCATATAACTGCCACAATCACATCAAGCATGCACCATAACTACTAGTGTTGGCGTATTCAAAATACACTCACTGGCACTTGCCTGAAACATTAAGTCCTCGCTGTGTGTAATTATGTACATGTTAATATCTAAGGAAGTATCACGGCAAGCATTTTCAATGTTGTGTGATATATTAAAGACATTCCATAATAAAAGCACTTACTGACACATCTTGCTCTGCTGGACCGCGGGGTCAATGAGTACATGTTGTCTCCACAGTTCTTACAAGAGGGTTGTCCGGACTGGTCCTGATACTGACCGTCAGGGCATTCAACACAACCTCCACTGGGAGAGGACGAGGATCCGTAGGGGCATGGTACTGAAACACATATACAAATAGTGTGTTTTGAAATAAGGCATTGTAGACATTCATCCTGGCCTGGTCATGTGCAGATAGGTCAGTCTTTTATCATGGTACTGAAACACACACGTATATATACATATACAACTTTCTGAAAATGGTTGCAAATCTGGTTGCGCATGACTATTGATATATGCCTCAAAATTGGCATCGTTGATATTTCTATGCATACACATTAACAACCTGTTCCTGGTGTTGTGCGTGCAAACACGACAGCGTCAACGCTCAACATCTTATTTAAAAAAAGTATTCAACTTATGGTAATTCAAGTGCATTGTTGTTAGTACGCATAACAACTGAAAGAAAACTTAACAATTCAATTCGCGCCGCGCTTTGAATCTCGGACCAACAATCAGTCCATCGCCCCAACGGGGTCCCAGCTGTGCAACCAAATGGTTCGGTGTCCTTGATCTATCAGCTGAATGAATATCCTGTTGGTACCAGTTTGGAAGAGGGAAATCAGAGTGCTCGCCAAAGATGTTTCTGTTAACTGTACTATACTGAAGACGGAAAATCAAACCTTGATTGTTCACTTTGAATGATCCGGTCGTGCAGTCGCGCTATCGGTAGTTGTACATGTCATATGGAAATAACTCGATTATATAAAGTCTGTAGTAGCTCTGTGCATGACTAATATAAAATGCAAAGCGAATTTGATGCGTGTGACGATTTTGTTTGGTTTAATAAAGTGTGTGTAATAGTGTCTCGCTTCAATGTGAATCCTTCAGTTACGTCTTGTAGTTGTAAAAGTGAATAACAATTCGTGATATTTTATGAATGAACAAAGTTGTTCTGGTGTGACAGAGGTCATGGTTATCCAATCAAAACGAAAGAAAAGAGGTCAACCTTATACGACACACTTGTGCCATACGGGTTTAGTATCTAACCATCTGTATCTACATGGGTAATAAATGTAGATACATTGCACGTGCTGTCAAACAATATTCAAACATGAAACCACATCTGGTGTTGTGTGCAGACAGATCTGTCTGACTGTGAACATAGATACGTGTACAGCACCGCAGCATGCAAACATGTGACAGAATACAAACCTCATTACTTTTAACCAAAGCTGACACATTGCAAATTGAAGTATAGATATGCTTAATGACGTCAGCCTTTTGGGACGTACATGTAGTTTTATCCCTCCCCTCCCCCTGTACATGGGACTGATTATATGATTAATTGTTTGTTGTTTTACGCCGCACTCAGCAACATTCCAGCTATATGATGGTCTGTAAATAATGGGGTCTGAGCCAGACAATCCAGTGATTGACATTATGAGCATCGATCTTCGTAATTGGGGTACTATGACATGCATCAACCAAGTCAGCGAGCCTGACCACCCGATCCCGTTAGTCGCATCTTACGACAAGCATAGTCGTTGGTTGCTGAAGACCCAATCTACAATGGATCCTCACGGTTCTGGGAATGATTATGTGAGGGAGAGTGAGTAATGAAATACGAATTCCATATGTGGCATATACAAATAATTAAAATAAAGGGATGCAAATAACAAATATAAAACACGTTTTGCACAAAGTGCATTTTGAGAGGGTTATAGACAAACTGCAAAGGTCAAATCAAGGTAAATATAATAAATATATAAAAAAATTGAACAGATGTGCTGAAGCCTACACACACTATACTCATGCAAACGTTCTTGTGCTGTTACAGCGTAACAGTTTCCCGCAATGTATGCTCCCTGGCTGTTGGAACTCTCCTGTGCACGAGTCAAATTTGTCGTTGCGTAAAGGTAGCCGAGACAAACCACGCCGTTCGCTCTCGCAATCAGGAAAATTAGGTTTTGACCACTTGTGACACACCACAGTGTGAGTATTGGCAGTATATTTATGATAGTATGGTTAAGATTGTTTGTGTACAGTTTAATTGGGCTGTCATAGGATGATATGTCGGGAATTCGCTTTGACAAGCCTTGTAATGTGACTAAGTTTTCGCGCGGTTTTTGAATATGCTGACGCATTCAATTTATGTGTTTGAGTTACCCTTATAATATATTGTCGCATAAGGTTATAAGTAAATGGATATTTTTTACGTTGTTTAGGAATGTCTTTAAAGTCTGTTTTAGGGCATTGTGGACTATAAGTTGTTATTTTTGTTGAATAGCAAATTACCGTAATGATTTTAAAATGTGGACACCTTTTGTTAAACACATGATATTATATGCTAGCGACCAGGTTAAGTAATCATTTGTGTTTGTATTTCTTACAGCCTTTTACCCTTTATGAGAACCTTCATATACAGAATAAACACCTTCAAATCTGATGACACTTGTACCATCATTTCTTGAATGGAAGAGGTTCGGGGTTATCTGACTTGTAGCTCGCAAGGGTTATGCAAGTACAGTAAAAGGACTAGTATAAGACTGCTGCAAGCTGGTTAACAGGAAAATGCAACCACCACAGGGATTTGTGTATATCTACACTGTGCAATAGGACAGGAACCCTCTTCAGGCAACAACAGGAGTTAGAAGCTGATTACAACATACAGTAATAATTACTGTGAGAAAATTCATCATGTCTGACATAGATAAAACAGAAGCAGAAAGGTCTGCGGAGTTTATGAGTTTGAAGCAGATGGAAACTATTAAAAAGGAGGAACTCACTGGAACTTCATACAGATTAAGAACTCTAACAGAAAAAGGAAGTGGAATGTATAAGGAGACCAAGGATGCACACTGTGCTAAACTAGCTAAAGCCCAACAGGAACTTAAGGGAATTCTTAAAGCTTGTAGTCAATACCAAGGCGACCTCAAGTCATTACGACTTACTGAACGGAGCTTGGCTCAAGTGCATACACATTACTGTGAACTGTCATCGGGATATATAGACTTCTTACGTCGTACAAACACTCTTGATAGCAACAATGACCTAGATCTACATCTGCAGAACTACCAGGTACTGAAAAGTGAAATTGAAATCACGGGCAAACTTTTAGATCATCACGTCCGGGAACTCATTGATTCATCATCCTATCATTCAAAGTCAATTATGCGCACCAGCAAATCTGGGTTAAGCAACACCAGTTCGTCGCTTGCTAGGAAGCGTGCTAAGGCAGAGGCAGCACGTGCAAGGGCAGAATATGCTGTCAAGGAAGCAGAGATTCTTAAGCAGCGTGCACTTCTGGAGGAGCAGCAACAACTTGCTGCTGCTCATGCCTCTCGTAAGAAGGCAGACATGGATGCTGACCTCAAACTTCTCAAAGAACAGAAAGAAGTGGCTGGGGCTGAAGCAGAAGTAAGGGCCTTGCAGTTAGAGGAAGATTCTCAGGGATCAAGCAGTCATTTCTCATTACCAGTTGAAGGTGCCAAGGATCGCACAAGGGATTACGTAGCGAGGCACTCACAAAACCAAACGAGTAACATATCTGTGCCTCGGCACTACTTTCAACAAGAAGCCAACAGACGTCTGACTTCACCTTCTCCCCCACTGGCTCAACAGGGACCAGTTAATGTATTGCCGGACACTAATATTCCATGTGCAGAGGCAGATTTAGTGTACTCAGTGGCACATCAAGGAGATGGAATTGAGAACATTCATAGGGATGAGGGCAACAACATGTTTGTTGCTACTGAACTGTCACGCTTCCTGCTGAAGAAAGAGTTACTGCTCACAAGGCTCACAAGTTTTAACGATCGGCCTGAATCATATGCCATTTGGAAGTTAAGCTTTCTCAGGATCATTGCCGAACTGCAGGCTACAGACGTTGAAGAGTTCGACTTATTGGTGAAGTGGTTAGGCCCTGCATCCTCGAAATACGCCAACAGTTTGAGAGCTGCTAATGTGAAAAACCCTTCAAGAGGCCTTGAAAGAATATGGGCAAGGCTGGATGAAAGATATGGATGCCCAGAGATGGTTGAGGCTGCGCTGAAGAATAAACTGGCTGCTTTCCCAAGGTTGACTTACAAGAATAGTGAATTGTTATACGAGCTTTCAGACCTCCTCTCGGAAGTTGAATCCATCAAGGGTCAGGATGAATACAAGGCACTTCTGTCTTATTTTGATTCCTCAGCTGGGGTGATACCAATTGTCAACAAACTGCCTTACGGCCTCCAGGAGAGATGGACATCTCATGCCACCAGATACAAAAGAACTAACAAAGTGTCGTTCCCCCCATTTTCAATTTTTGTGGATTTTGTAAGAGACATAAGCAAGGAGAAAAATGATCCAAGTTTTGCACATGAAACTTACACAGCTTCCCCTAGGAAAGACAGATCTAAACCGCCTTTCTCACAACCACCTCTGGTCGTAGCAAATCGGAAGACAGAGGTCACCCAGGAGACTAGAGGAAACCAGGACTGGTCAAAACTGTGCCCTGTTCACAAGACTGATCACTCTTTAAATCAATGTAAGGCATTCAAGCTCAAGACTATTGAAGACCGCAAGGCACTAATCAAGCGCTTTGGTATTTGTTACAGGTGCTGCCTGACATCGACACACCTAGCCAAAGCCTGCAGGGAATTTGTTAAATGTGCATTTTGTGGAAGCAGTAGACATGCTACAGCACTGCATGTTGTTGATTGGGAACAACAGAACTCAGAAACAGGAACACCTTCTCCCCGAGTGAATGATGGCAGGGAGAGGAAAGATTCACCTTCAGACACAAGCAAATTTCCTATTGCTTCAAAGTGCACTCAGATATGTGGAGATGGATTTGCTGGAAAGTCCTGTTCAAAAACTGTTCTAGTGAAAGTTTATCCAGAGGGAAGACCTGATATGGCTACAAGAATGTACGCTATGTTTGATGATCAGAGCAATGCATCTTTAGTGAAGTCTGAATTCTTTACGAACATGGAGGCAGATGGGGAAGTAATCCCATACACACTATCATCTTGTGCTGGACGCAAAGATACTTCTGGCCGGAGGGCCAAAGGCTACATCGTAGAGTCATTTGATGGACATTCCAGGTTACAGCTTCCCACACTGATAGAATGTAAT